ACAATGTTTTTTTGGAAAAACAACTAATCATCAAGATTAATGGGGTATGATATGGGTATAATAAGACACAAGCAATATACCCTCTGGTTATTTCCAAAACTATGGAAGCCATGGTCCATTTTGTTTATGATTTATGATGTTTTACCATGGGTCAATGACTTCATTAACCATGAACATTGGGAAAATCATGGAGGTAATTGGTGATAAACTCCATCCATTATACCATGATGACAGAAGTGTTATCTTCATGGTCAACGTGGCTTGCCCATGAGTACATCAGCATAGATACGGAAAATCCTATGGTAGATTATGGTCCGAACGGGTCTAATATCTATATCTATCTATATCTATCTATATCTATCTATATCCATCTAATATCTGTCTAATATCCATCTAATATCTATCTAATATATCTATCTAATATATCTATCTCTTGGATACAAGCCTCAGTGCTTCTTGACCCTGAGGCTCCCAGGATGACCTCGGCATTGCGGCGGAGACAAGCCCCTTTTTTCGGCGATGTCGAGACGTCGATTTTCCAGTTTGGCAAATGTTACCGTTACCCTCTTGTTAACGCTAGCAAACAGCTATGGAAAATCACCATGCTATTAATGGGTAAACTATGGAAAATCACCATTTTTCATGGGTAAACTATGGAAAATCACCATGCTATTAATGGGTAAATCCACTATTTCGACTGGGCCATTTTCAATAGCTCTGTAAACGTTTACCAGATGGTAAATGACCAGAGGCTATCTGAAGTTTTGAGTTCTGACCGTTGTTTGGGATGAGATTGATTTACAGATGGATGTACTGATGTACCGTATACTATCGACATGGACTTCGACTCCATAGCGTGGTTACGAAAACCGCTTGCGCTTCATGTGGCACACATCCAAGCAATACCCTTTGCAAATCTTTGCAGCATGTTCAAGGCTGACCAGAACAGATCAATACAGATCATAACCATGGCGGCTTACACATGTTCACACCTCACACAAGAGCCTATGAGTTGTACCCAATCCCTGATGTGGACCCCATTGCTGCATGTAGCTGGGTAAATTGACTGGCGAATGATCTGTCTGGCCAAGCTTGAAGCGTTGTGTTTCGTGGCATATCTCAGGTCTGCAAAAAAAGATCCGCATTTTGTCGCTGCTTCCCCAAAACTGGCATCAACTGGCTTGACTTTTTGGGATCCAAAATGAGCAGATCCAGTAGCAAACCATGATTAATAGTTAGGTCAATCTTAGATGGGTACTTTAATCCTTTATTCTTTTGGTATCAATGGGAATATTCGGAATACCTACTAACCAGCAAAGAATTTATTTTTTGCAGGGTATCTAAGATTGGCAATGATAGGTGGCTATTCAAGACTACAGTTTTTTTTGTTTAAGCCATTGGCTTGATCCAAGGGAGAATTTGCAGGAAACCATGGGTTCTTTACCATCATGTCCCCTGGCTACCAAGGCAACACATCTGGGTCCCGTGCACAGGATGAGGCTGGCGATGCGCTGCCAACTGAGGCTTCTAGCGGCTTGGAGATGGTGAAAGTCACCATTGATCAATGCTTGGGTTCTGCATGGCGGTTTTGGGAGGCCATCTTAGGATTTTCTACCCTTCAACTGGTGAAAACGGCTCATGTCAGTTGAAATGGCATTACAAAGCCAACTATAATCTGGGAAATCCAATGCCACAAACCATCCCCAAGTCATCACCATTTATATATATATATATAATTATATATATATATATATCTGTGTGTGTGTATGTATTTATATTTATATGTGTTCCCCCAACAGTGTGGCCACACTGAGGGGCTCTTACTGTAACAGTTAAGGTAAGGCCCGGTGTTTAATCGGGGTGGTATCCGGGGCGTCCGGCATTTTCCCCGTAAATTTCCACACAGAATTGCCCTTGTGAAATGTCCATGTGCGTTTCGCCTGCGCAGGCTTACACAAAACGATGTCCCCGGAGGTGTCCCCGGTCATTTTTCCTGTAAATTTGCATACAAGATGGTTCTTGTGAAATGTCCATGTGCATGTCGCCCGCGCAGGCTCGCACAAAGTGTGCTTCCCGGTCTTGGGATCGGTCTTCCTCCTGAAAATCATCCTCCTCAACCTCATCATCTTCCCCGTCCTCCACGTCAACATCATAATCTTCCTCTCATCACCATCATCATCATCATCATCATCACCATCCTCATCATCATCATCACCACCATCATCAACATTAATTAACATCATCATCAACATTATTATAACATTATCCTTTTACCCCCTCACACTGTTTGGGGCCTCTTGCCGGGAGCCTTGGGGGAATCCTTCCAAAATGACAGTTCAGGTTGTTGAATTATGTTGAACCATCATACTTCCGTAAGCTCCAGGTGGATGATTGCTTCATGATCTTATGCTTCCATTTCTTGGGCGGATGAATGCGGAAAAAACATGGTGATTCTGAGATTCAGGCTGTGCACCTCGGGAAGTGGGTTCACGATGATCAAAAAAATGGCTGGTTGGTTACCTAAAACAAGTTGATTCACATTTGTCGGATGATTGAAATGAAGTGGATTCACAGTTGATCTCTCATTTTCCGGGCATTTCCAAACCCTCAACTAGGGCTGTGATCCCAATTGAGGATTTTTTTGGGTATGGTATCGGACCTAAACTCCATTGAACCAAGCCATTTGAATTGGATTTTCCATTATAAACCATCCATTTTGGGCTACTCCCACATTTAGGAACCCCTGATACGTTCAGCCCTTGGGCAGATCTGCGGTGCCAAGGTGAAAAGGGTGAGGCGACGGATTTGCCGCCGGATCCCAGTGACTTGGTTCACATACCAGTTGACCATGAAGAAATGGAGGTTGACCGGTAGTTTGATATGTTTTTTTTTGGGGGGGTGATATGGATAAGAATGGGATCATAGAATACTCATGGCCTATACCCTCCAGTGTCATCAAACGTGGCAACGGGGCATTCCCTACAAATAGAGTTTTTTTTTTTGCTGGGAATATGTAAATGGTGGATTTTCGATTGCCACTTTTGATTACCAGAGGGCAAACCAAATAATGTTGGTATATCAATAGGATCCACCATCTCCAATTTTGCGATTTTCCTGGGTGCTATAAACCATCAATATATGGGTAGTTTTTGTTGCTTTAACAGTAGGTCTTGAAATCCAACCAAAAAATTGGAATATCGCCACAATATCGCTAGGTTGGTTTATATAATATTGATTCGGTAAGTTGCTTTGTATCTATGGATATCTGTGGTATACCAGTAGGCTAGGAGATATATCGAACTATATCGAACTACTGTATTTCATCGGGGGCAAACTAAACCAACAAACAGAAGTGGCAGGGTGCCACTTAGTGATGATCCTGGAGTTGACTATTGATCCTGCCCAAGATCAAGTAGACACGATGGACGTAAATAGGTTACATGCGGGAAGTTTCCAGTCCTGTTCAGTAATAAATATATATATATGGTTCTGCAAGATCCACGTTGCGTATACGGAGGTTTGCAGGAAATTCAGAAGATCTTGTGTCCCAGTGCCATGGCGTGCCATGGCGTGCCATGGACCGAGGCAGAAGTTCGGAAGATGTGCCGAAACAGGGCGAGGCTGCCACTGCAGCCCCAGTGGATAGCAGTGACTTGGCTGCGTCACAGTGCTGGAAACGAAGCCAGAGAAGATATCTGTTTGTAAAGCTATGGTAAACCATCCATATTTTGATGGTTTGTACATGACATGTTTGTACCACCCATTCATGGTAAATTTGGGGATGGTTTTACTATTGCTTTACTAACATTACTGGGTCGTTTGCCGCGATGGGATTTGTTATTGTAATAGATTGTTGCAGACCCGGACCGAACTTGTGGCTTTAAATACGAAAGTTGCCAACACATTGGAACCTGAGAAAGTAACCAGTAACAAAGATCAATCAATGGCGATAGGGTTAGAATTAACATGTACTTATCGTTACTAACCGGATTAAACCAACTGGCGAAGGGTTGTTGGTTATACAACTCAATATTTTGCCCATGTGTTTTATGTTCCTGATTTGTGATGCAGATATCATTAGTAAAGTAACCAGCTAAGATACAATGTGGTGCCCCCCAGTTATAAAGTTATAAGTTTAGATATATCTACCATAAACCATAGTTATTGGAGTTATTAACCAACTTAGCTAACTATGGGGCACCACCTTGTGAGAATGAAGAAACATGTTAGCCGTGACTGCGTCACACGAATGATGACTTAGGATGCTAAAAAGAATGGCCGGGGCAATGCCACTTTCCAAGGTGAATTTGGCCGCTTAGTCAGACAAAACTAGCTTGAATAAATAGCTGGTTTTGCCAGCCGCTGTAAAAGGATGAACATGTCAAAGGATGAGTCTATTTCGGGTCGTTGTTTCCCCAAGTGAACCTCCAAACGTGCAATGGCATATGCAAGTTGGACTGTAGTCAAATATATGCAAATGTACTTACTGTAAACATCGGATCTTATCCAATCATGTTGCACTACATCCGCAGGATATCTTGTTCATCCCCATTGCTTCCACAATGTGGTGCCCCCCCCAGTTCTAAGTTGGTTTATAAACCATAGGAATAGTATAGTTATATCTCCCATAATCCATAGTTATTGATGTTATTGGAGTTATTAACCAACTTAGCTAACGAACTGGGGCACCAACTTCCATGTGGCTTCCGCCGATTTTATCCACCTGCAACCAGCACCCTTTCTCCGTCCTCTTTTAGGTGACCTGGGAGACCTGACTCCAGCACCAGCACCGCAGCCGCTAGAGGAGGAGACGCGGTGACTGGTGACTAATCGGTTTCTTGAATGTCTTTAATATCTTAAATGGCCACTGAATTACAGGGTTTATAGTATGTATATATATATATATTATATATATATTAAATTTCACGAGGTTTTGGGTACATGGCTCCCATGTAGTTTTTGCATATTTGAGCAAGCTGGTGCGCGCTTAACGCGCATAGGTGCAACCTGGATTTGCTTGATTTTGATGATTTGACCTGGATCCATGGATTTCTGCTGGTAGCTGCCTGTTATCCTCTAAGTTCCTCTATGATATCCACGAATCCTGCGGGGGACGTTCATTCCATGAATCTCTGTCCGTTTCCACTGCTGCCATATCGGCAAGGTGGGCGGCATGGCCCATTGAAATTCAGTGAAGGTGCACAACAGGGCTGGCAAATCAAGATTGATTGAGGCAGTGGCTAATTTAGCTACTGAACATGTCACAACATGTCACAACATGTCAAAACATTTCACAACATGACACAACCTGTCACAACATGTCACAACATGTCACACCCTGTCGCAACATGTCACAACATGTCACAACATGTCACACCCTGTCGCAACATGTCACAACACGTCACAACATGTCACAACATGTCACAACAATCACGATTCGCACCGATGATGGATGATGGCGTTGAGGAGGATGCTTAGATCACGCTAGCATTGCAGGCCGCATCGATGATGGATGATGGAGACGAGGATGCAGAGATCACGCTGGCATTGCAGGCCGCACCGGTGATGGATGATGGAGACGAAGATACAGAGATCACGCTGGCATTGCAGGCGGCTTCACACCGTGCCTCCCAGGCCTCCCAGGTCCAGGCCTCCCAGATCCAGGTCAGGAGAGCGGCCTCCGATCAGGCCGACCAGGAGGTAGTGGTGAGGAGTGGAGGAGGATGGAGGTATAGCCTCCCAACGCTCCTGCAGGCATTGCTGTTTTCTCACTACATCCGCTGTGCAGCAGATTTTGCTCGGGCGGTAGTGTTCGCTGTGGCATTCGCATTAGGCGCGAAGGCAGGACAGACAGGGTGCCAGTAGACATCTGATGAACCACCCAGACATTGCAAGATCAACTGCCCACTATCAGGCATGTCTGTTGATCAATCGTCCATCCATTTTCTCACCTTGATAGGGTTGTGTTGGCTCTGCACCTGAGATCATGTGAGTCAATCTATCCTTTAGCAATCCAGTGCATCTTTGCAAACTATCGAATGGTGAGTGACTGACAGGAACCAGATGCCTACTATCAAACATTTCTTTCGATCAACCGTCTATCCATTTTCTGACATTGATGGAATTGTGTTGGACCTGCACCTGAGATCATGTGAGTCAACCATTGCACCATTGCTGCCACAGGTTGCTCAAGAGGTGAAGGACTCGCTCAATGGCCCGCGGAAGGTGCCTTCACCTAGCACTCTCTCAAGGAGCCGTTTTGTGGAACTTTGGCTGAATTCGAGATTGTTTTTCTTGGAAGTTCATTGATTTGAGAACTGTTTCTGCTGGTGCCGTCCCGGACACCCCGTTGTTCAAATCCACAAGAACATTGTCTAGATTGATCGGTTGATCTATATTGAGTGTGTCGTGTGGCCGATTCCGGTCCGGTGCCGATGATGTAGTGATTTGTGCAGACGCAATTCCAATGTCCCTGCCCTTCCTGCTGTGCTCTGCCAATCCAAAGCAAAGGCAGACATGATGTTGATGCGGTCATTCCAATCTCGCTGGAAGAAGGATTCAGATACCTTGATATACTTGGGTTCCTTGGCCAGGTTGTTGGAAGTTGGTGGGCGGAGAAACAACAAAGGTGTGACAGTATTTTTGGTAAGTAAGTCAATGCAATGGTCATTGTACTTGGAACCAGCATACACAGGATCCACAGGATCTTAAAGGATTTGTGGGGGATATTGGGGGATATAGCATATAACTATAGTTGATGGGTGTATAAAACAATTACTTCACTTCGAATGATCCCCACCATGACATTTATACATTCTCTTACTGGCAAATCTTCTGGCATTCTATCTGACATATCTTCTGGCATTCTATCTGGCATATCTTCTGGCATTCTATCTGGCAAATCTTCTGGCATATCTTCTGGCATTCTATCTGGCAAATCTTCTGGCATATCTTCTGGCATTCTATCTGGCAAATCTTCTGGCATTCTATCTGGCATATCTTCTGGCATTCTATCTGACATATCTTCTGGCATTCTATCTGGCATATCTTCTGGCATTCTATCTGGCCGTTGAGGTCCGGCAGTGCCCACTGGGATCTGGAGCTCGCGGTTGAGGTCCGGCAGTGCCCACTGCGATCTGGAAGTCGCAGTTGATGTCCGGCAGTGCCCACTGCGATCTGGAAGTCGCGGTTGAGGTCCGGCAGTGCCCACTGCGATCTGGAAGTCGCGGTTGAGGCCCGGCAGTGCCCACTGGGATCTGGAGCTCGCGGTGAAGGTCCGGCAGTGCCCACTGGGATCTGGACTGCGAGGAGGAGGCGGAGGAGGTGGAGGAGGAGGAGGAGGAGAACAGCTCTGATAAAATCTAACAACCCTCACCTGGCAGGTGGGGAAAAAACATCACTGCGGTGCCCCGCCCTGAATGTATGTGAAAGACAATGCTGTTGAAATCATTCCAGGACTGATATTTTCCATTTTGATTACTGAAGATGTCCCCGGGCTTACTTGTACCAAAAAATGTCAAGATAACGTGTTCCTAAATGGTGGTTGAAAAAGGGTGGCTCTTCCTCTTAGTAAACTGAAGTCTGAGCAAACGGCTCTCGCTGCATCAAGGCGGCGATGCTTCACCGCAGTCGGGATCGGAGTTCTTTATGATGCTTGGGCGATGGCGTTGACAGAATTCTGGGCAACAGTACATGGTCGATGAACCGCCCCAAGGTCAGCCTATGAAAAGATTTTCAAAGGAACCAAAGGAAGAAATGGATGGGAGTGGAAAATATGGTGATGCAAATACTGCAAATATATTTATCATTAATTTAAACCCGGATGAAAAAACCCTAGGCCGTTCAATTGGGTGGTGCCATTACAGTATCAGGTTATGATTATGTCGACTATTGTGGGGCTGTCACCGTTCTAATTATATAATGGACAATGGTTTATTGATCCGGGGTAGATATTCCAATTCGTGGTTCTAAGCAACAAGCCTTAAACATACACAATGGCAGGCTTGGTGTTCGCATCATTTCACATCATTGTTCCAGTCAACTGCATTTGTTCCCAGCCAAGGATTCTTCAAGATGCGGTATCTTTCGCTTCTGTGGACGCAGCGTGTGTCGCTTGGTTGCACTGGACACTGGACTGACGTGGATGATTGCGGTTGACTTGTTTACACCGGATGTTTTGAGAGATGGTGTCATGGTGTGATGATCATTGCTGGTCCACAATGACTGTGCATGGAAATTGTTTGATATGTGCAGTTACGGCCGCTCTAGGTTTTGGTTGGACTGGGAATGTTGAATGTTGTGATAGGGTTTTCAAGGATGCTTTCATAGCCCCACTCAATTTTGATTCAAGATCTCCAGCGTCACAACAATCCACAGCAAGTAAACAAGTTCGACAGCCAACCCAGGCCGGTCAATATCCTGAAAGTAGTGGCGTTCATTGCGGAGTCGAAACGCATGCTATGCCAGTGACGATCCTGGGGAGCGGTCGCAGCGGGCTCTCGAGCAAGTTTGCTGCACTTATCCACGTGTCCAAACTCGAAGTTTCAGGAAGTGATCCTAGATTGCATCCATTTGCAAGCCTTCAGATTCATGGGACCGGAGTCAATGTTTTGTGCTCAATTTTCTGACATTACGTTGATTTAGGAAATATATATAGAACCGGACAATCATAGGGTTTAGGATTGGGTATCGAGAGGGTTTTGCCAACCAAAGACTTAATTTTGAAGAAATCGTGGGAGTTAGGATTTGGGGTTTGATTAGGGCGTCCCAAACCCAAGACTTTTATTCTGAAGAAATTGTGGGAGTTAGGATTTGGGGCCTAATTAGGGTTCCAAAACCCAAAACTTTAATTTTGATGAAGACATAGAGTTAGGATTTGGGGTCTGATCAAATCCAAGACTTTCATTCTGAAGAAATTGTGGGAGTTAGGATTTGGGTGTCTAATTAGGAGGTCCTAAACCCAAGACTTTAATTTTGAAGAAATTGTGGGAGTTAGGATTTGGGGTCTAGTTAGGGTTTCCCAAACTCCAGACTTTAATTTTGATGAAGACATGGGAGTTAGGATTTGGGTCTGATCAAAACCACGACTTTCATTTTGAAGAAGCCGTGGGAGTTAGGATTTGGGGTCTGAATTAGGGTTTCCCAAACACAAGACTTTAATTTTGATGGAGACATGGGTGTTAGGATTTGGGGTCTAGTTAGGGTTTCCAAACCCAAGACTTTAATTTTGATGAAGACATGAAAGTCTTCAACTTCTTTGTCGGCAAGCACCAAATGTTATTTCACTTCCCGCCTTGAGGCCGCAGAGCTCAGCAAGTGGTCCCGTCGCATCGTCTCATGGACCAGCGACTTCGGAACTGAAAGCTTGATGTGTCAGGCGGCCATGAGTTAGGGGCAGGGGCAGAGGGCAATCATGCACTATACTAGGAATTGTCCTTCATTTGCCCCCAGAAACAATTTCGCACCTTGGGGGTTTCAACTGGCCTGACCTGACTTGATGTGTTTTGAGTTGACATAATAACTCAACTCAAACCTCTAACTAAATGTGCCTGAAATTTTGGGCATGGACCGTGCAACCCATAACTGTGGTTTCAACGCGCCAGCAGGTTCCGCCTGTCCCGCTGGGAGACTTGATGCTGGAGCAAGTCCAGGAGATGGGGCCTCATTTCCGGTACTCCGGGGATCACTCAGAGGATAACCGGTATTTCTTTGATCTCAGCGGGTCCCTCATGATTACAGGCCGGGAGATGACGATGATGATTCTGATGATGGTGATTGTGATGATGGCGGTGGTAACAGCATTTTGCTTTCACCCTAAGTGGGCCCTGACCCTTGCAAGCTCACTATTGGGTCATTGACAGCTCCAGTAACATGTTGACAAACCCACCAGTGTTGACCTTTTTTGACTTCCCGATCAGGGATGGCCCACATCTTTGACAACATTACCAAAGACATATTGCATTGCCTGCCTTCCTTCGGTGAATTCCAGCAGTCGTTGCGAACACTGAGCGACCTTCTCTCTGTAGAGCACTACCGTTCCAGGTTTCTTGTTTGAGCTTTGAAAGTGGAAACATTCAGATATGGAGATCATTGTCTACTGTTTTCTCATTAGTTATTAGTTCATTCCAACTTCGATTGAACTTGCAAACCCTATCACAAGATCTTCCTAATATCCGAGTGTCAAATATCATATCCAACAACGTTTCAGAAGTTCAAAATTATTGTTTTGTTTTTGCCGCCCCCTCACCCTCAAGATCCTTCAAGTTGACCCCAAGTGCGCAGCAAGTACCGTTTTTGAGGCTTGTAGCAACGTGCTACAGGGGGACCGTCTTTGAGAGACTCATGCGAGTCTGGGACGGCGGCCATTTCATTATGTGGAGAGCCTAGGCAGCATTATAATGCCCAGATACATCCAGTCGAAACACTAGTAACCAAACATTTGGCTTCTTCGGCATTCTTTGTTGATTTGGCTTGACTTTGACTGGTCATTGTCTAGCCTGTATGTTGGGATTCGGATTGGTCCTTCACCAGCTCAATTCGTGCCCCGCTGTGAAGGATGGAACTCCCTGACGAAATGCACGGATGCGCTTCTCAAGAGACGTGGTGCACTTGTCAATCTTTGGTCTGCTGCAAAATTTTCCTTCAATGCGAGTGGTGATGGAGATCAGGCTTGGTGGGGCTTTCACGGCAATGGGTTTCAGTCTAAGTTTTATCGCACATTGTTTATTTCAACCAGTGTCCTCTATCAGTGTTGACACCGGCAGTAGACGTTGTCCTCAATGTTGTGAAAATTTCCTTATGTAAGAAGTGATGTTGTAGTTCATGTTCTAAAGCAGGGCTCATGGAGTAAATGACGTTGCAACTGACGTTTTAGTCAAGATAAACACATAATTTTGAAGAACCAGTAGCCCAAAGTAAGACCAATGTATAACAATATATAATTATACGATGTAAGAATTTTCACGTGGGGATCAAAACCATTCTTCTGAGGCACCACCTGCGTCAGAATGCCAGTCGTCGTTGTCGTCGTCGTCGTCGTTGTTAAATGTTAATAAATAGTTAATTATAGTTAATTATAGTTAATTATAGTTATAGTTAATATAGTTAATTATTTTTGTTAATTTTTGACGACGACGACGACGACGCCGACGCCGACGCCGACGACGGCGACGACGACGACTTAGAAATTGACCGGATCAGACCAAAACAAAGAACACCAAACAAAACTCATATAAATATATATATTCAAGCGCGTTTGTGTTCTCAAATGTGTACACCAGGAAGATCAGCCACACTGTAAAAATAATGTGTATAACTATATATATTATATTATGTATAAGAAAAATGCATACTAATACTATATACTACATAAAATATGACTTAATTATACTTAATTATATTAATAGCATTATATATATTATATGAAATATCAACCAGTGACCAATGTCCCCTATATCCAGGCCTCAAAATGTACCCAGGGTCAAGACAAAACATCAACTAAAACGTCAAATTTTACATGTAACATTATCATGAGGTATAATTCCCCAAATCAAAACGTCAAAACGAACATAGTTCGGACATAGTTCGGAACCAACCTTGTACGGACACGTCCCTGGGAACACAGAAGCCTGGATATAGAGGACACTGGTTGAAATAACACATTGTGCATTGGATTCGGTTGGAGAGAGAACATGAAGATCAGTTTTTTTTCGAGTTTTGAATTCTCATATATACAATATATATTCACATCGATTATCGACATCGACACATTTATGAATTATTTTCGGTGGCAGCGCCCCTCGAGGGGCAGGACTGTTGTCACATTGCAACTTTGCAACATCTTCTTCAAGTAACTTCCAAGACATTCTTGATACGTTGTAACACCTTCTTCAAGTAACTTCCAAGACGCTCTTGATACGTTGTAACAGCATCTTCTTCTTTACCATATGAAGTCATACATCCCAGGTAGTCTTTCTTCCAGGAAATTACACGCACACGGAACAACAGCTGCGCTGATGAGACATTGCCTAACATGGCAATGGTTGCATGAAGTCTTGGCTCCTGGCTATTCCCTATTGGATCAGTTGGCCAAGCTTTGTAAAAACACAACAGCGAAGTTGGACTGTGGCGTCTCGCATGATGATGAAAAAATGCCGTCGAATCGTCACTTTGAAAAGAATTGAAAGCGCCGCACCTCCACAGGTGCCGTAACCTTTTCTTCCACATTACATAAATGTCTTCCAGTCCACATTCACATTCCTTTTGGTTACTCATTCCGATTCATTTCCTTTTGGGTACAGAAGGTTTAATATCAGGCGCAACACCACATATCTCTTTCCACCCCAAAGATTTCAAGTATGAAAATCAAATTCACAAAGAACATCCAGACAGCCTGCTGTTCAGGGCCGGGAGAGATCCTACGCAGTGGCTGCATCTTTCATAAAGGCAGTGGATGACACGATTCGCAGCCGATTCTTCTGGGGATACTGTATGATGGTGAACACGCTGGCTGGTTTCCTTACTTCTCTGGCAAGTTGGTGCGAGGGCTGCCAGTGCCACGAAGATGAGCTGACATCGAACAGCACCTACTTTCTCAGATCTAAGCTGACCAGGCAGGAAGGCACGAGTTGTTGTTACAAAGGTCGCAGAGCACCAGAGCTTGCAGCTGGCTTCTTGAAACAACACGTTGATTGGCTGGCCTCCTCTGCGATGACCGAGCTCTTGGGCTTCATCGAAGGACTACCCCCAGATCAGTCATCGAAGATTCTTGAAGACTTTCACACTGCATGCGACCGCGCACTGCTTGAGATACAGGTAAAGACCCATCATTGGGAAGAGCTTCCGTGGGCTTTGGCCGTCAGTGGCCACCACGATGTCGAAGTGGCACGTGCGGGCCTAAGGCGCCTCCGTGACAAATTCTTGAAGACAGAAACTTCGAAGCATTTAGTTTGTATGTTATTTTTCCAACACAAGCCTCAAGCCACTTAGACGTAGTCCAGACTAGGCATGACTAGACACAGTCACAAGTCCGAGTTGGAGTCCAACTTGTCCATGTGCTTTTGACTTGTTGTCCCACACAATCCTGGCAGCATTTTTGACACTGTCATTTCCAAGTTTAGGGGGAGACTTATGAAGAGTTACTGTAACTATTATGCTGTCCATCCCCGTACCCATCACGACAACATACAATATAGTGGGTTCAAAAATAAAAGAAATTCAATTTACCTTTGGATTAGAACTAAGATTGACATTGACAATTGACAAAACCACCATAGATAGCTCAACCAGCTGGCTCACTTCCCCTAAACTGCTCCACACTTACGCTGGCCGCCCAGGAGAAATCACAACGGCACCACCGTATGACGCGCCGATTCTTTGACTCGATGTACGAGGGGGTTGCTGACGACCCTCATGATGAACCGTTGTATCTCGAGGCCAGGAAAGATGTCTAGTTTGCAGTTTGTAGTGTCAAATTTCCAACTTTAAAACTGTTGATTATCGACAAACACCGGGTCAAATATGAATCCAGCACTGGGTCACCATCAGCTACCCACAAGTCACAGAATCCGCATATTGTTTGCCGTTTGCCAGAACATGAATCATCATGAATGATCCTTAATCATGATTTTTAAAATGACAGTGTACGGTAGCTCAACCATCCGACAGAAACATTGGAGTGGCATAGCTAATAGCTGGCATTAACTGAGGTAGTCTATAGGTTTTGTGGCATAGCTGGCATAGCCTTAGGTAGTCTTCGTCTTCGGTTTTGTGGTCAGTATACATGGTTGCCCATTGCCATTTTCTTGACTTCAGGTTGAAGACTTCCTTGCAGGGGAGGACATTGAGAACCTGGGCAGTTTGCGGTTCTGGGCTGGTGCACTGAAGATGATCAGAATCATCGAGCGTCCAATCGAGGTCCTAGCGGTTACTAGGGTCAATGGGGCATGGGCGGAATGGTTGTGCTGGAACATGGATGATTTTTCAGGCATGTTCATACAATGATATTTCTCATTGTTTTGACAATATGGCAATTGACAAACTGTTGATCAGCTGGTTTGATTTTATGGCTTCTGATTAATAGTTCATAGTTTGATTATCTGATATATCCAGTATTTAAATATAATACTCACAGTCGTCGTCGGTCGTCGGTCAGACGGTCGTACAAAGTGGAACTTTGGGACTTGGCTTGCCTGGAGTGTATTGTCTTCCCACGATGAGGGACCATCAGATGATTGACGGACCATCTATTGCCAATCTAGGTGTGCCCAAGCTAAGCTTCGCAGGCTATGGATTTAACTGTGGTTAGCTATCCCGCAAAATGCTTTATAATGGATAAAAACGAGATGTAACAATGGATTTTTAATGGGATATCTATATGTACATCAGGTGTTGGAAGGCATGGGTTTGCACTGATCATTTCTAATCACATGGTTATTTTGGCTCAAGTGCCTTGATCCAAAATAGCATCTTTTTGTTTTTCCCACCCTGAACCCGCCCTGAATTGTGGCCAGCCTAGTTGCTGTCCCACGAATTCTTGAAGGCCCCGTTGGGGCTGGGGTTCGCGCTAGTTAGCGATCTAGCCAGCTCTCCTCATGGGTGACCCCATTGCCTGTTAGAGTGTCTAACAGTGCAGGGGTGGGGGGGGGTTCGTGACCCCCGGGGTAGTATCTAATGGATACAAGTCAGAGTGTCTGACATGATCCCACCCAGGCGGGCCTGGGCAGGCTGGCCAGGCTGGAGCGACCAGCTAACCAAAGCAAAACCTGCGAGCTAACAGGTCACTGACCTGACCTTCAGAGCCTGAAGAAGGAAAAAGTTGAGCTGTGTGTTGAGAGTAGCATCTGGGTGAAGAGAAATGATATTATATTTTACTGGGTTATAATGAAGTTTAAAAGTTTTAGTTTTAATAGGTACCGATCCTTAACTGTAGTTTGTGGATTATAATGGAGAGATCCCACAGGAAAAAAAAATCACCACCTGCGCCATGGCCACGGAGCAGCAGTTGCCTCTCGCAGGCTCTACATCGTGACATCAAGGCGACCTTTTCAAGGGCACCAGCTGCGGCAGATGCATATGTTTCTACAGAGGTGCGTTGGAAGGACTTGGAAAAGTTGTTCTCGAACCCAGCTGATTCTTGGCTTGCGCCGGTTCAGGGAATGAAGGGTGAAAGGAACACGTTGAGTTGAATGATGATGATCACATTTGTACCAGTTTGATAAGTGATTGGATGACATACATCTCCAAGCTGGACCGTGTCAGACAAATTATTCACGGTTAGTTTTTCTCGCGCATGTCAGCTGCTTGATCTGGCAAAGCAGATTGCAAACCCAGTTTTGCTCAAGTAATTTCTTGCCAAGCTTTGCTGCCTGAGCGCTGAGCAATGTCGAGCAGTGGCACGGGCATTGGTGGCAGGTATAGCGATGCCCCGGCTGAAGCTTTCATGTTTGAAGCAGATGTCAAAGCCATGGTGGTTTGTTTAGTTATCCAACTGGGGAATTTGCAAGAAGTCCTGAAGGACTACCAGAACCCGAACGGAAAATACAATAAGTTGATTCAGGCAGTGTCCCTTGCACAGAAGTTGAATGTTGACAACCCGTTCGCTGCGGACATGTTGGCGAAGTTGTTCTGCGTAGTGATGACAGCTCATTGCCATTGATTTATTTAGGCATTGTTTTGTTTCTGTTTTACCGCTGCTGCAACAGCACCCCATCAGCCACCAAATGGGAAACTCAAATTGAGAGAGTTTCCTCTCTGCCTATAAGGTGAAAGAGCGCATTTTGCGCATGGAAGACCTTGGTGGTGAGCTCGCTGTCGTCCCGACACCGAACTCCAGGTGGTATACGAAGCCAGTTGTCAAGGACCCGATCATGCTTGAACCCATGCAAGCCAAGGTAGCCAAATTTTTGGAACAACAGTGCGGTAGGGGTGCTTCTCCACAATGTCGCCTTGCGACACTGAAGAAAATTGTGGAATTTTGGCCAGTTGATTTAGGAACCCAATTTATTTTTCTCCTTTGACATTTCAGTATATCATTTTTCATATTCCAGTTAATACTGATTCGTTAACCATTATCAATGAACCTCATTGTTGTGGGCCAAGTTGTGGCAGCGGTCAGCGGCAAATAGATTCCTGGATATGTTGAACATTCCTTTATGCTACACTACCTCCTGAATCTATCAGACCATTGCCAAGGAAATGGTGGACACCGCAGCCGAGTCGATGGAAGTCTTGATGGACGCCACGCCGCTCCTGAGAGCCGGGCATGCGATTCTGACCGATTTTGTGTCTCATTTGTTTTTCTCTGAAATGGCAGAGCAAATGCCCAACTCAGGTCCCAAGCGCCAACAGTGTCCTGATGTTGCTTGAGTGACCAGGTCCACGGTCACAACGACCGATGTCAAGGGATATAATTTTGACTCACCAGCCACCAGCCACATGCCACATTCTATACTAACAATTTTCTTACTATAGTACTATAGGCTATAGATGCGGAGGCCACTGAGGGCTGGGGGCTAAGCACCAGGAGCAGGATGGACCTTGCGCAGCTGAAAGGGTGGTCTTTGGGCACATGCCTTTGTTCCAGAGGTTCCAGGGACACGATTGGTGTTACAATATATTACAGCCATTGTAGTGCTTTAGCTTGCTTACTTTCACGGCAAGGATTTAGACCTGATATATTGAATGGTGGTGAGATGTTCATCCTCATCCGTTCAGACAGGTAGCCATTCAGATAGGTAAACCTTCAAGACTTCAATGCAAAGCCCATCGTCCAGTATCAGGGCACTTGACATTAAAAAAAACGTTTGATGTTTCATGTTCCACAACAAGGGCACAACAGGGATCACGAATGACACAACATGCATAGGTTCCCCCTCCGGCACTTTCAAATTTGCCTGAATTCAAATTTACATGTTTCAGTTTCATGTGGGTATAAGATGTTTTTTTGACCTGTGACCCTTTTGGCCTCCCCCACAAACGGTTCATTTCTTTCAATGCAGCGTGCCCATGCAAGGATTTGGAGGCATCGATTGCTGAGTTTGGAGTCAATGAGATGACCTCCCACCAGGGTTTATGCAAGGCTGTGGCGCAGATGTGCGGTGGAGACCACTGCTTGCCGAGCAGTCAATGCTCGCAAGTTGCGTCTCGGGAGTTTTTGCGAGATCTGGTGTACCGGCGCTATGCGCAACAATTGTTTTTCCCTTCAACGGTGGTATGTCAGGCTCTAGGTGAGAGGCCTCCAAAACCACAAAAAAAAGTAGCAACCCTGTCAGCCACACAGTCCAGACTCTTGAGCCATTTCCGAACCATTGCGGCAGATGAAAGTGGATCATTCTTCGCCATGCCTGCACCAGAGTTTTCCAAATCTGGGGAATCTTAGCTTGAATAAAGCCAACAACATTCTGTAACTCAAGAGAAATATCCCCTGTTTGGAGGTAGTGTGTCATGCCCGCCTGTTCTCTCAAAGGCAAATCAAGAAAGTAATTGGCTACAACTCAGGAAAGAACTGCTGTGGAAGCTTTGAAGACGTCGGCGTTTGAGTCAAGTATGCTCCCCTTGGGCGACACTACCAAGCATCTGCAGTTGACACTTGGTCCCTCGCAACTTGCTTTGCCATCCACCCAGCTGGCTGTGCCAGTGCCAACCTCTGAGTGCATTGTGGTAGATAGCGATGAAGAACGATGTGTGGACATAGTTGCCTGCATGGATCCGTTTCAGGACCCATTGTTGCAGGCCTACGTTGTCTTCAAAGTTGTCCACACGCGACCAGGACGGCTGAAACGACCACTGCACTCAGATGATGCCATTGGGTCTAACGACGTTGCCCTAAGGAAGTACACCATCCTGGAACGTGATGTAAGTGTGGATGCCAACCTTCTTCGTGTTCGGGTTACATGTGAACATGGGTCTGAAGTGTTTCTATGATTGGACAGTCAGCATGTTTGTTTTTTTGGGTGGACCAAGTCTAAAAGCTCAAGGCATTGGATTGGCGCGGTTGATGAAACTTATTGGGGGAGGGCGCGGGTCAATGGTCAATGGGCCAGGTGGTTTTCCGTCCTTGCCGCCATCCAAGGCTTTGCTCTGACCTATTTGGATCTGCTGACCCTGACACCTTGATGCGGACGATGGTGCAGTTGCGGGTCGATTCGTCAGGACCATCTGCTTCGGTGGTGGAGTGTAGTCTGGACAGCTTGAAACCCTTGATTGATGCTGGTGCCTTCCCAGGACAGCGCCTCAGGATATATCCAGGATGAAAAGTAATGTTTCACTTAAAAAACATTTCTATTTATATATACAATGGCCTGGCAAGCTAAGCCACAGCAATACGCAATACATGGATCAATGGCACCCGATTATCAGCATCAACTTTCCTATTTCAACGGTTAAGATTAAAGGATGGGTTCCGGGCTCCTGGGCGGACATGTGTGGACAAAGCCAGGACTTGGGGACCAATACCATTGCCCTTTCCATTGCCATTTTTTGTTATTTTTTTATGTCTATGTTCCATATAATAGTACATATTCAATATATATATATTATATTACCAGTTACCTAGCTACCATCGGTTCACGATTCATGATTACCCAGTTACCCAGACCCGAACGGATTATGATTGCAACACAAGTATTAACAGTGGCATTTTCTCAGAGACCACACTCAGAACCCGATAATAGCCCATAAACCTTTTTGAGCTTGAGAACATGCCCGATCAGATACTTTCCCTTCCAAAAGTATCTTTCTCAGGTGGAAACAACAAATTCCACGACCTTGGCGATGACAACACGATTGAGAGTATGCAGCTGCTTGAACTCGATGGGTTGGTGACTTCAACCGGGTTGGGTGAAGGCCAGTGGTGTTTGACAGCTGCCGCAGTTGAAGGGTATATTCGACAATCCTTCTGGCTCAGTTCCCCTACCAAACTCTTTGCCCCACGGACTGATTTGCCACTTGACCAGTGCACCCAAGTTGAACTACAGATTTTGCTGGCAAACAATGGTTGGGAACAGCTGTCTTTGGTCGAACACCAAGACAAAGCACATGTACCTTTCAAGGGTGGCACTGATTCCTGCAAGAATTGGTTCTCAGACCGGAATGGTCGGTTCTTTTCCGCCTATTTGGTTTGCTTGCTGAAGTCGGAGAAATTGTTCCAAGCTGGACTCAAGGGAGGCATTTTCCATGGCCAAATTGAATCATACTACTCCGCTTTGCTGGCTTCTCTTGATCAAGGCCTATCTCTAGAGCAAATCCAACCTTGGAAACCAGCACCTATACTTAATATATGTGACTGTTGGTCATGTCGGGGATCATGTTGGGCCTATGTTGGGTTCATGCATTTTCCAAGGGAAGTCAGTGAGTCAGTAGTAACTATGCTCGGCGTTCAGGGGCTAGGCTAGAAAGTTCGAACTTTTTCACCGTGAATGCCTTAGATTTGCCAATGAATTTCCGCTTCTGCGGTTCCAGAACTGGCGAGGCAAAGTTCTACCGTGGAATCATCAAGGGTCAAGAGCCAGAGGGTGAAGGTGATGCAAACGCTGCGCCCAAGTTGCGTTTGATGGATGATATAGATGATGTTCCAGCTTTGGAGGCTGGCTCTGGTCTATCGGGCCCCGCTGCCGCTGCCATCTCCCACGCCGATGCTCCAAGCACTCGGCAGGATGCCGTTGAAGTTCTCAGGCCACCCGATAGGCATGTGCCTTCTTCATCTTCGGCCGCACCTTCTGCAGTGAGGAGCCAACCAAAACAACGGTCAGACACTTCTTCTTACTCCATTTTTTTGTTTAAGCCAAAACATGTGCAGTCAGCTCAATCATTTCAGTCTCGGTTGGGTTGGATAGTTGTGGGCTGAACGCGTTTGAATTCATATGTGACGCTGAGCTACAAATTGTTTCAATGGTTTGATGCTGACATATGTGTTGACAAGTATGTTGACATCACCTAAGGAACCCAAAGCCAGAAGCGAGAACTCTTCAAGGAGACAGGGCACCACGCGATCAAGCACCCATGAGAAGAGCCACCACTTTGGAGACTTTTTCTTGGCATACTATGAGTCTGGTGCGGTTCCGTCGTGGAGAGCTGTGTGTTCTGTTCACGAACAATGCACCAAGAGTATGCGAACCAACCAAGAGCGAAATGAGGAGATTCTTCCTCAATTCTTTCCCAACTACATCCAAATCTCAAAGCTTCAAAGCTCTGTGACCCCGCAAAATCCGCAAAATAATATGGGCCACGGTTTGATTGTACTTATTATCCTTCGGTTAGTATATATATATATACAGATATGGGTTTAGGGTTTATATTGCTACTATATAATCATATTAACTATAAATTGTTAGATATGTTTTAAATTCATATATTTAATGTACTAATGTTACTGTCTTAGTATTAGCAAATTATGCACATTAGATCTTGATCGTACTTCAGATTAGATAGATATAGATAATTAGATATTGTATTATGTTTTCATTGCCTTAAAAAAACTTATTATCATACCAATGTTCGTATATTATTTCATTTCTATATCTATCTATTTAAATCTATCTATGAATCTACCTATCTATCTATCTATCTATCTATCCATCTATCTATCTATCTATCCATCCATCTATCTCTATCTATCTAATTATTTATCTATCTATCTATCTGTCTATCTATCTATCTATCTATCTGTCTATCTATCTATCTATCTATCCATCTATCTATCTATCTGTCTATCTATCTATCTATCTAATCTAATCTAATCTAATCTAATCTAATCTATCTATCTCTCTCTCTCTCTATCTATCCGTCTGTCTATCTATCTATCTATCTGTCTATCTGCCTGTCTGTCTGTATCTATCTATCTGTATCTTTCTATCTGTATCTACCTATATCTATCTATCTATCTATCTATCTATCTATCTATCTATCTATCTATCTATCTATCTATCTCTCTCTCTCTATCTCTCTCTATCTATCTATCTATCTAGCTAGCTAGCTAGCTATCTATTTATTTATCTATCTGTATCTACCTATATCTATCTATCTATCCCTAGCTAAATCTATCTGTATCTATTTATATCTATCTGTCTATCTATCTACCTACCTATCTATCTACCTATCTACCTAACTTATCTAACTTATCTATCCACCTGTCTATCTATCGATCTATCTATCTAACTTTCTGTTTCCTTCAATTCCTTCTACCTGCAGGGGGCCTAGTCCTCTCCTACTGCAGGACGATGTTTGCCGTCGACTGAAGGCATGGTGCCTCAAAGCTTTTGACCCTGACTGTGACTCGAAACACCATCATGTGTTTTTCAGTGCTGTGCCCACGGCCGCAGAAGCCGGGTCCAATGATGACCTCAAAAAACAGTTGGAAAGATTGTCAAAATCAAAGCCACCGTCCAGGAAATAATCCTTTTATGTAGCAAAGAGCCAGAAAGGAACACCGCAGCCTAAGCATGACAATTCATCATAAAATAACGATAATCAATTGCAATCTATACATCGACATGGTTTGTATTGATAGTTTAAACTGGCTTATTTACATCTGACATTGTCTGTTTTGTTTTCTGGACTTCAGCTTTGATCAGCTGGCAGCGGGTTTTATCCCAGCAAGTCGTGTCAGACCCGAAGGGGCTTTGGCCAGGAGATTGGAAAAGGAATAAGGCATTCTTGGTCAGGTCAACTCAGGTCAATCCTGGATGCTGGAACTGGTGATATTTCAGATTTTCATTGAGATTCTGGATTGGAATGGTGGCTTTAGTGGGATTTGATAATGGTGAGATGGGATTTAATGTTGGTTTAATGGGATTTCAATGGGATTTAGTAGTAATTTAGTAGAGTTTCAAGAATCAGGGGATATATAGATTTAAAGCTATATATATATATATATATACACCAAAAACACTGGGAATACTAAAGATGTATTGGACGGACATTGGTTTAAAAACACACGGTGAGCGATGGGACCTTCCCAATTGAACGATAGCCCTTTTCAAGGTTATGTCATTGTATTTCTCTAATATTCTTTTATATCCAGATTAACGATACCCAAATTGGACGTTGATGTCTGTGAATTGTATGTATATGTATATATATATATATACATGTAGCAATTTCCTGATTCCTGCAAGCGATGCCCCGTCAAATTGTTCGTGTAGCTCATACCACAGTTTTTGGATTTTTTTTGATGTTTATGGCTTATGGAGTACAACCTTGGGCCTTCCGGGATTCATTGTAGAGACTCCCTGGCTAGATCTCCAGCCGGCTTTGAGATGAGGCTCAGAGCCGCAGGGGTTCAGTGCTTTTGCACCACGGAAACAAGACATTTGTTATAGCTGGTATTTCACCACCTTTTGACAGTGACAATCAAACACGATCACAGCGCTACAATCTAGAAACCATCGTGCAACAAAAAAGATGTTGGATGCTGTTGCATATGGGAGCTCATATCACACCATAACCATAGCTGAAGAACCCATGATGACGGATAGTCCACCCATGGAGAAGGAACCGGGTGTCTTGTTCAACAAAAGGGGGGGGTCATCCTAGTGGGGTGTAAGTTTGGTTCAGATCGACAATTCCGATTTCAAAACCACATTCACAAACTAACACTTACTATTGTCTATATTAGACTACTGTGTGTTAAGCTGACAATAATCTGCACGATGATGAGGACGATGATGGTGATGCCGGTGATGATTCTTGCGATGTATCTTGTCATGATGGTGAAGGTGATGATGATGATGATGGTGATGATGATGATGATGGCGATGACTATATGACGTTTCGATAATGATGATGGCGATGGTGATACTGATGATGATGATGATGATGATGGTGATGGTGATGGAGTTGGTGCATTTTTCTGGGCCGATGGGGTGAGAACGATGCTGATGTATTGAGATTTATTGAGTACACCGTTGCGCAATTGCAACTTTGATTTTTAACTTCCTCAATTTGCCTTACCTTCTGCACTCCACATATTCACAGTTCATTGTTTAGCTGCGCTATGTTACCCAAGGGGATGACAATGAGCAGAATGGCGATGGGATCTCAACAACTACTAGCATGTCTTCATCTTCCTCCTCATCCTCGGCGTCATCGGACTTGAGCCGTCAATCCAAGGACGAGATGGATGCTGCTTCTTCGAAGCAAAGTAAGCCTAAGGCAAAGTGCAGGTCAAAGGCCAAGGCCAGAGCCCGTACCTTGGATGGTAACAAAGTTTAATTTAAGGTGACCATGTCACCAACATGTAGCTTTCAACTTTGCAGTCAGGAACGATTTGACTGTATGATTTAATTCGAGGTCAGGACGTCTCCCCCGAATTAACCAGGCAGAATTTCGAAATTAAGGGGATATGTACATAAAGTATCTAACCCTACCTGTACCCGATCCCGCTTGCTTGCGACCCGTATTGTTGACAACGAGCTCTTGGTTGAGGCGCGACCGAGTGAGAGGGGAGAGGTAGCTGCTCCGGCAACGCTGGTTTCCAGTCTTGGTTGCTTTCTGCGGAGCTGCTCTCTTCTCTGTCTCTCTTTCTCTCTCTATCTATCTATCTCTCTCTCTCTCTCTTCTCTCTTCTCTCTCTCTCTCTCTCTTTCTCTTTCTCTTTCTCTTTTTCTTTCTCTTTCTCTTTCTCTTGCGCTTTCTCTCCAACAGTGCTTGAACCATGGCTCTCCCTTATCTTTAAATATGGGTAAAGCCTGATGAAGACCTCTTTGCAGTGTTTGAGAACTGTATAGGTTTGCAAGAAGTTGTGCAGGTTTCACAGAAGTTGTGCACGTTTCGCACGTCCCCCTAATACGTTCTTGTTCAACAGCTGTGGAATGGACGGCTCTCATTGGGGGCTCTTAACCAGACTATCCCAAGATACATACATATATATATATAAGAATAATAACATATATATATATATGAATTATAACATTTATATATATATTATCTATATATATATATAAGTATTAATATATATATATTAATATACACATAGTATATACATAATATATAAATATGTATTTGTATATACATAGTAAACATATATATATATTTAATAGTACAATATATAGTATAGTATAATACATATACAGTATATATAATATATATAGTGTGATAAATATATATAGTATATATTATTTAAATATAGTGTATATATATATATATATTATATTTATACTAAATATATATATATATGTATATATATATATATTTGTTGAAATATATATATATATATATTTATTAAATATAAAGTACATATATATATATAAATAGAATTTATATAATATACATTATATATAAAAAAATACATATATATATATATAAATAATACTAAATAACAACAATAATAAAAATAAATACTAATAATTAACAATAATAATAATATATATATATGTATATTATATATAGTATTTACAAGGTTACAAGGTATATATATATAGCATTTATTTAGTATAGTATATTTATATATAGAAAATATAAGTAGATGAAAACACTGGTCACCGAAAATGAGATCATGATACTGACGGCGTCATTTATGTATGTACGATTTGGACATTTTATATAATATTGTATTTCTTCACAGTTAATTTTTATATTTACATATATATATATATAATATACATATACTGTCTACCCGTCCGCCCAATCACCCAAGAGACCCGTGTGTGTGCTGCGCTGCCAGGCAAAACGTGTTCAACGACCTCAACCTGGACAACAACGTGACACCAATTTCGTTTTTCAGACGTCCTAACTTAATTTACGACCCAAGAAATATTGTACTGCAAATTGGTCATATATATATATATATATATATGTTCAGCAGCTGCTCCAATGGTGAATCATTGCCCAGAATTGAAGGAAGTCAGGAAGGGAAAATCAGATCAAATCATAGGAACCCTGTGTATGTGTATATTTTGTGTTTTTGTTTTATATTCATGTTTACAGTAAATATACTGCTTTCACGGATTTCAAATTGATAGGCTTGAACATGAAAGGTGTCCTACTCGATTTTATCTGCCGGTGTGCTCGCCCACATACTATGTCACATACCGAACGTCAAGACAATCTAACCAGAAGGCGGCTATCTTGATGCCCTGGCAAATGCTAAGTTAAACTTGGCATTCGCGTTAAATATTAGGCTTACACATGAAGTACTAAGTTTAAACACAGTCTTGTTTTTTGCAGGCCACTACGTGTCCCGGGCTCTGGGATTGGTTGCTTTGGGTCGAAGTACTTTGCAGGATCAGTCAAAGCTTTGGGATCGAAAAACGACCACAGGAAAACATCGTGTTTGTTTTGTGCCAGAGAGGCCCACCATGGTTAAACTTAGCATCCCCGTACGTCAAAGTTAAACTTGCCTTTTGAAGGCATGAGTTAACATTCCATTGCAAATAGTGTGCCATCATGTTTTGTTCTCAAGTGTTGAAACGGTCGGAAATGGTCGGGGATTTTTTTGTTCCTGCAAATGTTGTTGCAACTTTTCTTTGGTGTTCACATGTTGAAACGGTCGGAAACGGTCGGGGATTTTTTTTCCTGCGCATGATGTTGCCAGATTTCTTTGGTGTTCACATGTTGAAACGGTCGGAAACGGTCGGGGATTTTTTTCTGCACATGATGTTGCAAGATTTCTTTGGTGTTCACATGTTGAAACGGTCGGAAACGGTCGGAAACAGTCGGGGATTTTTTTTCTGCAAATGATGTTGCAAGATTTCTTTGGTGTTCACATGTTGAAACGGTCGGAAACGGTCGGGGATTTTTTTCTGCAAATGATGTTGCCAGATTTCTTTGGTGTTCACATGTTGAAACGGTCGGAAACGGTCGGAAACGGTCGGGGATTTTTTTCCTGCACATGATGTTGCCAGATTTCTTTGGTGTTCACATGTTGAAACGGTCGGAAACGGTCGGAAACGGTCGGGGATTTTTTTCCTGCACATGTTGTTGCCAGATTTCTTTGGTGTTCACATGTTGAAACGGTCGGAAACAGTCGGGGATTTTTTTTCCTGCGCATGATGTTGCCAGATTTCTTTGGTGTTCACATGTGCACATGAAGACGGTCGGAAACGGTCGGAAACGGTCGGTTGGATTTTGAAACGGTTTCCTGCACATGATGTTGCCAGATTTCTTTGGATTTCGTTCACATGTTGAAACGGTCGGAAACGGTCGGGGATTTTTTTTCCTGCAAATGATGTTGCAAGATTTCTTTGGTGTTCACATGTTGAAACGGTCGGAAACGGTCGGAAACGGTCGGGTTTTTTTTTCTGCAAATGATGTTGCAAGATTTCTTTGGTGTTCACATGTTGAAACGGTCGGAAACGGTCGGAAACGGTCGGGGATTTTTTTTCTGCACATGATGTTGCAAGATTTCTTTGGTGTTCACATGTTGAAACGGTCGGAAACGGTCGGAAACGGTCGGGGATTTTTTCCTGCACATGATGTTGCCAGATTTCTTTGGTGTTCACATGTTGGAACGGTCGGAAACAGTCCAAAAGGTCAAATTGTTTTTGCAAATGGCTAGAAGTTCAACGAACACAGGCCCTTACGCGACAAAACCAAAATAAAAACACACATTCTGACAAAACATGTTTTTGTTTAATGGTTCAAAGGTGATCCCAGAGGAAACGGTTGGAAACGGTTGGAAACGGTTGGGTGGTGTCACTGCGCTCGGCAATTTAGGCATTGTTTTTGAAATAATATCAGCTCATCTTAGCCCAGAACTGCTAAAATTTATATGTTTTTTGCCGTGCCAAGTGCACCACCCAACCGTTTCCAACCGTTTCCCTTGGGATGCCTTTGAACCATTAAAAAAAAAACTGATTTTTCTCAATGACTTTTTTTTTCGCAAAATGATCTTTCTGTGTCGGAAACTGATCAGTAGTGACCGGACATCACTCTTGATAGCATTTGGCTTCACCATATTGACGGACAACTTACAACGTTTTTCTTACGCCGTGGTTCAGTGAGACATTCAACATGTAAATCACATGTCTTGAATTGACAGGAACAGTTGATGAAGGGGTGAGACCATGTGCAATACTTGACGACAACTTTTAAGACTTGTGTTGGGCTGGAACCCCTTTTGGTTCGCAATGGCCAGAATATGCCAGAATGATGTAAATGTTATGTTGTGGTCCTGTGGGGTCAGCTTAAGCCAAATAGCTTCACCAACTGACAACATCTGGTTGGTGATACGTTTTATCTCAGGGTTGTTTTCCCAAATTTTTGATCCAAGATCTTTCATAGGCAAAAACCTTGAAGGCCCAAACTTTATCGCGTACCCATCTCCTTTGGACCCCCGTACAAACCTTGACCCAAAACCGTAAAATCCTAAACCCTAAATCCTAAACCCTAAATCCTAAACCCTAAATCCTAAACCCTAAATCTTAAACCCTAAGCCCTAAACCCTAAACTCACCATTAAAAATTGGGCAGCATTTTGTTAAAGTCATTGTGAGTGTGGGAATCTGCGGGGGAAGGCACCAGAGGGCAAATGTGGCGGGAGATGGTAGGGAAACCACTGGTAAGGAAAAGTGGGTAAATGGTTTGATGTATTGTCTTAAACAATGAATTATAAGGGGGAAGCACCCTAAACCCTCAACCCCAAATTCACTACTAAAAATTGGGCAGCATTTTGTTTACTTATGTCAGTGTGGATGTGGAGTACAAGACAGGAGATATTTGGAGGGGCAAAACAATGGTAATGAAAAGTGTGTAAAAGGATTGGTGGGTCAGCCAAATAAATTCAAAGGGGGAAGCCTCTAAACCCTCAACCCTAACCCCTAAACTCACGACTAACAATTGGGTAGCATTTTGTTTAAGTCAGTGTGGATGTGGAAATCTGCGGGGGGAAATTTAATAGAGAGGAGACATGGCGGAAGAAGGTAGGGAAAACATTAAGCAAGGAAAAGAGGGTAGATGGATCGATGGATGATCCTAAACAATACAGTAACTGATAGTAAGGGGGAACGATCCTAAACCAAAGTGCTAAAGCTGAAAACTTGGCAGCATTTGGTTTGGACAGGGCTGGGTTGGGGACTGTGAGCTGTGGCTGCGACAACGGGCCAGCCTTCGTTTTTTTTGTGGTTGCAGCTTTCCGTTTCCAACCTTGTATGTTTTCCCACCGTGGTCAGTAAAATAAAGTAAAGCCACCATCAAAACTACCTGGTCATTTTTCTTTTTTTGTTTACCTGCCATTTAACACTGCTACTTTGTGGGTGTAAACTGACGTAGCAGGTGTCCAAACTTTTTTTTGGATTGGGTTCAAGCGCCCGGGAGGGGGTTTTATATTGCAAAAACGCGCGAACCCAACCCAGAAAAAAAAGTTCAAACTTGTTTCCACAAGGACACCCACGGAGCAAGTAAAAGGTACCCTAAATTTGCCAGATGTTTCAATGCCAGATGTTTTGTTTCTGGTTTTGGGGCCTTCTTGGTATAAAAGTATTCGTATGTTTATGATACTGTAAAGAGTACCCGAAGTTTTAGGGGAATTTGTTCATGTCTGCAGTTGACTTGTCGATAGCGGTTTATAGATAGGCCAAGTGTAGTGCTTGTCTTACAAGCACGCCCTTGTCTTGTGAGAAAGTCTTAACTTATCTTTATGCTCTTCTCTCTGTGTCTTCCCTCTTTGCTCTTGCCCCTTCTAAGTAAAAGGGAAATGCACAAGAAGCCCACGCGCACTCTACGCTGATGAAAACGCGTAATGTTTGCTAGTCGTTTTCTCCTCTCTTGCGTGCGCGCGTTTCCTATACAGTAACGACATTTAAATATGTGGAGGGCAGGCCAAACCGCGAGGCCCCGGAGGTAGTATGAAATACCAGTTCGTATATTTAAATGTAGTTACGGTATGTTTAAATGAATTGGATTCCGTATGTTTAAATGGCTGGGCGGGCCAAGGAAAACCTTCCCGGAGGTAGTCTAAAATACCTGTTCGTATATTTCAAAATCCGTATATTTAAATGTAGTTACCGTACGCGTTTAGGATGTTATTCACTGTTTTGGTCTCTCAAAGAGAAATCTGTGAAACAACTTTTCAATGATGAAAATGAAACAGAAGCAACACGCTTCCGTGCAACAGAAAACCATGACAAAGAACAACAGATCATGAGTCGCGGACATTTCGAAATCAATCATGTCATGTGGTTTGAAGGATGCAACATTCACTTACCACTTAACTTACTATCTGTTGTGTGTGACATTCATGCCCAAGTGGGTGGTGAGGGTGGGAAGAGCTTGTGGCTTGCAAATTTTTAGCCCGCCCAAAATGAAAATTACCAACATTGTTGTTTGAGTTTGAGGTTTCGTTGGCGCGTCGGCCATTTGGTCTTCAGTGATGCTCACGATTTTTGATTATGGGTATCCTTTTCCACTGGTCTCTCCTGAGTTAGATGAAAGAAACTCTAACACGGCCATGTGTAGAGGCAAGTGAACCATATCACTTGACCCAACAAAATAAATTTCACGGCTCAGGTAAGGCGACCCCGGTACCACAGGTGCCGCAGATGGAGGTGGGGACACATGACACCTGCCAGCCGGCCAAGAGGGAGTTGAACGTTGAGTTGTCCTTTTGTTCAGACGATGAAACCCTGAATACGAAAGAGAGATCTGTTCTCAAGTGCCCCTTGCAAAAAAAAGCAAGGAGAAGCGAACCCAAGGACCCGGGTACCATCCGAAATGGTCCTTGCACAAACTCTATTCCTGTTGGATTGGTATTCCTGCTGGTCTGGTTTTATTGGGTGTGCCATTCTGGGCCTTTCCTGTTTATGCAACCAAACTACACACCACAACATAGGCAAACAAAAATTGAGGGGGCAGGTTTACCACGATTTAAACCTAAGTTTTACCTGGAGTGTTGTTCCAAGAGTGGGGTGTCTCACTCAGAGTGTCTTACTAAGAGTGTCACTCCAAGAGTGTCCTCGTAAGAATGTCTCACTGAGTGTGTTTTACCATAAGGGTAGAACAATGTTTTTTTGGTGAGTGGCTAATGGTGTACCTGGTAGTTCATTAACTTAATAATGATTGGTGATAACGGTGACCTGTCGTGCTAAGAGTGTCAAGAGTGTCACTACAAGAGTTTGGGTGCCCTTTTGAATGTGACAATGGCGTAAGCAAGGATAGTCCCAGACACAGACTGCGTCACCTGTTAAAACCTGACTCCCATGTTTTTTTCTATTAGGGGAGGGGTTATGGTTTACCACTCCCACCACCTCGAAACAATGGGGCCTTACATTACAAAGTAAGATCTCGTGATTCTCTCATGGGCCATGGTTTTGACGTGAATCCAAGCCTGGCAACTTCGTTCTTGGCTTGGGAGTTTTAATATCACATGCTGTAAAGGTTTCGTTTCACACCAAATCAGACCCCCAAAAGCAGAACACAAGATCGTACTAAAACATGTTGTCAAGCCAGGGACAGCCATCAATCACAAACCAGTGTGTTACATTTCAGGACACGAGCTCCAGCGCATTGCCCGTGGATTCTTTGGACGAGTCCTTCAGATGGCACACTCACTTGGTTGACATGTGCTGTGAAACTTATGGTCGGGAGGCAGTGGACAGACTGGCCAGGAATCTAGCTGGGGCCATTTGGCTTTCTCAATACAGTGGCGTGGTTGGTCTTCAGGACTTTTCCACCATCCGGGTATTTTGCTGCCACATGTCAAAGGAGGGATCATGTGAGCTTGCGTAGAGGATTTCACAAACAGAGTCCATTAATTTTCCTGATTGTATCTTATCATTGGTTCATTACTTCAATATTATTACTGTCTTTCCACCATCCATCAAATTTAGGCCACGGCCCATCTACTGCCATCACCACCAATGGTTTCAACTGTCATCAGCCGGCTATGGTCTATGGCCGTAGCCTAGCCTGGGAATTGGTTCAGCTTAAGTCTGTTCCTGATTGATGGTTATTGCGGTTTCATGCAGTGTCATCTATGTTCGACATTCATGCCGCAAAGTCAGTAATGCAGCTGCCTCATATCCAGGTGGCATGGGCGGCATGGAGATTTTGAAGAACCATTTGGAGATCGCAGTGGACATGGCTGGACATGGCTGGACGGAAGCTTCCAAAGGGGGAGGTCTACCACTCAGTTGACCTTGACCCAACTTGCCAGCGAGTCCTTTTGGGACACAACCCCGTGCATGTCTTCAAGGACATTTTGCAGCTTCTGAAATTGCCAGTTCGCATTGCTGTGCAGCGAGTCATGAAAGAGAAAGAAGCCCACGTGCAACAGTTGTTGGCTGAGTCTCAGAATTCTGACACACCGAAACAAAAAAAACAGCAGCTGAAGTCAGACCTGAAAGAAGTCGGAGAGGGAGTGCTGAAGTCCCTTATGGAGTGCATGGATCAGTTCTCAGACAAAGATTTCTTTCAAGCCACAGCTGCGTGTTACAAGCATCCTGATGGGGCAGGATCATGTCAGATCTTTCCTGACAAGGTTGAGACGTTGGATGGTGAAGGTGCAGGCAGCAAGGAGTACTTCATGGCAGGTACCTCTTGCACAGACTGGAGTAGCATGGGCACAATGACCTCCTTGGCGGGGTCAACAGTGCTCCCTTTTGCAGTGGAGCTGCAGATCGTGAAGCGTCGCCGCCCTCGTGTGTTTTTCCACGAGTGCACACGGAACTTCCGACCAACTATTTTGGCACAATACTTGGAAGGTTTCTAGGTAGCAGTATGACCAAGTAACATGATAGACATGATAAAAGGCCAGGAAACTTTGAACATTGCCGCCGGAAAGTAGTTTCAACGCAAGTTGCCATCTTCAAATGTCAGACGCGAGTTGCCCCTGCAAAATCTGCAAGGTGCACTGCACCAACGGCCTAGGGCCTTACCCAAACGGTCCGCCTTTATATACATAATATAGGTTTTCAAAAATGAAAAATACAAAAGCCTAAAGCTGTCTCATTTTCTATTGACAGTATTGAATTGGTGGCCATTGGTATTTCATTGCCTTCGGCAAGCCCGTTGGCCATAGAGAGGTGGCCCCAAGGGAGTTTGATGTGCATTCTAGGTGGAAGCCCGCGAGAGAGCAGAAGAGAAAAGAAGAAGAAGAAGAAGAAGAAGAAAGGAAGACGAAGACAAAGCCGTAAAACGGAAGCGGCTTGTGTAGCAAGGTTATTTGCTGTAACAATCTATTGATCGTATACCAAATTAGTACCGCCCCCAGCAAAGTAGCGCCAGGTACTATGTATGAGCCTCAGTATGAGCCTCTGGCTTGACAGCAGACCGCTGCATGGACGGAGACAGGGGAGAGACGGGAGAGAGATTGCCCCAAGGGAGGTTGACGTGCACGCTGAGTGGAAGCCTGAGAGAAGAAGAGGCGAAGACAGAGCTGTAGATCAGAAGCAGCTTGAATAGCAAATGCGTGCTTGAACAACAAATGGAATGTATACCAAATGAGTATTGGTCGATCAATACCGTGTGCGTCCTGTGACGGGCACCTGTAGACGACGGTAATGCTGTAGACAATGTCCTTAGCTACCGGCACTACCAGTGTAGTACTTGGGGAAGAAGGAAGGAAGAAGTAGAGGAGTAGAGGCATCGGAGTAGTCGTAGTCGTAGAAATAGTCGTATATAATAGTCGTAGTCGTAGTCGTACCCTGAGTCTCGAAATCTAGTGTTTTGTGTTTTTAGTTTTTTTGATGATTTACTTTACTACTAGTAGTAGTAGTAGTAGTAGTAGTAGTAGTAGTAGTAATAGTAGTAGTAGTAGTAGTAGTAATAATAGTAGTAGTAGTCGTCGTAGTAGTATTCGTCGTAGTCGTAGTCGTAGTCGAGGTCGTAGTCGTAGTAGTGGTAGTAGTAGTAGTAGTCGTAGTAGTGGTAGTAGTAGTAGTAGCAGCAGCAGCAGGAGTAGTAGGAATAGTAGGAGTAGTAGGAGTAGTAGGAGTAGAATAGGAGTAGTAGTAGTAGTAGCAGTAGTAGCAGTAGTAGCAGTAGTAGCAGTAGTAGCAGTAGTAGTAGTAGTGGTAGTAGTGGTAGTAGTAGTAGTAGTAGGAGTAGTAGGAGTCGTAGGAGTCGTAGGAGTCGTAGGAGTAGTAGTAGTAGTAGTAGCAGTAGCAGTAGCAGTAGTAGTGGGGGGTGACTTTAAAACGTGCAGCAAGAGAACCAAGGAACAAGTACAAGCCAAGAACAGAAACAAGAACAACACCTTCCAATCAGACACGCCGGCAGGCCGGCAGATTGGTAAATTGGTCGCCCTTGATGTTGTAGTTGTTTTATTATTATTTTTAACCTTTCCCATATGTAATACAGCAATACAGAGGATCGCATCGGATCGGTCGATGTTGTCAGCGTTTTCGAAGGTTTTTGTCCTTTGTATATGACATTCTTTCATTCCAATGTTCGACCTCCTTGTTGCAATCTTGCATCTGGTGGTTCTTATCGCATTGCATGCATCAAACTCTGAGGATATGAAGTGCATTCGGCGATTCAGAAGCCCACCCTGCGAGGATTCCCCATTGCGAGGACCCGTGTCTACTCGGCATGTATCCGTGAAGACTTCACCCTGCACAACATCAATGATGTCACGTCTTCCCTGGAAGTTTTTGACCGAAGTCCTACCTTTGATGGTGGAAAATTATTTTGTGCTCCGGACAACATAGCCTTTCGGTATCAGAAGTCAATATATTTTACTTTTGTCAAAATAGATTACCATAGCCATCTGCCCTTTAACATAGTTGTAGTAGATAATCTGTTGACCAGTGAGCAAAGCACATATATTCAGGAGAGAAACATGGTCATCAGTCACCAGGGTCAGGGTCAGGTTGATTTGTTTTTGTACCCATGCCCATGCCCATGAGGTTCAATCAGAGCTGGAGGCCCTGTCATTGTCCAAGAAAGGCGCCCGTGCCCAGAGCTTCCTGGATGTTCTCCCAGCTGCATTTCAGGTCGGGGGTGGGTTAGACATGGATATTGTTTCACACCCACAGGTTTCGTACAGCGGTTGGTTTGGAATCTGAAACTTCAGGTTCAGAGTCTATCAGAATCATTTTTCATTTTTGAGGCATTCAAGTTTATAGTTCAACACCCTCCCGGGTTGTAATTGGCAATTAGTTGAGTTGAGTCGGTTGCCACTGTCCACTGTCCACTGTCCATTGTCAGGTTCTGTCAGATGTCATGTCACTATGTCACAGGTGCGACGTGACCAGTACCAGGCGAACGAGCGAGTGCAAGATATGATGAGCGATGGATCTGACGTGATCATCAATTTGACCCAGAATGTGGATTTCTTGTCTTATGCCAGTACGAACTGCCCCTGCTTGCTCACCAAGAGCTACATGTGGTCTCTCCGTCAACACAGGCCAATGACTTGGCAGGAGCTTTTCAATGCACAGGGCATCCCCATGTTCCCCCAGTCCGTGCAAGTTTCAGGGATTGGGGTGCCTCCCATACCGGCCGACTTGGGCCGCACAGCAGGAGTTCGGTTGGCTGGCAATGGTTTTCACATTGCCTGTGCTGGCACTTTTGTTGGGTTCATCCTTTCATGTCTCAAGGAAAAGACCCCAAATTAGCCAATTTGAAGTTTGCCACGTGCCACGAAAGCCTTTAGCCACAATAGACTTGCCACTTGACCATGCAGATGGGCTTAGGCTTTGGCACTAATTTCAGAACTTGTCGCGTGTTCTAAAGTTAAAACTGCAGCTAGCCGCCGGGACTTCACTGATTTATTTATCAGATGTTTCGTTTTTGTTGGCGTGGCGGTTGACACTGACTTCTGCGGTGATATTGGGAAATCCATTGGTATATGTTGGTATCATTTGCTTGGTTGCTGGGACTTACTGTTGTTTTCACTGGGTGCAGCCAGCTTTTGATGAGTGTACCAATCCTGTGGATTCATTCGCTCAGCAACTTGATCCATTTCCAGTCCAATCATCCAAATTCAGTCAGATTTATTTGCTGTCGTAATCGTGGATTCCTGGATCCAGCTTGTTTGGCAGTGCAAGGCTGTGTGGGATCACAGCTAATGTACAGGGGTTGTCAGATGCAAGTCCAGGGTTTTGGCCTGACACGGACACGGCCTGACATTTTGCAGTCATCAATTTTGCAATCGACAAGTTTGAAAATTTTGGATGTATGTCAGCATCCGCCACTGTCACTGACGATTGGCCCGGGACAATTGACTGACAACCCCAAAGTAAGAAAGTAGGAAGCGTAGCTGTGGCTGTAGCCCGAAGGGATACTTATAGAGCTATGGCTATGGTAAGACCTGATGATGTCGATGTTGACCGCACTGGGGATGGGGCGGATGCATCTGCAAAAGATGCAACAGACATGAACGATGGGGAGGGTGATGTGTGTGGCATTTGTGACTGTCAGATCTCACTCGAAGATCGGAGGCAAATTATCGCAAAGAAACTTGCCCGGGGGTATTGTTTGACAGACTCCTATGCTGTTCGAGCCTTTCAGAGATGCTGTAAAGAACAGCACACAGAGAACCAGATGGACACTCTGAAGGTTCAAAACCCTGACTTGTGGAAAGGGACTGTCATAGCCTTCCGAGATCAGAGAAGTGTTGGCAAGGGAACCAAATTTGATGTCCTACGTCACCTTGAAGCTACTAAGAAGGCTTTTGTTCAGGATTCCGACGATGTGTACCGCCCCCTCCTGTTTGAGGCGTACCTGAAGCACTTCATGGAGCTGCCTGCGCCTCTCCACCTCACAGAGGCGCAGGCGACCGCCCAATGGTATTCTGATTTGCAGAACCCAAAGATTAAGAAGTCGGAGAAAAAGTATTACAACCCCAAGTCCAAGCAGGACGAGGCAGCTTGGACATGAACATGGATGTGGCGTGGACAGGGTCTTAAGCCACACATTTGTCAACTCAACTCGGTGCCATTGCCCCTACCATAGAAGTAGGAATGCTGTGTGGTTATATTGTTGCTTTGCGACAGCATGGAATGAGACATGAATACCATTACTGCATGTACTGACATCTGACAGGGACACAGTGACACTGACATGACCGACAGTGACACTGGCACTTGTATTTTCACATGTGGTAATCGGTCTAAAGGTCCTCGTGAAGAGTTTTAATTGCTAAGACCGTTCTTCATATTATGTTGTGAACCCTTTCGAAAGTTTTGTTTTCGAGTTCGCGAAAGTAACATTTCTACTCGGTAAAGCTTAACGAAAGTTGGATGTTATAATCATTATTGTACGGGGTCCGGCAGTAGAGGGGTACCGGAGAATTTCGGCTTGGTTCTGGTTCAGTTTCCTGCGTGGTGCTTTTGGACAATCACCTTGCCCTTCATTGGTAGAGGTGAGGCTTCGCGACAGCCAAACACCATGGTCCTGAAGCAAGTTTCCAAAAGTGAGGCTTTCGAGAGCCAAGCACCAGGGGCCCTGTCCTTTGATGCACCCACTGCTGATGGCTGGGGTCTGTGAATAGGGATATTTGCGTGAAAGTTCTCAGGAGCGGGCGAAAGTCAAAGTGCATTTTGAAGGGGGTGGCCCAGTAACCTTGCAACAAAAACTAGTCAGCAACGATCTGTCCTGAGGACGGATTCCGTGATGCTAGCTGCACGTTTACAAGGCTATAAAGAAGTGATTCCTGATTCTCTGGCGTAGTTTGGCAGGTGATAAATGAATCTTTATAAGAGGCGTTGTTGCCAAACAGGACAAACATGTGCTCCGCGAAAGATAAACGTGGAGTTCACGCAAGTTTCGTAAAGCGACATTTTTATTCGCGGAGAATTGCTGTTTTGCGGACAAAGGAATATAGATCAACAACCATGTATGCATCGTGTTTGGCAGGCATTGGGCGTGCATTGTCATTAGGGTAAGCATGTTACGTTGATGAACACATTTGGCCCAAGGGTGAGCCAAACTGGCTTCATCAACATATTTTTTTCCCAACCCTCCCGCCCTATCCGGTCTTGTAGGGGTCACCTGCACAGCATTCCAAAGCACTACCCAGCTGGAGGCAGGTTGAGACCAAAAGACGAAGCGGAAAGGGAAAACAAATGTGAGCGAGAAGTGAAGTGCTGGGTGCAGTCGAGTATGCGACATGTCAGTAGTTAATTACATTTCACATATCAATTAATTTTAGTTAAGTAATTAACTAATTGATTGATTTATTTGTTGTTATTTATGGACCTTTTTTAAATATATTATGAAAATACTACTGAGTAATACCAATACGGAGTCCGGCCCCGGCCCGGAGTCATGGGGCCTGCAGGAGTAGACCTGACTTTTTTTGATTGGATCTGATTCGGATCGGGGTTGGGTTGGGCTCGATAAATTTGATTTGTTTTGTTTGAATGCCCACGGGGCCCTATGCAGCCGGCCATCCTAGATGCTGACCCGGGTTCACGTACAAGTCGATGAACTTGAGCACCGGAGAGAAGTAATTGAGCAGCTTGGCACAAAGCTGCGCATTGGATAGCAGGTTGGGAAAAATTGGGTTTCAACCAACTGTATATCAAAAAAAGCCACATGTGGGACCATGGGACATCATGGGACATTGGATGACAACGCATTCCACGTTTCAAGGACAATGGGCCCAGGGCACGGGATTAAAGTGTGTTTGTTAGGACTTGATAACTATAACTTGAACTGGTAGCCGGGTTGTGCAGGAGATTTTGGTTGTATTTCTGTGTGTCTGCTGGGTGTGATGACACTGACACTGCTGACTTTTTACAAATGACAAGAGTGTTTTTCTATTCAGGTCAGGACATGTAATTTCCAAGTTCAAGAAATAATTCCGAATTGTTTCTACTGGTAGCTAGCCATCAGCTCTTGGTTCAGAGCCCCAACCCTTCGAGAGTGGAAGTCATGGATGGTTGCAACATATCACATGAATACCTGCAAGGCTTGATAAGGGATGTCTAAACAACACCATTTCAAGGAAACTACTTGCAACATTCACAGGAACATCCCTTCAAGGGTGCCGATGCTTCAGGCGATCCCAGACAGTGCAGAAAGAGACAATGTCCAAGAACTCAAGTCAAGGTCGGGAGCTGATGACTCGCTTAGAGACGGCGCCAGTGGATGCAAAAGCTTTCAAGGCAGGTTTGACAGACCTGTCCCTTGAATTTGAGGCGGGACTGGACTCGACAGGTCAGCGGCTAGATTCCTGATTTTGGGCATTGATATAGGATAGGTGGGTTTTTTCTAAACGTAATCTTTTTCATCAACTGGTTTTGACACTCTTGATTCCTGACGACTAGTGATGAGGGTGTTTGCTCACACATGGCACTGTTAGTAAGTTCCCGCAATGGGGGCATCCCATTTGTGAAAGACCCATGAGCATGAGAGCATGATTCAAAAGAAAGTTCCTAATACTGAGAAGTATCCAAGAATATCCATCTCCAGTCTTCTTGGTGACCCCCTCCAGTTGTTTTTGTTCGGGGCTGGACTCCACAGGTCAGTGGCTGGATTCCTGATTTTGGGCATTGATATAATGAGTGGGTTTGTTCTAAATGTATATAATCTTTTTCATCGACTGGCTTTGTCACTCTTGATTCCTGACGACTCGTTTGCAAGTGGATCTTGAGCAGACTCTGCTGTCTCAGGACTGGCTCCAGTGGGAGGACTGGGAAGAGGACGCTTTCCCAGCCGAAGGAACAACAAGGGGGGGGATGGCTCAACGGCAGGGCCGTCGGGCCGCAGAGCTGCTGGGAAGGCAGCCCCCAAAATCGAGAACATTGACCTTGTTGCTGGTAGCAAAGCCAACATGTTGATGGTGACTGTTGAGACTGTTCACAACGCTCTCCAGAACCAGATTCACGCTGCCCGAGAAGCCTTTAAAGAACATGCCCCCCCAGAAGCTCCTGAATGGTATTGTAGTTTTCATTTCGTTTTGGATTACCATGGGTTAAATGTCCTTTTCTTGTGGCCTTCTCATTCTCGTTTGTCCCGGAGTCCCAGGTGCTGCAACACACCCTGACGCTACATCATGCAGGTGTCACTGAGTCTCAAATCGCCGAGTGGGTGGTCAACGGGACGGATCCTTATCAGTTGGGCACCAACCGATCTGTCTACAGGTGCGCTTTGCAGTTTGTCAAGCGGGTGGAGATGGCAGAGATGCTGCTGGGAGGCAGTCCTCTTCCGTCAGGGACGACTTGCAAGGATGTGGTGGAGACACTTAGCTGCAACCCAACTGTTGCAGCATAAGAATGGCCCACTGCTGCTGCTGCCCCCTCTGTTTTTTGAATTTCTTTGGGAAAAGATCATACCATACATCAACAGGATAGGCAAACAACAGTTATATCGTTAAAAACAGTTTTTGCTCCCCCTCCTCTCCTCTCCTCTCCTCTCCTCTCCTCTCCTCTCCTCTCCTCTCCTCTCCTGCATTTTTGTTGTATCGGGCTCCTTGCCCAATGCTCGCAGCCTGGCTCAGGCTCACTGTTTGTCACAAATTTTACATGAACACTAGACTGGACACATTGACCTGGTGCCACGCTGCCTAGTACATACCTATGTCCTCAAGTAACATCCCGGTAAAACCAACGACTTGAGACGCACTCAGGCAAGCAGGATTCTTTGCGGAGGACTTTGCACCAGTGGTGGTTCCATGCAGCATGTTGATGATGAACCTCAAAGGGTACCTTTTGGAGGGTCCGCATTCTCGAGCCGGGGTGGATGAGCAGGCCAAAAAGGTTCGAACCATGATGTCAGGCTTCCGTTGCATGACCAGTGCCTTGAAGAAAGGCGCTTCTGACGTGCAATCGGCCCTGAACACCATCAAGGCAGCAGAAGCCTTGAAGGAGAGGCGCTCGGGTGACAAGAGGGCAGCCCAGGCGAAGGCGAAGATGCTCAAGTTGCCGGCATTCGCTTCAACAAGTGACCCTTCCATCATCAAGATCCACAAGAGCTTGTGCAAGCGCCAGGAGGTCGACAAAGCTGCTTCTTTCGAGACATTGAAGACCAGCAGGGATGCTGACGCGCCCTTTATTCTGAGGCGCTTTCGCTTTGACAGTCATGGGGGACTTGTGTTTCGTGCACGGTATCCCAACACCCATATTCGTTTTCTTTTCTCCTTGGCTTCAGGCTTTTCAAGGTTTTGGTTTCAAAAGCAAACAAGTTAGTAATTGAATTGAGTCCCACTCCTCCTTCTTTAGCCGCCTTCGGCGTCTTCCGCCACCCACCGTGGAAAGAGATATCCTGCAAGCCGCAAACAACGCCTGCACACTGCACAGGCCACGCAGGCCAAGCAAGAAAATTGTTTTTGTGTAAAACATTGTGTTTTGTGTCTATACCAAAAAAAGCGTAAACCACAGTTTACGTCTACGTTTTTTACCAGGTTACGCGTGTAAATTGCAAAAGGTGTTTTGCGCAAAAGGGATGTGGGTGCAAGTTAGACGGAGGTAAAAGGTAAAATGCACGCCGAGGGGAAGTTTAGTCATGTGACAAAGACAGAGCCAGAAGACAGAACATACAATACTAATACGAACAAGCAAGGGACAACAGCAGGCTGGTGGATTGTTTGGCACCCCGTTGCCTTTCTTTTCCTGCTTGCTAGGCGAGGCAAGAACGTCTACAAGGCCATTTGGAAGGATGAGACTGTGCGTACCATGGTGTCAGCGCAAGTTGACAGCTTCAAGGAGGAGTGGGCGAAGCGCAAAGAGAAGACCCAAGCAAACCTGATGCCCCCAGGACAGCGGTGGGATTGTATGGTTTGTTCAACATCCAAAAGCTTTTGTGTTTTCAAGTGACAAGGATAGGAGGCAGGTTTGGCTTAGCGAGACTGGCAATGATTCATCCATGTCCATCGCACCTGGTTCCTGCTTGTCAGTTGTTCATGCCACCTGGTTTAGCCTGGCTCCACTGGTTCCTGCTTATCAGATGTTCCATATACAGCCAGCCTGCTCAGGATTCAATCCAGATCAGAACAAGGAGCTTGTCGCATCCCATTCAGATATCATCGGACTCATCCCGGGCGCTTCTGACTGGCCGTATGTTCCTTTGGAAGTAGTGTCCGGGCCTCATATCTCCTGTTCAGGCGGCGTCGGGACCACACGCCCAGAATTGCCTACCACCTGGTAGTACAAGTAGAAGTTTTACTCTCCATCAATACCCTGAGCTTTCCACAGGAAGAAAAAATACATAAATAATAAATATTACCCAAATATATATATATATATATATATCATATAGAAGCTTTAACATCATTGCAATTGCCAGGGCCAGTGCCAGTGCCAGTTGCAGCGCGGCTGTACTTGTAAGGCTTCGTGTGTTCGGCATACATTCTGCATCATTCTGTGGGCAGCCTTTGGCTTTGAACCTGTTGATATAAATTTATGTCGGGTTTAGCCAATGTTGAGATCTTAAGCTTCAGCCATTTGGGGCCATGCTGACGCCTGCAGCTGTTTGTTTGCCAAGGGAAGCTTCAGCAGACGGAGTCAACCCTGCTGATGACACAGCGCTCCAGAACTTCCTCGAGGCGTATTTCATGGCTGGGCAGAGAAAGGAGTTCTTGCACCATGGCGTGGAGATGAACGGCTTTGCCAATCTACGTGTTCAGTTGCAAGGCAACCGCGTTTTTGTTATGGCCCTCCTCAGCGAGATCAAAGATTATATCACCGCCATGAGTCCTGATTCTGGGGAAGAGGTGTGTACCATTGTTTTCTGAGTTCTTTGTTTTTTTTTTGCGACACCATGGCAGCGCATTTTGACAGGTTCCCAGATTGACTCATCAACATCATTACATACTGCATAATGTCACATGAATGTATTATATTGGTACCCAGCTCCCACTCCCTGCAATGCATTCTTTGGTAGATGCCACAACTGCTACTGGCCCATGGGATATTCTGTTCTTTCTGCCTTTCGGACGTAAAGTTCCGTGCTCGCCGCGCTGACAGGTCACATTCGACGAGTGCTCCAATTGGATGCTGCGCATGGACCTCCAGTCGCTTCCTTCTGTCTCTGCCTTCCCATCCCTCAGAGCAGGGATTTGCAAACCTGGAGACGTGATGTATACTCCTCCAGGGATGCTTCTCATTGACAAGATTGTCAATGAAGACTCCATATGTCTGCCTGCTACTCAGGATTCTCTTGTCAACATTACATGACAGAACGTGCTAATGGCATTGACCATTTGTTGCGCACATAGAGGTAAAAGCACCTGAGTTCGTGTGAAAATGAACGCAATAGGTTTCTGTCTCAGTTCTGAACCTTCGCCTATGTGTGACCGGTTTCCTTCCCTGATGCACATTCTATATATCACCTTTCTTCACTTTCATGTCCATGTCATGATTCATGCACTTGAAATCTACAGCGCCGCTCCCAGGCGCATCCCGCTGTCAATCCTCCCGCTGAAATGCATTCCATCTATGAGGATCGTTTGTGGATTGTATCTCAAGCCTATGCACAAGAGACTCCAGCCGATGCTAGAATGCATGGAAGAGTCGCTTAAGGAAGAGGAGCTCAAGAAAGTGAAGAGGGAAAAAGAGGATGAGGAAGTGGAACAGGAGATCACACGTTTACATGACGGCTATGGCTGTCAAACAGGGGTTTTGTTTTCTCACGAATTGATGGTGCCTTGTGGAATCTGCACGGGGTGCGCTCTTCAGTGTTATTCGAGCTCGGCCGCTCTTATTTATGTCTACCAATTTGGATCTTTAGATGACTTTTGACCAGGCTGATGTGTGAGTGCACTGATACTCCGGATTAAACTTCACAAGCCGCCATAACCCACCATCTCATAATTCAGATGTATACCCGGCAGCATCATTACTAGACTAGACTTCTTGATTTTATGTCAGCTCCTACACCCTTTTTTTCACTCATGGGCCCGCGCAGAACACTACTATAGACGGAGCTCCAGCTCAGTCTGGGCCGCTCCAGAACTGTCTAGGCACACACGTACATACACGGACCCGAACATGCCAGAAAGAATGATTGAAAAAGCAAGATAGAATGCTGAATGCCAGGCAAAACACAGAATGTTTGCCAGACAGAATGCCAAACAGAATGTCAGATAGAATGCCATAAGAAGCCATAAGCCACGTCAGAATGCTTGCCAGATAGAATACCAGAAAGAATGTCAGATAGAATGCCAAAAAGCTCAAGTACAAACAACAGTTTTATGGTTTATATGTAATAAAGTTGATTTATGTCAATTTATGTAATAGATGATACTCATTCTCATGTAATACGTAAAAAAGCAGTAACGAGTAACAGTTGAAACAAAATGACAGACTTTTCTCAGTGCACTTCAATGCTTCAAATTTTCAAATCAAACTTATTTATAATTTATAATTGTCTAATAATCTTAAAAAATGATTTTCTTTGTCTCTCCGTTTGCTTCTTCTGATTCTTAAAAAATCATGTTTCAGTCAATGATTCTCACGCGCAAAAGAAGATCTAATCACAATCATAATCATAATAGTACACAAATAGTATAATAACACACTAGCAATAAACATTTCAAACAAATACTTACAAATATACACATAATACAAATACATCTATAGTATCATAGCCTAATATTTTATCGTCATATCAGTTCAACTAATATATGGCTTAAGATATTTAAATCAGATTGCTCTACCTACCAATTACCAATAACCAAAATAGTAATATTTTTTAATTTTACCAATAATGATCAGGAACCCTTATAACTATATAACCCTAAACCCGTAAACCCTGAACCTGTACTTAAGCTTCGGCGCGCACCATGCAGCCATCGGCCTTGCAGCCTGATCAGCTAAATATCTATTTGGAATCACTTGTTTCAAGGCCAGCCCAAACAAAGTCAATTTCCAAATGACAGGCTCCGCCAATGTCATCTGCTTTTGTCGATATTGGTAACTTAACTAGATAACCTATCAGTAGCCACGAGCAGTCATGATTTCACCTTCTTGTGGGCCCCGTGGTAATAACGCCAGGAGCCCGCCCAGCCAGAATTGCCAGAAGCGGATGGCAGAAATGATGAGGAGCAGGAAAGAACTGGGTTTAGTGGTGATTCTTCGGAAGAGGCAGAAGACGCGGAAGGCAAACCACGTGCAGCCAGGGCTGCAGTTGCTGAGCATGAGCAGAGCACCCCAAAGCAAGCGGGCACCTCAGCAGAGGCGCAAAACACCAGGCCAACCGAAGCAGAACTGATTTCTGATGACAGTCAGGAACAAATTCTCAGCCTGCTGGAAGAAGTAGCAGCTGAAACAGCCATGCAAAAGGAGCCCACACAAGCAGCAGAGACCGCAGCCGCAGCTCCAGAGCAGAACCTCGGCAGTGCGCAAGAAGTAGCCCCCGCAGAGACTCCAACCGCCACAGCTCCAAAGCAACAACAAGGCAGTGCGCAAGAAGTAGCCCCCCCAGAAGCTTCCACAGAGGAGCCCGCACAAGCAGCAGAGACTGCAGCCGCCACAGCTCCAGAGCAGCCCAAGGAACAACAAGGCAGTGCGCAAGAAGCCCCCCCAGAAGCTTCCACAGAGGAGCCCATGCCAGCACAGACTGCAGCCGCCGCGGGACCAGAGCAAACGCCCAAGGAACAACAAGGCAGTGCGCAAGAAGTAGCCCCCCCAGAAGCTTCCACAGAGGAGCCCATGCCAGCACAGACTGCAGCCGCCGCAGGAACAGAGCAGACGCCCAAGGAAAAACAAGGCAGTGCGCAAGAAGTAGCCCCCCCAGAAGCTTCCACAGAGGAGCCCGCACAAGCAGCAGAGACTGCAGCCGCCACAGCTCCAGAGCAGCCCAAGGAACAACAAGGCAGTGCGCAAGAAGCCCCCCCAGAAGCTTCCACAGAGGAGCCCATGCCAGCACAGACTGCAGCCGCCGCAGGACCAGAGCAGACGCCCAAGGAACAACAAGGCAGTGCGCAAGAAGTAGCCCCCCCAGAAGCTTCCACAGAGGAGCCCATGCCAGCACAGACTGCAGCCGCCGCAGGACCAGAGCAGACGCCCAAGGAACAACAAGGCAGTGCGCAAGAAGTAGCCCCCCCAGAAGCTTCCGCAGCAACAGAGACTGCAGCCGCCGCAGCCCCAGAAGCTTCCACAGAGGAGCCCGTGCCGTCAGAGACTGCAGCTGCTGCCGCTGCGGATCAGAAGCCCAAGGAACAACAAGGCAGTGCCCAAGAAGTAGCCCCCCCAGAAGCTTCCACAGAGGAGCCCATGCCGTCAGAGACTGCAGCCGCTGCAGCTGCGGATCAGAAGTCCAAGGAACAACAAGGCAGTGCGCAAGAAGTAGCCCGGCCAGAAGCTTCCACAGAGGAGCCCATGCCAGCACAGACTGCAGCCGCCGCAGGACCAGAGCAGACGCCCAAGGAACAACAAGGCAGTGCGCAAGAAGTAGCCCCCCCAGAAGCTTCCACAGAGGAGCCCATGCCAGCACAGACTGCAGCCGCCGCAGGACCAGAGCAGACGCCCAAGGAAAAACAAGGCAGTGCGCAAGAAGTAGCCCCCCCAGAAGCTTCCACAGAGGAGCCCGCACAAGCAGCAGAGACTGCAGCCGCCACAGCTCCAGAGCAGCCCAAGGAACAACAAGGCAGTGCGCAAGAAGTAGCCCCCCCAGAAGCTTCCACAGAGGAGCCCATGCCGTCAGAGACTGCAACCGCCACAGCTCCAGAGCAGAACACCAAAGGGAAAAACACAGCTGTGGAAGATGCACCTGCCCCAATGGGACCACCCACAACGGTTCCAGAATCTGCAAGCAAGAAGAGGAAGATTTGCCAAAAAGAGCCGCCGTCAGTTTCACCACATGCAGCTCCGGTTGATGCATCCAGTGCATCCCAGCCGGAGAAGACACCGCACTATTTCAGCAAGTTTGAAGTACCCAAGGCGTTTGAGAAGGCACCTGGGATGGACAAAAGTGAGCATGAAAGGTTGCTGAAGGAGGCTAAGAGTGACAAAAATGAAAAGTCAGCACGAACGAAGATGCCTGACCCTGAGCAGGATGAAAACAAAGGCGGCAAGTCTCACAAGAAAAAATCTAAAGACAAGGGAGAGGAGAAGGACGAGAAGAAACGTGCCAGATCCAGTAAGGATAGCTCGCCGAAGAAGGCGAAAAAATCCAAGTGAGACCACTTGGCTCGGACAAAAGCACAACAACTTTGGGGAAAAATGATTCTGACCGCCTTCGGGGGTGGGAGAGTGGGTGCCGCGCTTGTAAATGGTGTTGAGGGACATAACCTTAGCCACAGCCTAGGAAAGCCTGAAAATAGTCCTATTTTTGCACCCTTGGGTGATTGTCCAAGTATTTTTTGGCTGAATTCCTATGAGTACCTGCTGCCACCTTTTTTATACACGACCAGATGAAACCCACGTGTTCTTAGCGCGCTTGCGGGCGACAGGTTCCATAGATTCCGTAAAAACCACTTGGACCCCCCTAGCTCGCGAAATTTAACATATATATACTGGTTGGTGGTTTGGAACATGAATTTTATTTTTCCATACATTGGAAATTTCATGATCCCAACTGACAAAGTCATATTTGTCAGAAGAGTAGGTATATCACCAACCAGTTTATCACCTTTATAAATATCTTCAGTGGCCATAAATGGCCACTGAAATTCAGGGTATATATATATATATATATTTGTATATATACATATATATATATATATATCATATACATATACTCCAAAAAAAAGCCATGTATTCTGTATAATAAATCGGTTCAGCTGCAGAAGCCCTGCCCTGCGGCAGGAGCCGAGACCTGACACACCAGCGCTGGAGGTGCCGCAGCTGCTCCGCGTCGTATATCATGGATGAATACCCTCCGGTAAACTGTCCAATAACGAACTGGAAAATCACCATTAGTTTTATTGGGTAAATCAACTATTTCTATGGCAATTTTCAATAGCCTGAAATACCAATTATAAATGGTGAAATAACAGGTTATTTCTATGGGATTGTACATTCCATACATGGGGTGACTTAGTACTTATAGCTGGTAAAGGGCCATAACTGAATGGATGTATAATGGTTGTATGTACTTTATACTGGCTGTATTACGGTTGTATATGGTTTGTAAACTGGTTGTAAAATGGTTGTAGAATGTTTGTGTAATGAATGTATAATGGTTGCACAATGGTTGTATAATGGTTGTACAATGGTCTTTACCAACAATCAGTATGCAACCATTTTAATAAGGAACCCGATGATAATGAATGGTTAAGTATGAATCAATGAGAACCCTACTGAAAACTATATGATATGTATATAAGTGTTATTACGAAATTGTTGTGAAGTAGTGTATGTTGTAATATATATACTGTATATGCTATAATTCATACCGTACATAAAGTGTGCAATGGTGGTGCTGGTATATATAGTAGTGTGATGGTTATAAAATGTTATAAACCAACTTAGGTATCATAAACCAACTATAAATCACCATTTTGGTTAGTGAAACCGTTAAACCTTTTATTTTTTATAGGGTAAATCCCAGTTACGTTGCTGGTTTCACTTGCTAAAATCGACTAGGAGCTGGTACTGGAGCTGACCAAGTCCAGCACGGAGCGGGGGGATTCCGGGACACATCCAGAAGTTGGCGAGTTGAACCGGGTGACTGAAGTTAGATGGAATACAATAGGGATTTATGCAGGATGGCGCCCCCAGTTTTAACTTGGTTTAAAAACCCCATTAACTTGAGTTTTTAAAAAAACTACCATAAACCATAGTTAAGCCACTTACAAGTTTATAAGTTATAAGGCTATAAGGCAACTTAGTTATCTTGGCGGCCGCATCTTGTGGAAATGAATATAGGATGTATGGGGAAAAATGTTGGGAGAAAATTGTTGTTGAACTGCAACTCATTTTTACATATGCTTACCATGTTTTAGCCAGCCGAACTATGGAAACATGGTGACTTCATGAATCTAATAGAACTCCATGGGTGTTTTAAAGCTAAGTTGATTTAGATTCAAATCCAAGTGATGGCTAAATTCGATGCTTAAACATTCAAAACTCAAATTTTGGTATCCGAGTAGTGTTAACCAATCCCTGTTGGTTGATGTTGGTTACGGGGGTTGTACGTATATACATTGGTACATTGGGTAACTGTCATTCCCCTTGGGTTCCTATCAGAATCCAATGGGTTCCATCTGTTGGTTTACTTGGTGATTCATCTTAGTCAGTTGGTGATCCTGGTTACAAATGGGTCAGGTAAGGTTTAGTCAGTCCACTTGCAACTGGGTTAAACAAGGTGTTCCCCCCGAGTTATAAGTTGGTTTATAAACCATAGTAAGTATAGATATACCTGCCATAAACCATAGTTATTAGAGTTATTAACCAACTTAGCTAACTATGGGGAACCCACTTTGTAACCTTCTTACTAAGTGGGATGAACCGCCAAGTACATCCTAGTATTATACATTGGTAAAAGGTGGTGCCCCCCAGCAACAATATTTGTTGGTGTATGACCTCCTTTAACCAAACACATAAATCTACCATCAAAAAGCCTTCTTCGAGTTATGTTCATCAACTTAGCTATCATAAATCAACTGCAAGTACTCTTAAATCAGATGTTTCTTTGTTAAACCATGTGAAATACCTATTTTTAATAAGATAAATCCTATAGTCAATGGCCATATGTAAGGCCTATGTAAGGGGATATCCCTACAAAATATGGTCCAAAATATGGCACTAACGTACCTCCATTTTAGGATCCTGGAGATCTCCCATTGAAATAGCTTAATCCCGGGCCGGTCCCAGAGGACCCGCCCACCAAGCCTGCTGTTCCTGCGGCTCCACCTGCCTCGCCCTGTGGAAAGGGTTGCCTGGCGCTGGCGGACAGGATTGGTGATGCTCTCATCACACGGTTTAATTGTGGTTAAATGGTGGCTTAATATGTGATTAATGGTGGCTTAATATGTGATTAATGGGGGCTTAATTTGTGATTAATGGTGGTTAATGGATGTTTTGCTGTTTGATGGAGGCTTTACCATAAAAGATTAGTGGTTCCGTTTTTACATGCTGATTTAGTCACCTTGAAAACGAAGACATATAGCAAATATAATGTTGACATGTATTTTATACACCCCATGCTTGCCCCCCAATACATGAACAGGTCCAATGCTAAACTAGTGCTTCCTTTGCGGTTTAAAGAATATTCACGGGATGAAATGCATATAATATCGGAAACAAAACATGTTATTTCCTTGTCATGTCCAACATATATGATATATATGGTATGTGCATGTATGTGTATGTGTTTATAGCTAGATTTATAAGTGCCCAAAATCATGTTTGGGTTTATCATAGACTTACTCATTACTAACGGAAGGTGAGAAGGGTTTATAACCAGCTATCCTTTGGGGGGTCAGCTGTTCAGCTTTGCGGTGGCTTAGTTGCACCCTATTGCATCCTCATGATTGGTTACCTCTTTTGGGCACTAGCCCCCGTTTCATCAACATTCCGCTTCATACATCTTCATACAACCCATGGCCACAATCTTTACAGCGTCCTAGCTGTTGCAAAGTGTGCGAGAAATCCAAAAAGCAACCAGGCAGTTACGTATGTTGTATTGAAGTTTGATTCGGCATGAAATCCGTACTTGCCCATTGTCAAAACCCATGTGCTGGGTTGCCCGGAGCAAGCGTGTGTGTGTGTGTTGATTTTAGCTACTGTAGTTTATGCAATAGAGACAATGTTGTTGTTATTTTGGTTTGCAGTCCCACAATGTTTTCTGAAAAAAAATGGTTGTTGGTCGAATTTTCCTCATGTTTACCGCGGTAGGTGTAATGTCAACACAGGATTTCGAATGCCCTTTCCTTGGGCCCTGGGCGTTGGGGGCTCAACCCCCATCCAGGAAAGCCTCACATTTGGATACATGTGGTAGGTGGTGAAGCCTATAGACCTCCGATTTTTCAGGGTTGATCCATGTTTAGCACATTTCTGGTGATCCCCCTTTCATATCAAACACCCTCCAGAAACCGTGGTTGAATGGGGATGAGACCACACATTTGGAACCATCGGGGGGTGTCCAATGTGGACAGGCGGATGGGATTGATCACTTCCATTGAAACCAGTTCTTGGTTTCAAGGCTTATGAAGTCCCCAAGTCCCCAAGGTGCTGTGGCTGCCTTAGCTTCGCAGAAAGCGAGACAGCGAGAGTTCCCAGAAGTCTTGGACGATGGCGCTGTTCAGAGCGGCTCGAGCCGCTGCGGTGGTTCCATGTGCACCTGGGACGAAAAAAATCACGGTGAACCAAAGAAGGGGATGGGGGTAAAATATGGGGTCCAACCAAACGAAGGGGTTTCATACAGAAAAAAAAGTAATATTTTCTAAGTCGGTTGGTTCAAAACTAGGTTAACCAAGCTTTATGGTGCATTATATATATATATAAATAATATATCGATAGAAGGGTCAATGAACCACGCATCATTTGAGGGTTCCTCATTTGAAGCATGAGTTGAGATATGGAAATCGGGCGATTTTGCTGGTTGGTTTTCTCTTAGCCACCCTGACTTGAAATGGCGAAACTCCAGCAGCTAACTTGCCATGATGGTTCCCTAACCTTTTGGTTGGGTGTGAGTATGGGACAATACTGGTCGAACAGAACATAACACAACCCCCAGTTTTTTGCACTGTATATAACTTATGATAACTGTTTGTCAATGAAATTGCTAAACTCAAGTTTTGACTGGAGATATTAAATTGTTGACATGTTGATTTCGTGTTTGTTGGGAAGTTTCCTGTTTTTTTTTCTCCCCCGCTGTTCCTTAGAAATCCAACAATCGCCATGAACAACCCATGAACAACCCATCCAAGTAAAACTATATATATACACACATATGTACAATAAGACATTATACCCGTTATACTCACACACACATATGTGTATATATATATATAGTTATATGTATGTATGACTGTATGTACATATCCACCACTTGAACCCCAACCTGCCAACCCAGTGGTTCCACGAGAACCAGGTGGAGATTTTCCCTTCTGCACCGCTCGCTGCCCCTTCCTGGTGGCCTGTTTAACCTTGGTGGCCACCCCTCTGCTGCTGATCCTGCTGTGGCCGGGCTTGGCACCTCGACTTGCAAACGGCGCGGGGAAACGTGGGGAAACTGCAGATCTACATTTTTTCCAGAGGGCTACTTCATACATCTCGAATTTCAGTGAATATATATATATATACATATTATGCATTATATATATAGTACATATGCATATATTTTATATTTACATATTATCATTTTTCTTTTATTTTATAATATATATATCTCTCTCTCTCTCAAGACTTCAGCAAAACATCGACCTTTTGGCAGGGTATCCAAGTCTGACCATGGGATAGGTGGTTGATTAGAATATACAACTTCATCTCTTGGCATTTAGATGCAGGATGGTCACCAGCCAAGTATTTGCAGGGTATCTAAGATTACGATTGGTAATGCTATCTCAACAAATTTGATCAATGGATTGCATTTAAGCACCCAAACATTGGGATTGAACCATAAAGAAAAGGGATGTGACCACTAAAGAGCATTAATTTGTGCGGTGTGCGCGCGCGCGCGTGTGTGTGTGTGTGTGTGTTTTATGCACTGCAAAGCGCTGAAATCCTCCTGTCCTCTGGGTGAGGAGACCACTTTTGGATATAGGGTGTTATAGAGGGTAATGCTGAAAAGAAATCATGGGTATCATCATAACCCAGAGGCTGGGAAATCCTATGAAAACCACTATTACCCTCTGGTAATCACACGTAGCAACGGGAAATCCACGAGTGAAGTCGAGGTTTTTGTTGGCATCGGCGAAAATCAGCGGACTCAATACGCCATGACACCCAGCCACATTTGCCATGACACCCAGCCCAGTCATTCCCATTTGCTTCCAGAAGGCGAATTATTGAGATGGGAATGGCTGGGAAACCCAAGAAGTCACATGAAAATCCCATTCGGATCCCATTCGAATGATATCCGAGTTATATTCCATGATATTCCACTGTATCCCATGATCATTTGTTAGACACAACACTATGTTTGGGGTGTTTTCGTTCCAGTTGTATGGTGATTTTCCCTTGGGTTTCTTGGACCACAACGGGCTATCTGAAGTCCATCCCGGCCGCCAATCCCCCAGGTGATCAACAGTGATACCTCAGTTTTTCTGGAGGCCGTAGCTTGGTTTAGTCTCTGGTTTTCAAAGCATTAGTAGGTGGTTAGACACTATAGTTCATAAGCAAAAAACTACAGTAAATGGACCATTGAGTCCAGTGATTGAGCTATTCAAATAGTGATTTTCCATAGCTATGTTACGTTAGTTCACCAGAGGGTATCATGGTAAATATCCAACAGATACTAGCTAATGGGAACCATATAACCATGAGAACTGGTAGTTTATCAAAACCAACCACCCAACCATGTATTCATGGTTGGAATCCCACCACCCATTAAAAAGGTAAGTTTGGGATGGTGGATCCTATGGTATAATTAATGGGAAAATCACCATTTTGAATGGGAAAACCAACTATTTCTATGACTATGTTCAATAGCAAACTGTTAAATTGCCAGAGGGTAGTAAATATCACCAGTTAGATGAATGGCTTACCCTTCGGCGATCAAAACATGGCTGGCAATGAACAATCTCGATGGTTTTATGTGGCGACCTTAATGGAAGAGGTATCGAAATTTTCATGGGGGATTTCCGGAAGGGTATAACTACCATAACCTACAATGTGGTGCCCCCCCAGTTATAAGTTGGTTTATAAACCATAGTAAGTATAGATATATTTACCATAAACCATAGGTAACCATAGTTATTGGAGTTATTTACCAACTGAGCTACCTATGGGGCACCACCTTGTAGGCTTCATGGTAGATATATCGAAGTAATAAGTTCATGGCAGTTGTAAACCAACTTGTAACTGGGGGTACCGCCGTCTAGCAACTATTGTTTCTATTTGGGAGATTCAACTAGGTAGTTCTTGCGAGAATGATTTGCTTTCGAGGGAACCCGTGTTTTTTAAACAACGAACACGGGATTTTGACGATCCAAAATAGGGCAAATTGGGAATGTCAATGGGTCCAATGGATGTCAAGATATTGTCAACATGAGGATAGCATGGCGTTTTTTCCCGGAAAATATAAGAATGCTATATGGTGACCGATGTGATGGCAAGGTTGGAGCTGGTTTATTCGATGGAATTAAAGGAATATTGAAACCAGAAACTATGGATTTTCTCTCAAAGGCTATTTTGCAGGTTTTTCCTACTGGGATAGATGAGAAAGAGCCCGCCCGATGATTTTAAAGAAGCCATATTTTTTTAATGCCTCTGTCCATGTTTCCCGAAGATCGTCTCTTGAACAAATTTCGGAATGTCAGTGAATGGTTGATCACGGGTGACAACGATGTAAAATCACATTCTGAGATTGGCAGCAGATCAGTTTTGGTATGTCAGTGATGAATTATTTACATGTCAAAAACTATTTTTCACGGTGTCATCGGTCAACAAAGGGATATATATATATATACACACACACGTTTGTGAATGTATATGTGTATATAATTAAGTATATATATATATGATTTCATGGATATATATATATATATACAAAAGTATACACAGAGGTTTCCAAAATGATGGAATTAGACTTTTTTTTTGACCTGATGGATTTCACCGTTTCACCGCCAAGGACAGTCGTTCCTCCTCAATTCGCTCCGCTTTCTTAGGAGCCGGCCGTGTTTCACGGCGTGAGACAACGGTCATGGGACATGATGGGATATTGATTGAAATCTATACAGACAAGATATGGGAAAATCCAATGTGTATATATATATATACACATCTCTATCTATTTATCTATCTATCTATCTGTCTATCTATCTATCTACCTACCTACCTATCTATCTATCTCTCTCTCTCTCTTTCCTGTCGCCATTGATTTTCATACGTAAGTATATGGTAGTTTACTGGAAGGTACTTCATCAGTTCAGTGCGTCTCCTCCTTTTGTTTGGAAACGCTCAAATGGAAATTTGGTATCTTGGGGGGAATGGCGTGAGGATTCGTTGTCTCCACATCAAGCACCAACAAGCCATCCACAACCGATTTTGATTATGTACCGAGCATGGTTGCCCATCTACTTATGGTTCCTTCAAGTTTATATGATCTTCCATGGTTTGACGCTGCACTCACTTGCGCAAGTCTACATATCCACAATGTGTAGATACATACAAATGCAAGATTTTAACAAATGAGCATGCATGCAGATTGAACAGTACACACAGGCAAAAACCATCTCAGCGAAATATTGGCGAATGCACAAACTGAAGATAAACTGTGATATATACATATATAGTTATATACAATATGTATGTATATGTATGCGTAGACATGTCCATAAATGTGTTTTAAACATATATATATATCTAATAATTACATATATATATTTGCACACATATATATATGTACATACATACATACATATATATATATGTATATGTGTGTTTCTTTTTTATGCATATATATATATTAAATATATTTATACATATATATATATATATCAATATATTTGCATACATCTATACATATATATATATATATGCGGTGTTGAAATATGTTACAAACTATTCGAATATTTACACACAATTACACTGTACGTATTAATGATTTGTGCGTATAAACATCTATACTATATATCCTATGACGTTGTAAAATGTTGTATAGCGCTATTACAAAATCATTGATTTTTCTTTCCTTGAGTGGCTATACACCCTTAAATGAGTGGCCTGAAAGCCCAGTCATGTTTGTTGGCTTATAAACAACATGAATACTATGGTTCTATCCCTCTAATCAACCCAAACCTTAATCAAATCATGTTCACCAACTTGGCTAATATGAATCAGCCACACATCCCATGAAAATCCTCCGTGTGTGTTGGTTAAATCACCATTTGTGGATAGTCCGTTCCCGTCGAAGGAGCTTTGCCCTTCCGTGACGCGGAGGCTGAGGGTCGACGGCTGATGACAGGTCTCATGCCACATATCGATGTGAAGGACATGTACAAGAGCCTTGGAGCCACAATGTGCCCCCCCCGTTATATGTTGGTTTTTAAACCATAGTAAGTATAGATATATCTACCATAAACCATAGCTATTGGAGTTATTAACCAACTTAGCTAACGAACTGGGGCACCACCTTGCAAGTGGAGCAAATGGAGAGCTTGGAACCGACAAGTCATGGTGAACAATCAAATTTGTTATGAGATTTTACCAGGTTGAAACGAACATCCATGCTTGAAAAACCCACCAAACACAGGGACCATCGAATATACGTAGTAATTTAAGCATTAAACATTAGAGTTCGTTAGAGTATACTATCATAATTTGAGGATTCGACCAGCAAAGGTGAATTCAGGTGGGGGAGTTTTGAAGAATCACATGTTGGTGCAACCGCTAAAATGTAGGTCAACCTGGGTTGAGTAGATTGGTCATTCATGCTTTACATGTTTTAGGCAGATGTAATGGGATGTAATGGGGGCATGTAGTCACCAACCATTATTGTGCTAAAATAGTGATTGAAACCAAAACAAAATGCAACTTTAAGATATGAAATGACCTTCAACGGAAAAAAAATAACTTCAGGGATTTAAGTGTTTGGACCCAATGCGGAAACTAACAGTTTGCTCTTGAACATGGCCATTTAGTTCGTTGATTTCCCCATTCCAAATGGTGATTTTCCATAGTTTACCCATTCAAAATGGTGATTTTCCATAGTTTACCTATCACACATGGGGATTTTTCAGTTCGTTTTTTGTAAACGTTTACTAGGCCGGGTAAAGATGGTCCATTTATCGATGATTTACCCAGCTAAAAAGCTTGGGTTCTGCCGGCCTGGGAGGACCCCTTTCAGTGGGCCATGAATAAATCATGGAAAAACAACAAAAGGCCCGGCCTGAATTCAAGATGGTGTATGAGAACAATAGGGGTATGTTGTGAAAAGGCCCCGGAATCCGACATAATCCGAGCATTCTGTGATCGTAGGAAATGGTAGTGGAGGGTTGAACCATGTAATTTTGGGTTTGATTGAACAGGTACATTTATCAATGTCTTAATTTCAGTAAACGGCTCCCAATGCGGGGAGAACTGTGGATCATATCCAGGTGTCACAATGATGCAGAAGTCTTGTAAGGCAACAGGATGTTTTAAGACTTTAAAATTTCCCTGACGCTTTCCTTGTTGCCCTACCCTTGTATTTAATTCTCATGTCATGCTTGGATGCGTAGGGCCCAAGAAATCAATAGTCACAAGTGGATTATAATCCAAGATACCCTCTGGTAATCAAACATGGCAATGGGAAGCCCGCTTGTAAATTGTCATTGAAAATGAACCACTTTCCATGAATGCTGGATTTTCCATTGCCATGTTTGACTACCAGATTGTTTTCAAAATATACACCACATATTTAGCTCGTTTCCATATGTGCAATATATCAATATATCAGTATCATACCTTAAAAACACAAACACTGGATGCACATCTTGGCCATTTCAGGTTTCGGGGAGCCCCAAGATTCCCCAAGTTCCAAGGGGCTCAACTAACGGTACCGTGGACATCCGGACATCCGTGGGCCCAAGGATGGATCATCTCATTTTGTATTGGAGCACCACTGATCCCAAGGGTTTACTCCAGGAGATGGGGGGTGAAATGGGCCTGGGCCGCCTGGACGACTGGTTGACAAGTTGATTCTAAGTAGATTCATATGGGTTGATTTCTATTCTAAGTAGATCTATATTACCATAGTTTATCATGGAATTTTGTTAGCTAATAAGGGTTTAGGACTTTCACTTTGGGCTTTAGAAAATATGGTATTTTAATATATTCTAACCCCCAGAGGTTTATGACTTTCACTTAGTTTGCTGGAACTGCCCCCAAGGATCCGGAGTTTTTGTAGCCGACCGGCTGGAAATGGTGCTGGAAATGCGGGGGGAAGTCGCACAGCCGGGCCTGAACCCACTGGGAGAAGGGAACGTTTTCGGCGCAGAATTTGTTGGACGGTAAACACCCATGCCCAGATGCTTGAAGTATGGTATACTTACCTGCATTTGGGTGATGTTTGGGGTAAATGTTAATAGATATTCCATGCATAGAGCATATGCAGTTATGGCCCTTTACCAGTTACAAGTACTAAGTCACCACATTTATATCCATTTATGGAATGTATAATTCCATTTATGTCCTTTTACAACCAATTATAACCATTTATATTTGGTAAAAGGGCCATAACTGTGGGATAGTCCACTTGGGTGTTTTGTTTTGATTCTTAAGGGTTTCCCTTCAATGCAGGCATTGGGGGCCTGGGATGATCCGACTTTATGGTCATCCCAATGAGTAAGTGATTGACAACTCATATATTGCTGGGATATGTGTGTATATATATGTATATGTATTTTTTTACATGTGGCAAAACTATATCTGCTTTCAATATTTAAATATAGTTATATATGATATATATATATATATGTATAATAATATGTGTATATACACAATGACTTGCAGTTTCATTTGTTCGTGGCCAACTCGCAGCTCTTTGATGCCCGGTCACATCGACATGGTGCCGGACGACGTGTCCCGTACCCTGATGTGGTGCTGCACTGCCCTGCCGCTGCCGCGTGAAGCCCTTGCCGGCCATGGAGATGCACCGGATGTTGACATTCACCAGAGAACTTCACGAAGCACGGCCCCGGAAATATATATACATATATAAATATTATACACATTAATATATATATATATATATTAAATAATGCGTATATACATACATACATACATACATACATACATACATACATACATACATACATACATACATACATACATACATACATATATACATATATACATACATACATACATACATACATACATACGTACGTACGTACATACATACATACATATATATATATATGCAAATGTGTATGTATAATATATCTATATGATATATTAATATACATGCAAAGTGTATTTGTATATAAGTGGATGATGGATCCGTGAAATTCCAGGGGTTTATCATCTGGAAATGACGTTAAGAATGGTGAATTATATGGAATTCTCATGTTGTTGGTTTCGGGGAAGGGCTATGGCTATTTTGGCTAGGCTGGGCTCAAGTCCTTCTCTTGGCGTTCAGGAGAAGTACCTGCGCCCGATGCGAGCATTAGAAACTCGCCAGGTGATTCAGGGCGTAACCATCCAGAAATTTTCCAGGGGGCGGACGTATGAAACTGCAAACTAGTCTGAACTTCTAGAAGCAGTATATATATATATATATGTATTATAAATCAATGGTGAACATGGAGCATCTGGAAATTACGCTGAACTATGAATGTAAATCATGTCTCATTAACTCGCAGGTCATCCATAGTATGGAAAAACTTATCTATCCATGTGAGTTGTTCTAAAAGTGGGGTGTTAATCCAAACTAGCTGTTTGCATTCTCATATGCAAATGATTGTTGGCACTGAGTATTGTCAACTCCCCTTGGAACAAAACCTTGACCATGAAGAAGTGGATAAGGAGGAATCTTCCTAGTTGGAAGCAGTGGTCAAACCTTGCCCGCTGGAAAACCCACAAATGTGCTTTCAATGTTCCATCATCGTCCTTTACTTCCATGAAAAAACGCTGGGATTTCCCATGAGAAAAGTTAGGTTAGATAAAACCTGGGAAATTCTGTCGATGTTTTGTTTTGGCAATGTCTTCTTCAACCTGACTATAGTTGGCAGTTTGCCATGTATGCAATATCTGCAATCATTTACCCCAAACATCACCATCACCCAGTCATGTATGTAAATATATCATAATGGAGCATGTGGGCATGGACAAAAACCCTGTAAACATACAAAAAGCTATGGAGGCCATGGCCCTTAAATAGATCATTGACCTATTTTTTTTTTAAAAAAAAGATGAACATGGTAGTCTCAATGGCTACCATATGTACACGTTTACCATGGTTATGCACATTTTTGCACCGATGAAAACGGAGGTTTCACGGTTGGGGCCTAGGAGTTGTCTCTCCGGAATGGTCCCTTGTATCAGCTGGTCACTGGGCTGCTGTGTGGTGGAGATGGGAAAAATGGCACAGTTTAAAAAGGTGATTTACCTATTAAACATCTTGATGTAGATACCTATCTGGAGTTTGTATTGATGTATTTTTTTTCTTGGACATCGTACATCTTCAGCGAATTCGAAGAATTGATAGTTCAGGTTTTAATCTTCTGACGCCTTCAGATATTTTAGATGAATAGACATTGGAGGTTTCAATCAGCTCGTTGGTTGAAGATGGGCCCAGAAATGGTGGTTGCCCATTCCCATAATCCATAATCTTCTCAATTCACTGCTGCTATTGCGGGGATCTCCAAGGACTGAGAGGGAAACTAATTGGGAAACTATTGTTCATGGAGTAATTTTCTCACTTTGCTCGTGTGCTTAGTTTCGCTCCCTTTGCGCTTTGCAGCTTTCCTGCTTTCATGGCCTCAGGGGAAGAAACAACTGCTGCTGCGGGGATGTCACCAGGGAAGAGTTAAGAATAGGAGGCAGTAACTGGGTAACCTTCAATTGGGAATTGCTTGATACTTGATTTTCCCTATAGATGGAGGTTTCCACTAGGCATTTACCCGGCCTGGTAAACGTTAACAAAAAGCTATTGAAAATTGCCATAGAAATAGTTGATTTACATATAAAAAAATGTGATTTTCCATAGTTATGTAAACCAGGGAAGGTAAAGGATTGAACCCACCAGTCGGTTGGGGATGCATCCACTGCATCCACCGTCCTCGCCCTTAAAAACTGTGGATCTTTCCAGTTCGTTATGTTAGTCATTACCAGAGGGTATAGTTGTATAGTTCCATTATTTTCCATTATGTTCCATTATTTTCAATTATGTTCCATTATTTTCCATGTTTTTCATGCTTTTTACAGCGTATCTTTGATTAGCCTCTATGTAAGATCAAGACATCGATGGCCAGATATTGCCAGTTTTTTTTTCCGCTCATCCCCTAGTGAAAAGTCATGGGCTTCACTGGACATGTATGTGCTATAAATATATATATATATACATGGATAGATATGATATGATTATATATGTATGCACATATATATATATATACTGGTTGGTGGTTTGGACCATTTTTTATTTTGCCATATATTGGGAATAATCATCCCAACTGACTAATATTTTTCAGAGGGGTTGAAACCACCGACCAGTATATATATATATTTACTGTACACATATTTACTGTGTATGTATATATATACTGTATATATATATATATGCACTTGTTTTGCTAGTTCCTAACTCCTAACTTAAAATTCCACGTGCTGGCTGATTCAAAGCGGGGTTAAAACCCTCACAACCAATGTAGTATGCAAGTGAAGGTAGGTGATCATAAGTGGAAATCTCTCTCTCTCCCTCCTTTGTCTAACATAGCTATTGAAATTCACAAGGTTCAATAATTTCAATGGGAATTTCGGCATCCTAAAATGGAGGTACTTTACCATATAAGACCATATTTTGCCTTATATAGGCCTTATATATGGTAGGTACCTCCAATTTAGGTTCCTGAAATGGCAATTGATAATTCAATCGGAAAAGGATATATACATGGACCATGGCTTCCAAACTGAAGGGTTTTTGTTGATCGTGTCCCATTGGATCCAATATTATCCCTATGAAATCCCCGTAGATTGACGGTTGATTCCCCATGAGTTTCCAATGATTTACCGTAATTCCTATGATTTTTCCGGTCCCTATGGATCCAAACACTGTTTGTGAAGCTATTTAAGCCCTTAAATCATACCTCAAGTACTTCCTAAGAAGATACTTGGATTGATACAATGTGGTGCCCCCCAGTTATAAGTTGGTTTTTAAACCCTAGGAATAGTACGTATAATTACGTATAGATATATCTACCATAAACCCTAGTCATTGGAGTTATGTGGCCCCCAACTTAGCGATTCCGAACTGGGGCACCACCTTGTAGGGAGTGGGACATTGCTGGTTAAGCCACCGGGCACCGGGCCCCGAGACGTGTCATGAGATGTCGACGCCGGGGCTGGGAGCCATGTGCGACCCAGGGCACTCAGTGGCTTGGACCAAGGGCGGACGTGGGGTTTAACGGTTATGACTGGTGAGGTTATGATTCCTGCAAGATGGGAAAAATTGTTGGATCTTTGTCAGATTTTACGTATTTTTTGCGTTTTGTGCCATGTTTCATTGGATTGGTTTAAGGGAAAGATCTTCTCCTTGAACTTTAGGCTGAAGACTCATCTTAACGACGTTGTGTTTTTCTCTCAAGGGTCAGTTTTTCTTATATTGATCGGGACGCAACCATGGTTTCCTGTAGATTTTCCCTTCAACCAATGAATTTTGGCTGGGGCCAACTTGCAGTATGCAGGGCCACATGAAAGGCCTAGGGCTTTTTGCTTTGATTCGTGGCCCAACCTGGCTGTGAATCGAGACAGTTAAGGGACACATGAAAACAACATCCATATAAAAAACAAGGTGTGGAAAACATCTCAGTTGTTTTTTAAACATAGAACATATATACATATATATATCATTATATATGCATATGTATATATATATATTTAATTAAATATATATATATATATATATAATTATATATATATAAATCATTATATTTATATGACTTGTATGCAACTTGTATATTTGTGTGTGTACATAATGCACAATTTAGTGAGATGGCAAACCCAGCAGTTGCTCCTTTGGTTCTGAGGTGGTGAATGCAGCTTACCCAAGTGAAGCTGTCAATGCCACTCGGCGAGTGGTCTCGGTAGCCTCGGTAGCCGCAAATGTCATGGCCACTACAAGGTGGTGACCCAGTTCGGAATCGCTAAGTTGGGGGCCACATAACTCTACAATAACTAGGGTTTATGGTAGATATATCTATACTATTCCTAGGGTTTATAAACCAACAAACATCACTGGGGGGCCTCACATTGTATGGATATTCCGAATTGGCAAAAATGTGGATTGAAGCAATAGAAAATGGGGCCCCATTTACCGAAATCGCGTTCAGTTGGTGAACATAACTCCAAGTTCACTATGGTTTATGGATGTTTATGGTAGATATAACTATAACTAATGTTTTTTTTTCAACCAACGTTCCATCACTGGGGGGCACCACGTTCATTGTACACATGATCTAATTGTTGAAATTGGCTCAACAAGACCCGGGCCGGTAGGGGCTGATGGTGCTTCATAATCTACCCTCTGGTCATTTGTTACATAGCGAACTGGAAAATCACCATTTTGAATAGGTAAATCAATTATAAATGGTGTATTTTCAATAGCTATGTTAGTTTACCAGAGGGTATCATAATCCATCAAAAACCTTTGTTTTGACATCATGAGAAATTTATGTGTGCGGAGGACAACATGTTCCATGGTGCTCACCGGCCCTTTCCCTCGGCGTGCTGAGGCAAGCGAGACTGATCCCTACATTAAGAAGTGCCTTGGCCTTCAGGGCAGCCGGGCAGCCGTTGACCCGGCGGGATTCAGGAATGATGCCATGTTGGCGAACTGGAAACCATGGAAGCCATGGCCCATTGAGTCTGATGCTTTACCTATTGGTGATTTCAGATTTCAATAGCTACGGTACTTTCCATTACTTTGCCAAAGGGTAAATAGATGTGAAATTTCGATAGAAGGATCGCCCCCTATGATCATTTGGTAAGTGGGTAAGAACCACAGTAATTACAATCCAGTTATATCCTAGTTATACATATATATATGGAATATATCTGAATATCTTCAGTTGTGCACGTGTTATAAAAACCACTTACTACCCTCCGGTGTGCTGGTGTGTTCTGATATGGCTGGCCATGGGATTTTTTCAGAAAGCCATGTTTGGTTCCTAGAGGATATCCCCATCTGATTATATGTAGAGGATATGTATAAACGCGCACAAGTGCATTTCACCGACAAATTGCAGTTTGCATGAAGATTAACTCACAATGGTGATTGGGATATTCCTATGGGAATATCAGCAATCATATCGGGGTATCACTAATAGAAAACACGCAACCCCGATTCGCCCACAACTCTTTTATGGGGTTTCTCCGGTTTCCTAGCTCAACATGTCACTCATTTCAACATATATCCCTGCCTTCACTTAACATCCAAGGGGATTCTAAAAGGGCTTCTATAAGGAATCAAAGTTCCCACCACCATTCAAGCCTATATTGAAAGGAACCTTACGTTACTAAGGTTTCAAGAGAATTTTAATTTGCACCCCCATCAACCTCTATATTGAAGAGAATTTTGACAGTTGGGAAATTTCAAGTCCTCCCCCCATGCTACATTGAAGGGGATTGGCTGAGAGAGGCACAGGCCAGTTATCTTGAACTTTACAAGGGATGGCGTTGCGGAGCTACTGGCGATTAGTGGTGGAAAGCAAGAGCGCCTTGTTGTGGACAGTGCGGGCTGGTAGTCGAAGCTGGAGTAATGGCAGGAAGGCTGGTGTGTTTTCGCAACCGAAAACGCTGGGCAAGTGAGCGTGGTTTCAAGAGGAGGGGAGGAATTCACAAAGAGTTCTACTCCCAGAAGTAAGGCCGATGGTTTACAAAGCTCCCGTCATGAGACTATCACAGAGGCAAAGGCAAGGGGCAAAAAATGGGCAGCATGGGGCAGCGTACTACACGAAACATTTTCCGGTGGTTGGAGGAGACAAGTGTGCAGAAGGAGCCTCTGGCATGATCGCCAATGATCTCCATTCACCCATGTGTTTCCATTTAACTCTCCAGAAGAAAAGTAATATGTCTTTAATAAAACCCCGGTTGCTTAAGATATGCGTTTTACTTTCCAATGGAAAATCCACTATTTGGGAGATTTTTCATGGTATATCTTTTTTTGTTTGGGGGCCTGGCGCAAATCCAAGTTAATGATGCTTATCTAATTTCCTTGTTTTCAAAGGGATAAATTAATTTGATCTAAGGAATTCCAGGTTTGAGAAGTCGCGGTGTAGATGTGCTGAGCCTACTGTCGTTGTTTGGGGACCCCAATTCACAAAATGTTGGAGACCTAAATAACTGCTGTACGTTTTTGCACTAGAACCGATCAGCCTAGTACAACAACATGTTCTTTCAAAAATCCAGTATGTCCAAAATATGATGTTTTGAATACACCATGGATTTTACCATTCACCCTTTGGATTCTTAATGCTTCTTAAAATCATCTGATTGGTGGTTTCAAACATTTTTTATTTTCCTACATATATATATATGGGAAGAATCATCCCAATTGACGAACTCCATCATTTTTCAAGATGGTTATTGCACATGTTAAAGCCACCAACCAGTCATGGTGAATTTTCACCATTTTCCCCAGGCCCATGGATGGTCGAGGAACTGAACTTCTGCGCCCTGAGACTTGGATGACTTGGATCGTGGCAGCTGGCCGTGTTTTTCTTTTCTTTAAGGGATCCAAAGGGTACTTGATAAGAATGCCTCTATTGATGGGTTAACTAATAGGGGTTGATATGAACTGGTACAGTGGGGATCATTATAGCCATATTGGGAAGATGTAGAAAATTAATGTACATGAATCTGGGTAAATTATAACGACCTCACTGTTCTCACTCACTGGAATCATGGTTAGTAAGGGAAATCATCCCCAAATGACCTGAATTAGGGACCGCAAGAAGTTGGTGGCCTTAATTCAGGTTAGTGACATATTATAATTTACCCAGATGAATGGTACATGAATGATGCCCCTTTAGACTTACTGGTGCTAAACGCAGGGAATTTTTGGGAATGATCCATAATCACTATCAATAATAATCCCAGCAACCCCCAGCAACCCATCCATTCCCTACTAAGTGGGGATACTTCAAAGTGGGCCCCCAAGATAGCGTTCAGCTGCCTTGTAAGTGGCTGAATTCTATGGTAGATTGGTAGATATAACGAACTAGTATTCATGTTTTTTTCTTATGGTTTATAAACCAACTTATAACTGGGGGGTCCCATCCTGTATATGAATGATGCCCCTTTAGATCCATGTACATCCCTGTTTCCTATAGCATAACTGGTTGGTGGTTTAGAACATGAATTTTATGATTTTCCATATATTGGGAATGTCATAATCCCAACTGACTTTGATATTTTTCAGAGGGATATTTTTCAGCAGCATCCACTCATCTATTTCTAGGGTTAACATGTCGGGAAGTACTCACATTCAAACACCATTTTTTCATGGGTTCAGATACCTTGAATATTTTTGAATCTGACATATAAGAGATGTTACAGAGGTTGAATATGCTGGAGTTTTTTTTTCTCCGGTGTACATGTAACCACCAAGCTTTACAAATCTTCATAAACTGGTGCCGTCGTCATAAACTGAATCAGACTCCCAAGTGGGGAAGCCTAGAAGCCTAAACTCTGGGGACGGTAAACTTGCCATTGAGAAACCGTTGATATCCCTATGAAAAAATGATGTAAACCCTAGGTTCTGGTAAACGTTATGTATACGTTTATCCGAGGGTATTGTTGGGTTTACCTCAGAAAATAGTGGGATATGGCTTCTCCTCAAGGAACCAGAGGATTTAAAGATATCTCAGGCTTGGAGTTCAAACGTATTGAAGGATTTTGGGGTCGAAGATACTTGAACATTGAAACTACCAGGCCAATGCATGATTTTGGGTTTATTTTTTCAAGATAGCCTCTGACAAGCACACGTGGCAAGTGAGAATCCCTTCCAAATGGAATTTTGAATGGGAAATTCATCTATAAATGGTGGATTTTCTTTTGCCATATTTAATTGCTAGATGATATTTCACCAAAAATGAAGGGACTCAGTTCGAAAGGTGGAAATGTAACTACGCAACTATGTCTAAGCTGGGAAGATTGTGTTGGTGTTCCAAGTGGTGCCACTTATAATTGGAATGAATCTTGAAAACACTACATTTTAGCTGGGTAAACATCAGATGGATACTTTGGTACTTTGGCTTTTAAGTGTTTGAGTTGTTTTTAAGGTATCTAACATGGGCAATGATGTCAGTTGGAACCATTCAAAATAATAACTGTTAGTTGGGCCATAACTACCCAAATGACCAGACGTTTCAGTTTGGTGATGTTTCAGTTTACCCAAAATCAAGATCCAGAGCTTCAACACTGCCATAAATCAGCTTAGCTAGCGAAGCATAGGGCACCATACCCTCAAGACATTGACTTCGCTAATTTTACTGTTAAACATATTTAAGATGTCGGTTTTCGATGGCTAACTTTTAGTAAACAAAAAAAACATGTTATTTCCGACGCACAAATGGTGATTGACCATGAAACATGAATGATTTCCCATAGTCAAATTGTAATGTGCCATGGTTATTTTCCATGGGGCACCTGTTTTCGCCATCCACAGCTCCGATCCTATCCCAGGACGTGATTCAGAAGGTGATCTCGGAAAAGGACGACTACAAAGAACTGCGCCATGGCCCAATGGCACCGGGAATTCCCATGCACTTTGCCAACCAACTAGCTGGGTTAACCCCAAAATCTAGGTTTGGTAGGCTTGGTGTGGTTTAGCCCCAAATTTGCTACATACATTCTTGCGGCAAAAAAGAAAAGTTGTTGCGTGGCCGCCATTGTATAGCCATATCATTAAAAAAATCGAGGTTCGCCATAGGGGGCCTCCATTCCCGGAGATTGCCACAGCAGTGTTCCCAGAGAAGGGGAGAAATGAGGATACCCCCAATAGCTGGGTGGTTTACCATGGAAAATACAATCTATAAATGGACTGGGGATACCCCCATGGCTTGTTGGAAACCTCCATATGTCAACACTTGATTCGATTGACTAGGGCCGACCATCCCAGCTGAAGATGGTTAGACCCCAGCTGAAGTTGGCAACGATGCTGAAGATTGTTCTGACCTGGGGCAATGTTGTTTTGGGGCTTCTTGGGCATGGAAATATGCTGTTGTTATGCAGAATTGTCTATAGACATCCTCGACTCTAGCCTTATTGTCACTTAATTTCCTGTATGTGTTTGTTGCTGATGGTATGCCATCTCAGCGTTTCTGGGTTCTCTCCTTTTTTGCTGCCAATCTCAAGGGTTTCCTTTGCTACAAGATGGCAGCCAGAGTCGAAGCCCACCAGCTGCAGGTTGGTTTATGAACTCATCGTACTGAGATGTGCATCATGACCTCAGCCTAATGCCTATAGTCCCTATAGTTGTAAAACAACTTATCGAGAGTTGCCCTTCTTGTCGTTATGGGTTAATCATGGTTAATCTATCCAACTTTGGTGTGGTTTCATGATGTTTTATGTATTGTCTTCAATTTCTGGTTGGTGGTTTCAAGCATGAATTTGATTTTCAATTTCATATATGGGATGTCATCCTTCCCATTGACGAACTCCATCATTTTTCAAGATGGTTATTGCACCACCAAGCAGATTTTCTTCTGACTCAGTGCTGGTTTTGCAGCTACAAAAACCGAGGATGCTACCTCGGAATTATCAGGATGGAGATGTGGTGATGATGCTGGGCTTGCTGGGATTGTAATCTCTCATTTTTTCCCATGGGAAATCAACACTTTTGGGGAAAATCACAATTTTTAATGGGAAATCCCTAGATATATTGGGTAATGATAGCGAAATGTCTACAGATATTGGGGTATAATCTGGTTGGTGGTTTGGAACATGAATTTCATGATTTTCCATATATTGGGAATGTCAGAATCCCAACTGACTTTCATATTTTTCAGAGGGGTTGAAACCACCAACCAGCACACTTTTGGGAATCTGCAGAAAATATGTTTCAGTTTTTTTTGGGGCCTGGCCTGTATGCAAAATCAAAGAATCCAAGCCAAGCCGTCGAGTTGAGGAAACTGATTCAAGATCTTTTTTGAAGGAAACCATCTTATATATTGCTTTCCAGCAATTCCTGCAGTTTAGAGTATCCTGCTTTTTTGGTGGGTCGCTTCAATCATGTGTTATATTTCATGGCCGCCCCATAGGATGATGGTGCCAATCGACATGAATTGACTCATAGATGCTCATAGAAACAACTAAGCAGCACGTATCAAAAGTGGATTTCAGGACTTTGTCCAGGTCCAAATTACGCTGGGAAGCATCGATTCTACCACTGAGACGAAGGGTTTTCAGCCGTAAATGTTCCCTTTCTGTGTTTTCAACCAATCGGGGTTTTGTCTCAAAATGGGACGGCCTAAAACTTGGAGGGTTTCGAGATCCCAAAATAACCAGTTCTGTGTTTGCACACCTCCCATTCCACGTATGGCAGATTGACAAATGCGACCGTTCACCCCATTTTCCTCCGAAAATCGCCCACATGTCAGTAAACAATACATATATGGTCAGTGCCGGAATTATAGAACGGAAGTTGAGGAGGACGAAGGTACGGTTATTTACCGTACCCTGTTGTTCTATAATTCTGTTTTCCTCGGAAGGTATGAAAAAAAAATGTATCTGATCTTCCTCCTAATTTTTTCGTCGTTCTATAATTCTTGTCGGAGCGCTGTTGTTCTATAATTCTGTTTTCCCCCATTTTTCTCACATTTCCCATTTTCGTTCTATAATTAATTTTCCCCGGGCCCCGTTCTATAATTAATTTTTCCGTCGAACGGAAAAATTAATTATAGAACGGAAAAATTAATTATAGAACGGAAAAATTAATTATAGAACCCTAAGAATCATTGGCACCTGGTATTGAGATACCCGTATCTCTGAGTGAGGGGTCGGTACCTCGAACCTCTGAGGGAGGGGTCGGGGCCCTCGGGGAACATAGGCCGAGGTACCGAGGTACCAAAAACTGATAAAAACTGATTGACAATTAATTTGTTCATACGTGTTCAAAACATGCTCAATATGATCAATGGACATGCCCGTCATAAACTACACAAGTTTGATATTTTTTTGTGCATTTTCATCTTGTTATCTGTTTTGCAGTGCAGCCAGGAACCACCAGTGCATCACAGAAATTGTCAGGAGAGATTTTTGGCGTGAAATGTTTAATAGGTATAATATATATATATACAACAAATATTACCAAATGTTGTCTAGTACATGCTGCTTAGGCTTAATTATACATATATAATCCAGACAAACAGGCCGGCTCTTCAGCCAAAATTCTTTGTGGAACACCCCTTTGAATTGTTTGTCCCAGCAGTTTTTTTGTTGGTCGAAAATTAAAACCGCAATCAAACAAGTCGCACAGAGCAATGCACGGATCTAGCCCATGTGGGGCTACAGAAGGCAACAAATGCCAGGTAGATTCTATATTTCAAAATATTCCAGCGTTTGTTTTCAAATGAACGACATTTACAAGGGAATTCGACAGTAATTTTCTATATATGATGCTATTTTATTTGCCTCGGCTTAGCGACATCTTGTGTGAGGCAATCCTAAAAAGAACAATCAACCAACAAGATGCACTGATGAAGCTAACGAAAAAAAACAACACCAAGTGTTTGAAGGATTGAAACCTTGCACTGATATATACAATTATATACATATATTGCGCAAGTCAAATCCAAAAGCGTACGCGCACATATACTGTACGGAAAAGTACGCCCATGTACGCCCATTTGGCTCCGTATCAAAGCCTAGATTAGATGGCATATGCATCCTAGTGGAAACTTAGTAGATTTCGTCTTAATGCATGTAACGGATGATTTCTAAACTCCTTTTCAAGCATGTAGCAGTCACACAAGTCAGGTATTGCCCACATTGTTCCAGAAAGGGGAAGCATGTTTTGACGATAGGGAAATATCATCAGGGACTGCGACCTCGCGGCTCCAAATTATATAGGAACTGAATGCATCCAAAGATTGGTAATTTCAGCCATGAATATGAGTCCTGATTCCAAAAGGATAGCAGCAAAGGTCCAAAACGAGCACAAAGGATATCCACAGGAAGGTATCCAAAAGGAACCCCAAAGTGAACAACAAGGTCCAAGAAAACCAAAGGAATAGATATGCATATAAAACGGACAAATCAAAATTCAAATCAAGGAAACATGTACAGTAAAGATGAAGATAGAGAAACAAACAAAATAAACAGGGAAAGCACATGTTAACGAATCAATCACATATTAGGGGAACTGAATGGGTTCAATAGCTGGCTGGGAAGCAACGTACAAGTTGATCCTAGTCTTGTGCCAGGTCATCCCAGTTTTCGAACTCTACCTCTAAAACCCATGGTTCAGACCAACACCGGAGTAGTTTCGCCCTGGGAGTTTCAACAATTTAGTATTTAGGTAGCTCTATTTCATGCAACATTGCGGCGTTTCATGTGAGAGCACATAGGATTTCGTAAATCGTCGGAACCCATCAGAAACCCATCGGAACCGGAAACCCATCAGAAACCCGTCGGGAACCTGGTCGGGAACCCGTCGGAAACCCGTCGGAAACCCGTCGGAAACTCGTCGGAAACCCGTCGGAAACACTTACATGGGCCCTCAAATCAGGAGCTTTTGAGGTACCGCCGTCGGAAACCCGTCGGAAACATTTGGAGGGCCAATCCTAGCAGGGTTCGGTATGGCTCAGCCACATAACATTTAGCCATATTTAGCCAATCCAATCCAGTATGTTCAACATTATCCCCCAGGCAGGGTGACAAATCAAATGCGGCATGCAATCTTTAAGAAAATCCATGAATAGATTCATTGTCTTTGTTCCAACTGTTAGTGGGTCCTGTTTAGCGACATGGTATGTGAGAGATATCGATTCAGCAATAAACAAATACAGGACTTTGTCACAAAAACGTGCTTGAAACACCTTGTCCTTTGTCAATACGGAACCATGAGCCGCATTGCGCATCAGCAACACATGCTTACAGTTTTGCTTAGGAATGACCGGGACTACGTAAAAGAAATATGATGTATTTGATTGTATTTGTATTTGTTAAAAGCAGCCTGAAGAACAGCAGGATCCAGCCCACACTGGTACTGGAGGTTGATGAAAGGCATGGATGAGTAAGCAGGGGTTGACCCATTGTTCCCCCTGGTAGGCTAATCTACAAAGTAGAATACTGTATAGAACTTGTGCAAGAAATGCTTTCAGCCTTACCTTACTGATATCATTTGTGAAGAGTGAAGTCATTATCAAAATGAGCAACCAAGTAAATAGCCTACCAAATGTTTGCAAATGTGAAGGAACACAGAAGCCATACAGCCCTCAAAGAAGCCTGCCTGTATACAAGCATATCGCAAATTGAAAGCACTGTTTTTGTTGGCAAATATTGACTACATCAAAAGGTGAGTATACATTCAGAAAAACGGTGACCTCGGCTCGTCCCAGTGGGCTTGGCCGTAAAGATTTGCAGTTTTGAAGCGCTTTCTGTAGTTGTTTGTTTCTTGGATGCAAAAATTGCCTGTAATACTATAAGTTAATATCAAAGATACACTTGCAAAAAGCGTGCGCGAGTCCAGGCCACAATCTTGGGATAGTAATTATCGGCGGCAGATAGACAAGACGGGTCAGCTTGACAAATATAATGGTCTTTCACCCTTGGCTCACAAGCACCCAGCCCGACGACATCTAAAGGGAAACAAATGTAAAACAACTGAAATCCAGAGCCATCCAGCCGGAATTGAAAAGCAACGTGCTTTTGAAACAGCAGTGACGCTACAAGACATAGACACGCACAACAAAAGCAAAAACAACCAATCAACAGCCCAAAAGAAGCGGGACAGGAATGAATATGAGAGCCAAACAAAATAAGGAAAAACACCTACTGTAGGAGATTCAGTCAATAGCAGTCGGGAAGGATAATAAAACAACATGTGCATAAGATGTATCTTTGACCAATCCCAAATGATCTTTAAGCATTGCCAGAGTCGCCCCTGTAACCTCTGGAACCCTACCAATAGGTCAAATAGGTTGGAGGGAAGCCGGGAAATACCAAATGATAGCCAATTTGATTCTTTACTTACTTCATCATGGCAGTTGTGATCAGGTGCGGAGAACAAGCCGCACCTCTCAACCAGCTGATTTCTGACCCCTAGATGCTACAGAGCTTCACAATCTAACAGCTGAAGGGTTCCTTCGTCTTATCCTCAACCATTGTCGAATATCCTGTCATATTTCGGGGGCGCAACGGTTGAATCAAAAGGGATAGATAGTTTGGAACCCTTGTGAGATCTGGTTAGCATGTTGGGACCTCGGGGAGTGCTCCCCGAGGTCCCGAACGCTTACGAGAGCCCCAATCAAGTTGGGATGGTTAGGGAATTATAGAACCTCTTCCGGGGTCCCAGAAAGAGCTGAGCAAACTGCCTTTTTTCCATCCCCCTCAAGACTTGTATTGTAAACACCAAAGTTCGGTTATTTACCGTACCCTGTTGTTCTATAATTCTGTTTTCCTCGGAAGGTATGAAAAAAAAATGTATCTGATCTTCCTCCTAATGTTTTTCGTCGTTCTATAATTCTTGTCGGAGCGCTGTTGTTCTATAATTCTGTTTTCCCCCATTTTTCTCACATTTCCCATTTTCGTTCTATAATTAATTCCTCATTAAATCCTCATTAAATCTGCATTTTATCCTCATTTCCTCATCAAATCCCCATTAAATCCTCATTTTATCCGCGTTTTATTATCATTTCCTCATCAAATCCTCATTTTATCTTCATTTTATCTTCATTTTATCTTCATTTTATCCTCATTTTCTCATCAAATCCTCATTAAATCCTGATTAAATCCTCATTTTATGTTCATTTTATCTTTATTTTATCATCATTTCCTCATCAAATCCTCATTTTATCTTCATGTTATCCTCATTTTATCCTCATTTTATCCGCATTTTATCCTCGTTTCCTCATCAAATCTTCATTTTATCTGCATTTTATCTTCATTTCCTCATCAAATCCTCATTAAATCCTCATTAAATCTTCATTTTATAGATTGTATATGTACAAATATGCAGTAAATATCATGTCAGTGCCAGAAATTATAGAACGGAGCCAGGAGGACAAAAGTACGGTAAAATACCGTACCTTTGTCCTCCTCCCCGTTCTATAATTAAATTTCCCGACTCCGCTCCGAATCGGAACCCGGAGGAGGACAAAGGTACGGTATTTTACCGTACTTTTGTCCTCCTGGCTCCGTTCTATAATTCTGGCACTGACTGTAACTGGTTGGTGGTTTCAAACATGAATCTTATTTTCCATAATATATGGGATGTCATCCTTCCCATTGACGAACTCATATTTTTCAAGATGGTTATTGCACCACCAGCCAGATAAACATATGCCATGAACCAAGCCAATTGGGCACAGTTTTGGTTCCAAGGATGGCAAGGAGCTACTTTGGTTGGAACATGTTGTGTTGCAGAATCGACGTTCCTGCCCCTCGGACGCGTCTTTTGATGGTGAACTGAAGCATGATCATTCACCGGGTACTATCAGTACTATCTAGAATCAGTGGTTGTATCTGGATATGTTTGATACCCTCTGGTGAACTAACATAGCTATGGAAAATCAATGAATTTCACAATTTTTAATGGGTAAAAAATCCATTAAATCCACTATAAATTGTCATTTTCAATAGCTATGTTAGTCATTACCAGAGGGTAGTGATTAAAATCTATTGGAATTGGTGGTATCCATAAGTATCCGATTTTCAGAGCCATTGGAATTTTGTTTTGGTTTGGTTTGGTTTGCCCAGATGTTGGTTACTGTTGGTTGTTACGAATCACTGGAATCATTGGAAGGTTCCATGGAACTGTTTCCAGATAAACCTGTTGGCTCCTCGAGTCAACGGTGACTTTTTTCCGGTGACCATTTGGTGCTAAATGTATTGCAGCAAGCCCCACGAAAGCAGCATTTTAGTGGGATGATACGGGGGATGGTTGCGAAATCCTGCGCCAGTTGATAGATGGTTTATCCTATTATTTATAGGGTTTCAACCATCCTTTTGGTGGTGCAGGATTTCTTCCATCCACAGTATGTGATGATTTCCAAGTTTTCGATCGGGGATTGCTATGACATGTACAGCAACATGTATTACGGTCTGGTAATGACTAACAGTTTGCGAACTTGAAAATGGACATTTATATATCGTTGATTTACCCATTCAAAATTTGATTTTCCATAGCTATGTTAGTTTACCAGAGGGTAACAGGCATGAACATGTATTGACATGTATTGGACCCATGATTCGTGTGTGATGCATATGACAATCCTGGCTTGGGAGGTTGATGCGCAATGCCGTCCCTTCGCCCTGACCCTCCTTCAACCAAAGATGGTAATGACATGCAATGACATGTAATCGAACATGGTAGAAAATCATGGGTTTTATCACATGTTAGGAACTATTGGGTTGATGGAACGTTTGTTTCAAAATCATGTATCATATCAACAACATGTAGGATTTCTGGGTGGTTGGAGGTTGTGCAACATCCCCATCTTTGGTGGCTTAACCTTGGTTTGGTAAGGCATCTAAGAGTATAGCGTTCGCCGGAAAAGATTCATCTTGGTCAAAAAACAACCTTCAACTTCCACAGTCTTCCACAAGAATTTAACATAATTTTAACATATTTTAACATGTTTATATAAGTTTTTTTGGTTGCTTACATCCCATTCAATTCCAATTTCTTGTTGGTTTTAGGTGTCCCCTTTGTCAGTAATTACCCCCAAGTGCTGGTTGAAGTTTCCCGTCGCCGGCCCAGAACAGCGTCCGCGGCGCCGAGCTAATGAGAATACGAGGCATCCTCCTGCCTGTTATGGGAATTCAGCGTGGCTTTGGCTTGCTGGAAAATCCACCATTTATGGGGGATGTTCCTTTCTGAAACTTCCGTTTACGGATTTTCCGGCCAGCCACGTTTGATTACCAATGGGCAATCTTGATTGAATGGTTTACAAGGAGGTGCCCCCCAGTTACCAATTGGTTTATAACTTCCATTAACTACAGTATACATACCCTCTGGTTATTTAACATAGCCATGGAAAATGGCCCATTGATAGATGGTTTACCTATTAAAAATTGTGATTTTCCATGGCTATGTTAGTCATAACCAGAGGGTATACATAAATATACCATAAGACCATAAGACCTACTTATTGGAGTTATATATTAACCAACTTAGCGATTCCGACCTGGGGCACCACGTGCCAAACGACAAGGATCAAGGGGAAGTGACATAGGGATACAATTTTTGTGAAGCCATGTGAACTTAAAGATAATATTATAATGATTATTCCATACCCCCAGATTAAACGCCCCCATTGTATGGTCCCAAATATGTGTTTATCCCCTATTAAACTATGGTTTCTGGGGAATGTTTGGTATTATAAGCGGGACGGCTTTTCGCAGTTGTTTCTCAGTTCTTGGATGTTTTGAGAGGATTCGCTTGCATGTTGCAACATTCGGGAAACTACAAGGTGGTGCCCCCATAGTTATATGTTTGTTGGTGTATAATCCCCATTAACTATAGATATAACTTCACCCCCTAATCAGCCCTAGTTATTGGACTTATGTTCACCAACTTAGCTAACCAATTGATTTGTAAATGCTTTGGTCGTGGATTTCTTCATGGAGGGGTCCCACATCTGTCCGACAATCCCAGTGACCCCAGGTGGGTCACTATCGAAGTATGGGATGCACATCGAAGTGCCATTGGGCCATCATACCTAAACTATTTCTAAACTCAGGCACATGTTATCACAGTTATCACCCAAGACAGGCTTATTGTCACCGAATACCTGCAAAGGTGCGAGGACTTGTGAGTTTCATCGCCTGAAAAACCATTTGTTTTGTCAGCGAGCCTGGGTATATGACGTACAAACACTGGGGTCAATCCGAACCATGTCATCCGCGATATACATGGAAGCAATTCTATCCAACTATACACTAGGGAATGACGTTGATGTTTCAGCAACCAATTTTACCAAGCGGTCATATAAAATCTAGCAAAATGATTCAAATTTCCCACCGGAACTATACAAATACATACGAATACAACGCGTAGTGATATATAGTCATCCTGGAGTAGATAGAATAGTGAATAGTGAACTCTCACAAAATTCCATGTTCTAGTTGCTTCAGGATGATTATAGTCCCCAAATTAACAAATCAACCTCAAAAAAGGGAGGGAATGAACCAACGGGAAACGGTAGGCCTTTTTGCACAAGGATTATTAAAGACTCAAGCTTTGCCCTGATATTTGCTTGGTCAGATTTTGAGAAGCCCGCTGTTTGGGGGCCAATCATAGTCCTTTAAAAATGAAGATTTGAAGATGATTTGGATGGGAAACACTGCATAGATTCCTGGGGTTGCTTCCGGTGAATCGTGTTTTTAATCGTGGGAAAACAACCATTTGGGGAAGGTGTATATGGCTTTGGGGCGCGGGGTGCGCTGTGCCTACCAACTGTGGAAATCAGGGGATCATCCCCTGGTTTGTTAATCCAAAGTCCATTTGGTGTTGCTTGTCATACCCTCTAGTGATTTATCATAGCTGTGGAAAAGCAATGTGCTTCATATATATATATATATATCTATATGTGTGTATATATAGGTAAATCATAATTTTAATCGTCATCCATGGCGTCCGTAGCGGACTATTCTGTTAAATATAACAAGGTAATGGTAACACCGACGATGATCGGCTTCATCCCCGTCACAATCCGTTACTTGGAACAAAGAACTGAAGTAAGTTCTTATTTGTGTTGTGTTCCATTTTAATCAAGTTTTATTCATTGTGATTAAAAAATCACACATCAACATAAACATAAATTGACATAAATCATCAAAATCATTATCCCATAAATGATGTTATGACCAATGGATACATCAATATAAATCATCAATTGTGCCATAAATCAACATCATTGAAAGACCTGGGCAATCCATGCCGGAATCTCGAGGGAATCTCGACCGAATCTCGACCTGGATGGCAGGTGTATGGGACAAGCTTTTAGCCACAGCCTCTCGGATTTTTCTCGTCGTTTCTCGGAGTTTCGTTGTGCATGTCAAAAAGGAGGTAGCGATAAGATAACCTGGTATTAATTACTACTGTATATATCTATATAATTCTATATATGGGATCTAAACTACCCTCTGGTAAACTAACATAGTTATTGAACATGGTCATTTACAGTTGATTTACCAATCAAAAATGGTGGTTTTCCATAGTTGTGTTAGTTTACCAGAGGTTAAGCCAGTAGTAATTACTACCCTCTGGTAAACGAACATAGCAGTGGAAAATTGCCGTGTTTAATAAGTAAATCATCGAAAATTACATGGTCCATTTTCCAGAGCTATTTTGACATAACCAGAGGGTACTGTATATATGGGATCTAAACTAAGGCATATGTATGGGGGCATATTTCACTGAACTAGTCATATCCGATAGATTACTAAGGCAGTGGAAGAAATATGGGTTAGACTCCGGGAATATCTGAGTTAAATTCACCACCTACGATTCTGCTTGCACCCCAGGTAGGGTGAAAAGCATCGTGAAGAGGGAACATATTTGGGTATAGAGGGTGTAGGTACAAAGACAGCAGGGCCCAGCTGGAGAAAAATCTGATTTACCTTTATATTAAATCATTTATAGATATATTATATATATTCATAAATCTTGTGAAATTATAACGATCTCACTGCTACCTCACTAGTTAGTTTACGGAATTATATCATGAATTATCCAAAGATAGCCTTATTTCAGATGAGTGAAACATCATAAACCCCCTGGCTTACAGCAATACAGGATGTTCACCCCGCAGCTTTTTTGCTGGTAAGTGAAGTATACCCGGCCTGGTAAACGTTTACATTGCATAACTACGGAAAATCATGATTTTCAATCGGTAAATCCACTATGAATGACCATGTTTAATGAGACATCACCATGCTATTCATAGGAACATCAACTATAGATGGCCATGTTCAATGTCGTAAACTGTAAACGTTTACCAAATGGTAACCCTACTTATCTTTACCTACAACTGGGGTTCGAAGTCACTTGCCATTGTGATGGACCACCCAGTTCCAAAAATCACGGTCAGATCCACCTCGAGTCCTACCATCTTGGCCCATGTTGTGTCAACAGTGTACCATGGTTTTGGGCAGAGATGGTAAGATAATCTGGTTGGTGGTTTGGAACATTGATTTTATTTTTCCATATGTTGGGAATAATAATCCCAACAGACTAATATTCTTCAGAGGGGTTGAAACCACCAACCAGTAATCGTCGGGCAAATTCCAGCGACTTTGCGATGTCATCATAGTTCACGGTAGGAATATGAGTTTTTGTTCGCTGATTTCTGCTTGTGTAAATGCCAAATGTCCGGACAGATCCATATGTCCATTTCATGACCATCGCAAGCGCTAAGGTAACTTCCCTGCTAGCTACAAGCTACCCAAGAATCTCAGAATTGGTGGAGAAAAGTCATAGCTTGTGACCTTTGGAAAACCATAGATCTTATTTTTGGAACCCATATGGCTGGAATTTCCATTGCTTAAATCATGCTGAATCACCTTTTTTGGGATGTCGTTCCATTGGAAGGTTGAACTCCCCGTAAAACGATCGGTGGATCACTCCAGGAAGTGATCCCGAAGTTGGTAGACTTTCAGTTCCTTGGAGTGCTTTCGGATGTGAAACAAGGAGATGATTTAAGGAGTATTTTCTGGTAATGACTAACAGTTGCTATTGAAAATGGCCATAGAAATAGTGGATTTTCCCATTAAAAATGGTGGATCTTTCCATAGTTATGTGAACGTTTACCAGAGGGTAAATATGATGAATATGAAGTGGCAAGATTTTTTGGGATTTAGCCATGATGTAGCCTCGATGTAGCTGTTTAACCAAACAAAAGACAAGGAAGAATAGGTATATTATATAATTAATTGTATATACATTATATATGTTAAAATGTGTTAAACTATAAAGAATAGTAGGCGTAAAGCAAGTGGATGGATAGTTCTCCGAAATGTGCCCTTTTTAGCGGTGCATGTTTTGTTCTGCAACCTGAATCCTGCGATTTTCTGGGTACCTCTATACTGGAACTACTGGAACTTCCCCACAGTGGCCATGAACAGTTATAATTACCCTCTGGTAAACTAACAGAACTATGGAAAATCACCATTTTTAGTGGGTAAACTATGGAAAATCACAATTTTTAGTGGGTAAATTATGGAAAATCACCATTTTTAGCGGGTAAACTATGGAAAATCACAATTTTTAGTGGGTAAACTATGGAAAGTCACCATTTTTAGTGGGTAAATCCACTATTTCTATGGCCATTTTCAATAGCTATGTAAACGGTTACCAGAGGGTAAATGGAAAATAATGGAACTATACCCTCTGGTTATTTAACATAGCTATGGAAAATGACCCATTTATAGATGATGTACCTATTAAAAGTGTTTCTTTTCCATGGCTATGTTAAATAACCAAAGGGCAACTCCTATAACTAGTTGCTTATATATCATTATAAATCCATAAAAATAACCTAATTGGTGGTTTGGAACATTTTTTATGTTTCCATATCTTGGGAATAATCATCCCACCTGACTAATATTTTTCAGAGCTCGGGCCCAGGGTCTTCCCAGAAGTAGAGCTGCGCAGACGGATCCCCTGGGGTGCATGTTTTGATAGGTGCCATGGACTGGTCTTCACTTTGCATTGGTCAACGAACTTCTGCAGTGCTGTCAGTTATTTGTACGGATTCCAAAGGAAACCTTCATCTACTACAAACACAGGATCGTCGTGGTTTCAAAGTCTGGTTAAGAGGGGATTTACCACCTGGTGGCACTTTGGTTGGGGTTGATCTAGTGGTGACATCTACTTCCCCCATGGTGTTTCAGGCTGACCCCCAATCCATGTTGGTACCGGTTCCAGTTTGTGACAGGGCCTCACTGAACCGTGTTGTGGACTTGTGCGCAGGCCTCGGGGGTTTCTCGGTGACAGTCCCGTTGGTTGGATTTTCCGTTGCTGCTGGGGTGGACCACAATGACCGTTGGCGTTCCTTGTTTGAGTCTCTGCATGAAGGGGCACAGTTCATTGTTGGTGACCTGGCTGACACCTCTGTCTTGCGTCAACTGCTTGGTTTGGAATGTTTCCATGGTGTGGTGTGCTCTGGTGTGTCCTGCCAGCCTCATTCGGTGCTTGGTGACCGTAAGGGAATGTCAGATCCACGAGCCAAGTCGCTTCCTCACAGCCTCCAACTGGCCTGGCTCCTTCAAGCTGCTGTGGTTTTACTGGAATGTACTCCTGAGGTACTCCGTGATGCACAGGCTCAGGAGTTGTTGCGTCAGTTCACTGTTGCCACAGGATACCGGCTGTCTCAGACCATTCTTCGACTTAGCAACACCTGGTGCACCAAGCGAGACAGATGGGTTGCTGTGTTGACCGCCCCAGTAGTCCACCCGTGCTACATCCCTGACATGCCATGCTTGCAGGAGATCCAGGTTGTCCGTGATCTCATTCCTGAAATCCTTCCGTGGCCGAAGCCTGATCAGGATCAGTTGGAGCTGAACTTGTACGAGCTGTCCAAGTACTATCAGTATGCTGCAGGAGGGATTGATGGGGCCTGGGTTCGCATGGATGACAAGTTGCCAACCTTGTTACACAGTGCTGGCAATCAGATGTACACCTGTGCTTGTGGATGTCGTGCTGCTTTGTCGGAAACCAGGCTTCGACAGAAGGGGTTGGTAGGTGTCTTGATACCTTTGTCCACATGCCAGACTCACATGAACTTGGAAATGCGGCATGCCAGATACCTCCATCCTGTTGAGATGTGGGCACTCATGGGTGGCAACCCACAAGCACCCATGGGAAACAATTTGAGGTTGGCCATGGCTGGAGTTGGTCAGGCTGTTGCTGCGTTGATGGGCCTTTGGATTTTCTCCCATGTGCGTCAGTGCCTTGATTGGACTTTCGAGCTTCCTCCATGTGATCCGCTGCCTGTCCTCAAGTCGTACATGTCAACAGTCCTGCAGGAATGTCGCAGCAAGTGGTCTCCTGGTCTTCCCATGACCGTTGCTGATGTTGATGATGACCCGGTTGAAGATGTTGAAGATGCAGCACAGCCCAAGGTGGTCACTCTCACTCGTCCATGTACCGGAGAACCTGATGTCACTGTGAAGCTCTCCCCAGGTACCACAGGAGTTCAGCTCTTGGCTGCTGAAGCGCAATTGGGCGTTGATGTGACTGACTACACCCTGAGGATTGATGGTGAAAAGTTTGATGCCACTGAGCAGCTCCGAGGATCGTCCCTTGTTTCACTTGTTTCACCGGATTGGGACCCAGCCAATTTGTACGCCACTCCGGCCATTCCTTGCTGCTTTGATGCCGATGAGTTTCTCAGGTATGTCCATGCGTCTGATGCCACGCGCCCTGGTTTTGTCACCGATTTGGAGGGTCTCCGATCAGCTCGTTGTCCTGTGTTTTCGAAGGCTGAGAGGGTTGGATTGCTGGCTCAACAAGGTCCGGTTTGGGGTGATGATGAGGTGCTCCATGGACTTATGCAGACTGAACTAGGCACTGAGGAGGCTCAATATGTGCACGTGTGGGATCCTCTGCTAGTCACCGGCCTGATTCACCATGAAGACCAGGCCACTTGGCAATACTTGGTCTCCGAACTTGGGCATGAAGCCACAGTGATTTCAGCGGTGTTGCTGGGTGGTCATTGGATTCCCTTGGTGTGGAGGGTAGATATGGTGGGTTCTCAACTTCACTCCCTGTCTGTCACCATGGAATTTGTCTCTGTCCTTGAGAAGCTGAGCCGTATCATCGAAATCCACCGAGGTGGTGCACGAGGCACGTGGAGAGCACATGACCCTGGATTTACTCCTGTTGGCCACTGTGGAGCTTTGGCGCGATTGCTCTTGTCCGGCATTTGTTGTGGCGTTGGCAGATGGTCAGAGACAATGAGTCCTTGTCCCACTTTGCTGCCGGGTTACGTCGGGGCTTCTCTGAACACATTGATGACCCATGTTATCGACCGTGCTTGGCTGGCCTTGGACTTTCCGTGTCAGCACGTCTTGCGGACCTTCTGACTGTGCATGGTGTTCCTGTGTCTGAATCGTCCACTCGAGCCATGTCTGTCTTGAAAGCCCTGGGTGAAGCCGATGTCAGTGCTGCTTTGGACTCTGGGAACCCCTGGAGAGAATTGAAGTGGTTGGGTAATCAAGTCCGGCCCCCCTTCATGTTGATCAAGCCCTCTGAACTCCAAGCTCAGATTGACAAGAGGGTTAGTGACCAGCCGGTGGGCAACAAGAAGCATAAGCGTGCCAAGTCTGCCAAAGGAGGGGGTAAGGGACATGCCAAGCCTGCCACTTGCTTGGACCCTACACTGCTCAGGTTGGAATCAGGCATTTTCCAGAGCGAGGATGGTACTCCTCTGTCGCAGCTCAGTTTGCCTCAAGTCGGATCGGCCTCATCGGGGGTTGCTGTGGTGTCTGTGTCTGCCATTGACCCGTACCTGAAAGCCGGCCGTCCTCTGTCTGCTGGTCCCTTGGCCTTGTTTGTGGTTGACTCCCCGACTGCCCCTGCCACCTCATGTCCAGTGCGCCCAGAGCGGGTCCCATTGGTCTGTGCAGCCAACTCTGAGCCGCTGCTGGTGGATGGCCACTTGATTCAACTTGGTGCGGTGCCTGTTTGTCGAGTGCCCCTGCAGTCCGGCTGTGAGGTGAAATCGGTTCCTACTTGCGTGGTCAAGGCCATGGTCTTCAAAGATCAAACCACAGTGTCTTGGGGTGAGGTGGTGTCGCATCCGTTGCTCCACATCTTTGCCATGGTGCCTCCCCTGCTGCAGTGTCGTGATGAAGACTGTTGTGGCTGTGAATGTTGGCACCGAACTGTGGACTTTCCCTTGGACTCACCTGTGCTGGAATTATGGGGTAAGCAGTGGCTCCGCTTGGACTTTAGCCCTGCTTCCCCTGACCAAGCTGACATGTTCACTTGCCACATCAGGCTGCCAGAACACCTTCAGATGGTGGTCCAACAGTTTTCAGGGCACAATGGGGTGTATCTTGAACCAAAGTCATTGGATGGCCGCAAACCTTCCCCTGCCTTTCAGGTGGTATGGCTTCCCAAGCAGGACATCAGCCAACTCATCCTGATGCGACAAACGGTTGCCCATGTGATTGGACTTGCCAGGCTGGGAACTAAAATGGGCCTTCGATGCAAATCTGAACATGCTGCCGAAGTTTTTGGGGTGTTGAAGCCAGGGCACACCTTCTTGCCCCCAGGCAAGAGGCAGAGCTATTTGGTTGGTCCGTTTGCATATGGTACCCTCCAAGCATCCGTGGCACAGGTGCTTCAGGCCAATGGATGGGTTGCCAAGCCAGTTCAGGTTGTCGCTGCCAAAGCACATGTCCAAGGTTTGATGTTCCGTGTACAGTCCGTCCAAGAGCCCCCCATGAAAATGTTGCGCCTTGCCCATGGTGATGTCTTGATTGCAAAGGAGGATGAGAATGTCATGCCGGTTGATCCTGCTCCGAAGGTGTTTTCCACGTCCCAAACTGAGTCCTTTGTCTCGAAGTCAGCAGAGGGAGATTACATCCAAACGCATGACCCATGGGCCAAAGCAGCCGCCCGGCTCCCTGCCAAGACATTTCCAATTGGTAATCCCTTGGAGGATATCACTCAAAAGGTTGTGGCGGAAGTTATGGCCAAAATCCCCCAGCAATCGATGGAGGTGGACTCCGAACAGTCTATGGACAAGAGGGTGGAAACCTTGGAGATGCAATTGAAGGATTTGACTGGGCAGACTCAGTCTCTTGCCCATCAAGCCCAGCAGCAGGCACTTGACACCTCTGGTCAGCTCCAGGACTTGCGAGGCCAATTGCAGCAGCAAAGTACTCACTTCGAGAATGCCATTGCTGCCCAGGCGAGTGCTATCCAGGGATTTCAGGACACTTTCCAAGAGCAGTTCAGGCAGCAGGTCACCCACCAGCAGACCATGTTAGATAGCATGTTCAGCAAACAGATGTCTCAGTTTGAGAGCCTGCTGTCGAAACGCCATCGCCCCGAGTGACGGTGCCCAGTTGCTGGTTTGACTGCCTCTGGCAATTGGGAAGTCTCTGTTGGTGGTCACTTGATGTTCTGCTGGTCGATGATGGCTTTCCTTGTGAGTTTGTGCGGCTTCCCTTCTTGGTTCGTGGCCATGTGGACTGCCGGCCTCTCTGTGTATGTCTTGGCTCTGGGGTTGGGATTTTCAGCAGGCTGTAGTGGACTTTCTCGGTCAGTCGATGGAGGTGCGATACGAATTGTTTCACGATGGAGTAGCCTTTTGACACTCCGAAGTTTTGGATTTTCACCCTCGCCTTGTGATGTCAAGTTAGCCCAGCGGCAACAGACACGTCCTGCGGGTGGTTTGACTTGGACTTGTGCCACCATGCGTCCTGCATTCCATTCTTCGAGGATCGGGTCAGGTTGTACAGGTGTGCGGTGGTGGTTTTTGTTGGTCCTTTTGACTTTGCTCCGCGTTGGAGAAGCTGCGCATCCAGGCCCGGATGCTGAATTTTGGAACCTTGGCATTGCGAATCCCAGTGGACTTAATGGGAAGTTGGACCAGGTTGCACACTTGCCTGGCGATGCATGGATTTTGACAGAGACTCAGCTCTCGCAAAAGGGTGTCTCCTCTTTTGTGAAAGGGCTGAAGATGCTGCAGAGCCCATGGCGGTATGCCATCACGGGCTCCCCATGCCTTCCTCGCCACCACACCGATACAGGCTCTCACTCTGGGGTCATGCTGGTTTCCAAAAGCCCTGCCAGGGCGCTTGTCCATGGATTTTCTGCTGACGTTTATGCCTCTGCCCGAGTCCAGGTGGTTGGTGTTGCGGTTGCTCAAGCTTGGATTACTGTGGGGATGTTGTACGGTGTTCCTTGTAATGCCCATCATCGCCAGGCCAAATACCAGACTGAAGCTTTGCTTGCTGAGTTGGTTGACAGGGTTGGCCTTCAAGCCTCTGGGCCGCGGGTCATCGGAGGTGACTTCAACTATGGTCCTGAGGAACTGGAGCAGCTGGACAGACTTCGATCGCTGGGTTTTCGGGAGGTGCAAGACCTACGTGCATGGCAGTTTGGCCAATCTGTTGAAGCCACGGGCCGGGGGTCACGTCGCATAGACCAGATGTGGATTTCTCCTGAACTCCAGCGTGTCTATAGGGGCACCCAGGTTGAATTTGACTACTGGGCGGATCATGCGGCTGTCTCTGCTTCCTTTGACTTGGGGTGTTTGTCCTCAACGGTTCATGCATGGCGTGTCCCTCAACCCTTTCCCTGGCCCAAGGAATGGACTTGTCAGGTGAATGTGGACCTTTCTGGGGACCTTACTGAGTCGTATGCCCAGTTTTGGCACCAGGTTGAAACCCAAGCGGTCAGTTGGAATCGTCACCAGGGTGTTTATGCTTCCCGTCAGCAGTGTGGGCGGGCTAGTGTTCTGGAGACTACCCCTACCAAGCATTTCTTGAGTCCACTCAAGAAGGGCCGTAAAGGTGATGTGCAACCCAGCTACCTTGGAGTGAGTTTGCAACATGCTCGGTTCTTCCGACAGCTGCGTCGTTTGCAGTCACTGTGCCGCATTTTGCGCAAAGGGGTTACATCTTGGTCTGGAAGTTTCAATAGGGATGAAACATGGCGTGCAATCCGTACAGCTGTTGGGTTTCCTGGCGGTTTTGGGCTTTGGTGGACAACACAGGGATTGTCTCCCACCTTGGTGGCTCCTCTGCCCCTTCTCTGCCCTGATCTGGACTTTGCCCAGGGCCTCTTCCATGGTTTTCAGGCTTTTGTCCAAAGGTATGAACAAGGTTTGATTAGCCAACGCTATAGCCATGCCAAGCGCCGCCGTGAACAGAACCTGGCGCATGTCTTTAGGGATTGCAAGGAAGACCCCCTGCCACAGGCGGACACACTTGTTGACCGGCTTGATGTGGGAGTTGATGAGGTGCGTGCTGATGACATGTCTTTGGTTCTCACACGTCCAGTTCGTCTGTTTGATGACTTGCCGGTTGTGGTGAATGGACAGGTGCTTGAAGTCGTGGCCCACTCGGAGGACCAGATTTGGGTTTCTGACACTTCGGGGGTACAACCAGGCCATGTCCTCTCTCAGGAACGTGCCGTGATTTCTGATGAGGCCATTCTGCAGAAGTTTGCTGACGTGTGGTCCACTCGGTGGCAGAAGCATCACCACGTCCAGCCGGGCCAATGGGACCAAATCTGTGGGTTTTTGGATCGCACTGCCCCTGTCGTTGAGTGGTCATGTACTGATTGGTCTGTTGAACGGTTTTGCCATGCAGTTCGCCTCAAGAAGCCTCGTGCGGGGAAGGGTCCTGATGGGGTTTCCCAGCCTGACTTGCGTTCTCTCCCTGCTGATGCCTGTGCGGTCCTTACTGGGTTCTATGCTGCCGTGGAGAAGGGTGCGATGTGGCCTGCTCAGATGGCCTCTGGTTTTGTGTCAAGCTTAGCGAAGCACCCTGCAGCTTGTTCTGTGGACGAGTTCCGTCCGGTTGTGGTCTATAGCCTGGCCTACCGAGTTTGGTCTTCAGTGCGTGCTCGGGAGGCACTCCGATCAATCATGCCTCACCTTCCTGTCAGTGTTCAAGGTGGGGTGCCGTCCAGGCATGCCAAATCCACCTGGTATGAGCTGGCATCGGCACTTGAGCTGGCATATGTGAATGAAGAGGCAATCCATGGAATATTGATGGACATCCAGAAGTGTTTCAACAACATTCCTCGCCTTCCTCTGTGGCATGCTCTGTTGCGTATGGGCTTTCCTCCACACATCCTTCGTGCTTGGGTGTCGTTTGTGTCGGGTCAAACACGCCGTTTCCGTGTTCGAAGCTCGGTGGGGGGGCCAGTGGCGTCTAACTGTGGGTTGCCCGAGGGATGTGCTTTGTCGGTCTTTGGCATGGCAGTGGTGGACTGGATGCTAGACTGGTGGCTTCAAGCATTGAACGTCCGGGTGGACTTGCGGACTTTTGTGGATGATTGGGGGGTGATGTTTTGGGACGTCGGTGTCTTTGAGCGTCTGTGGACTTCGCTTGAGGTTTTTACTGATCAGCTGGACTTGCGGTTGGACTTATCCAAAACCTGCCTGTGGTCAACTGATGCCCTGGCCAGAAAGCAGCTCCGTCAGTCTCCCCTCCATGTCACTTTGGCGGCTCGTAATCTTGGGGCCCACCAGAACTTCAGCAAGCACTGCCACAATGCTGAACTGCAGAAGCGGATGTCTCGCATGCCTATGGTGTGGGTTCGCCTCCGAGCCTCCCCGGGGTCCTATCGGGCCAAGCTTTCCACCATCCACATGATGGCTTGGCCAAGAGCTTTGCATGGGGTTTCAGTTGTCCATGTGGGGGAAAACCACTTCAAGACCCTCCGTTCAGGGGCAGTTCGGGCTCTGAAGTCGGACCGGAAAGGGGCCAATCCTTACCTTCACCTCGCTGCTGCTTCTTGCCAAACTGACCCCGAAGCGTGGGCCATCCTTCAAACTATGCGGGGCACCCGTGAGTTGGGTTCTTCTGATCGAGTTGAGTCACTCTTGGGTGTGTTTGCCGACACTGAGCTGTCGCTCCCGGCTAATGGTCCTACTGCTGTTTTGGCCTCTCGGGTACGGCGTTTGGGGTGGGCTGTTGGCGGTCAGGGGCTTCTCCAAGACCGTTTTGGATCCTTCAGCCTGATGCAAGTGGCATGGGATGAGTTGGTGCTGAGGTTCCAGTTTTCTTGGGGCCATGTCTTGGCTCAGGCAGTTTCCCACCGACCGACCTTTAGTGGACTTTCTCAGGTGGATCTTCCCGAGCTTCACCGCTCCCTCAAGGAGTATGGAGCGGCAGACCAGGTGTTCCTGCGTTGTCACTTGGATGGCACTCTCTTCACGCAGAATGGCAGGGCCAAGTTCAAAGAAGCTGTCACCTCCAAGTGTCCCTGGTGTCCGGCAAAGGATGGCTTCCATCATCGGGCTTGGATTTGCCCACACTTTGCTTCCTGTCGTGCGCATCTCACACCAGACCAACTTGCTGTGCTCCCGTCTCTTCCTCCGTGCCTGGTTGATCATGGGTGGCCTTTGGTGTTGCCTGAGTATGAGATGTTTGTGGACTTTCTGCTGAGGGAAGATGGACTTTGTAAGATGTCACCACTAGACCCCCCAATTCAAAGTTCCTCCCAGGTGGTTGAATTGTTTTTGGATGGGACAAGCTTGCATCCCCATGAGCCAAAGCTGCGCTATGCAGCCTGGGCTGTGACGGTGGTTCCCGGTGGTGCAGGCACGTGGGACAACAGACTCTTGATGGGTGGGCATGTCGTGGGCCTTTCTCAAACAGCCCTCAGAGCGGAACTTACAGCAGCTTTGCATGCAGTGCGGTGGGCCGTACAAAGAAGCCAACCGGTGCGGTTGTGGTGTGACTGTCAGGCGGTCATTCGGGGCATTCGGAAGCTTCAAAATGGGCGAGCTCCCAAGCGAAATGGTGCTCACTCTGACTTGTGGATGCAACTGCATGCGGCTCTGAGCCAGAACCCGGGGCTGATCCAGGTGCGAAAGGTGGTTTCCCATGGAGATCTACGGGCAGCCACAGGCCCCCTCGAAGAGTGGGCGTACTGGCACAATGCCCTTACAGACATGGCAGCAGATGGAGTCAACAGACGCCGTTCAGATGAGTTCATGTTGGTGTGGCAAGGGCTTTACGGTGCACTAATGTTTCACCGGCAGTTGCACCGGGCAATTCAACAGGTTCTTCTGCAGACTTCTCGGTTGGCGGTAAGTGAACAGCAGACGCGGCAGGTTACACCATTGCCGGCTCAGGTGTCAGCGGTGGAGGTATCACTGCCTCAACAGTGGGAAGTTTCCGAGAAGCTCATTTCCAGGTATGGCAGGGTCAACACGATGCATCTGTATAACTGGTGGGTGGCTGTCGGTGTTGGATTGATGAGGGGCTCGCAACCTCTAGTCCATATTGCCGGGATTCAGCTGTTCTATACATTCAACCTTTTCACTGGGTTTGAGGGGCCTTGGTGCAGCAAAAAGCGATGGTTTTCCAGTGAGGAGACTGCGCCTGAACTTGCACGACGACCGTGGGGAGAGCGGTGCAAACTCTTCCTCATGATGTGGAAGAGTTTTCTCCGCTCTCACAAGATCGTGGTCCCCACTCGAATGGCTCGTCCTACATCAGCTGCGTTGGCCAAGTGGTGCGCATGCTACCGCTTACGGGCCAGCCAGGAGACGGTAGATGAGATAGATCAGCTGATTTTCACCCAGCTCGGTAGGCAGGCGAGCACACCTGCTGACGTCTGCCTGCTTCGGGCGGCAAAGACCCGCTAGAGTGCAGCGAAACTGCGGGGGTGCGAGGTCGTCCGACAGCCTCGCTCCTCACCAATAAGGAGCAATAAGGAGTAATATTTTTCAGAGGGGTGGGTATACCACCAACCAGTAAGTAATTGTTAGTTGGGCCATAACTGCGGATTTTATATGGTTTGTGGCGAACAAATGCTGGGGGACGTCCGCAGCGGACGTCAAGTGCGATGCTCTGCGATTTCTGGTCCCGGTGGTCCTCTGTGGATATTGATACAATGTGGGGCCCCGGTTACGAAATCGCTAAGTTAGTGAACCTAACTCACATAATCAATGGGAATTTCAGGATCCTAAAATGGAGGTACTGTACCAGATAAGGTCATATTTTGCTGGGATATTCCCTTACATAGGCCTGAAAAATAGGCCTTACATATGGTACAGTACCTCCATTTTAGGATCCTGGAGATCTCCCATTGATAAATACATATAGCTACGCTTTAATATACTTATAATATATTATAATTGTATGGTTTTTTATGATATTTTTGTCAAAAAACAATCATCTTAAGATATTGATACCTCAGTGGAGGCTCCATTTTTTGAGCTCGGTGAGCGAGCCGTCCGAGCCTAAAAAAAGGATGATTGTCAATGGACTATCTATCCATCCTGGTTATGACTTAACAGTTCGCCATGGTTAAGCCATGGCACATAGAAATAGATGGTTTACCGAACTAAAAAATGGGTGGATTTTCCATGCCTATTATATCAATGTAACTAACTGTAGCTAGATTGTTTTGTGTTTTTATGAGAGGACAAAGTAAAAAACACGAGGCAAAAAAAATGCTGTGCATCTCTGAAAATTGACACAGGATTTACTGTAAGCCCCTTCCCCCTAACGATGCATCCCAGGAACTCTGCTTTGGGATCGAACTGTATCAAATCTTTATGGGCACTTCTTGTGGTGAAACAAGAACTTTTTGGTCATTTGGGCAATCTCAAATACCAATTAGTTAAGTCTTGATATTGGGCTTCTACCTATTCAAAAGGAATCAGTGATTATCATCCATTGTTGGAACAAAACAATGCAGTAGAACCAGTTCGCAACCAGGGTCACACTGCGACTTGGCGCGATTTTTTTTGCCGAGGCAAAAGAATCTGCTGCGCCTTGGCACTGGGGTTTTCCATCAGACACACTACCCTGCAATAAATTCGCGCTGTCAGATAGGGGTTGGAATATGAGTTTCCACTAAAAATTGTTGATTTTTTCGGGATATATGTTTATTTACCAGAAAGTAAAAGCATCAAACAGCTATGGAAATCCATTGGGTGACAACCTCAAGGACACGCCCTACACATGGTGCATACCTACAGTATATGTTAGTTTTACTGGGAATCATCACTAGTTAATCATACGTTCTGGCTCGTTGTAACGGCATGTAATGGCATCTATCTGGAACACAGATCGAAGGACCTGAAATGATGCCCTTGATGACCCAAATATGTTTCTGGTGGTTACCATCTGGTTATGACTAACATAGCCATGGAAAATCACAATTTTTAATAGGTAAACCATCTATAAATGGGCCAGCTATACCATGGCTATGTTATTAAATAACCAGAGGGTATATACTGCATAATGTCTGGGGCAATGTTTTTTCGACGCCCCAGTGCAACAGTCACCACAAATCACCACAACCTAGACCACTAAGTTTTCATCGAATTTCATCCTCGATCGATGATTGCCATGGTAACCTATAGTAGTCTAAATCCCAAAGACATGATTTGTAGATGATTTGCTTCCAAAAAAATCGGAATTGGGGGTCTCAAAAGGTGAGCACCACCTTCACAGCCATGTGCAATCGGAACATCATCTTATGTTGTTGGAACATGACCTGCATTCCCCTGAAGACGTATTTCAAATTTTCAACACGTGTTGTATATTGGTAAGATTCGTAAGCTTAAGCGATGTGTTCAACCAGAGCTACTTCGATCACCACTTCTGACTCCATAGATGTCCCTTTCCCATTGGTTGGTTGATTAATGGGGTTTGTTTACCCCTATAACAACAGGTAAATGTTCAAATGATGATAGATGCTATACCAAACCGGCCCAAACCTATTTTGACCAAAAGGACATTATTCTGGATAAATTATAACGACCTCACTGCGACCTCACTGGGAATCATGGTTAATAAGGGGAATCATCCCCAAATGGCCGAACTATTCAGGGGGCATGGGCCGGGGAAATGGAAGAGGAGTGGCCGAACTATTCAGGTTAGTGAAATATTATAATTTACCCAGATTATTGCTTCTGACGCCTCAGGTTGCAACGCAATTTGCGGCTGAACTTCGATGGCGGTGGCGTTTCCACGATGCAGCTGTGGGCACCTCATCTCCAATTTTGCAACTGGTGGAAGTAGTGGAGACGGGCCGAGCCACACCAAAAAATGATGGTTTTTAATAGGTTTTAATAATGTTTTGATGGATATATATATATTATATATATATATCTATCTATCTAATATGTATAAATATATATATATAATGATTTAAACAAGCAAAATCGGGATTTATACCTGAACACCAGGGGAATTGCTAGACTTAGATCTGAAAAAGTTGGCGTTGTCACTAAAAAAAGTGGCATTCAACCAACCAAACGTGAAGATTTCACCAATCAATGAATGATCGACATCTGGTTGAAATATGTTGAAACATTGGGTATAAAGCCAACTGTTTTGTGAGGATAAAATTATATCATATGTATATACGGGTGTAACGGATACAAGGCATACAACATGGGCAAGTAAACGCTAGTTATATGATATAACAAGGATATAAATGGATATGCAGATCTACAGTCCATGGTTCCTAGCAAGGGGAATCAACTTTGTCAGCTTAACAAAATGTCGTTCTGCATGAAATGAGCAATGCGCATCACCAGCTCGGTAGGGAAATGATCCCAGCAAGGTTCGTGACCCCGGTGCCTTGAGGAACCAAGAACTCTTCTTGGATTGCCCCCTAAGTTTGTTAAACTGTTGGAAATGCCAAGGTTAATGGTTTGTTTTGTTTGGGGTGCTATGTAGGGGGTAAACAATTATGATAATTATGTGTCCATCTATTCTCTTTCGTTGGGTTTTTAAACCATCAAATCGCTTGGTGTATCCCATTTTTTTGGTCTCACCCGGGTGGCTGGAGCCGCCCCAGGATGTGCTTCAGTCGGATTGCCTCTTTGCCATCGGCTCGGCCGCTTGGACCAGGGATCAGATTATCTTTGGCGGATGCCCAAATCGAATAGAAACATGTACAGTTATGGCCCGAAATACCAATTATACATGGTTATATAACTGGTTATTTCTATGGGATTATACTCCATAAATGTGGTTTACAAGTTATAATTTGTAAGTACTTATAGCTGGTAAAGGGCCATAACTGTAGAAACTATAAAAAGATTTAAGTCAGTTTGGGGTTGATCATTTGCCCAGTCATGGGTGATGGTAGAAATGGCGAAGCCAACCTCTTCCCAAAAGGACGTTGTGGGTTTTCTCCCAAAAGCATGGACGGTGATATGGCATGATTTCGGTCCATCATGTGAGTACAATTATGGCCCTTAACGGTATTTTTATGGGTTTATGAAGTTAGAATTCCATTTGTAACTGTTCATGGCCAGAACTGTGGGAAATGGTGATCTTACCTTTCACTTGGATAATTGGGGTCCTTTATGGATGGCAGGGATACAGAAAGCGGTGATGACCGCCGCATCGCTTCAGGTGCTGTTTATCATCACCTACCTCACCATACATGTGCCTTGCATCAAGCGCGAGCAATAGTGGGGCAGAGGGTCTTCAAAGCCTCACAATTGCAAATTTGTTGCGTTTATTTTTTGACATCAGATGTGCACGAAACAGAAATACCCGACCGAATAGTTTTTGTTTGGATGATGACAACGATGATATATAATCAAGTATGCTGCAAAAGAAACATCTTTTGATTGGAGGAAAGACATTCATAACTGGATGTAATGGGCCTATAGGCCTATAGTTTGGGATGGGATGGCTCCTTCCACGGCACACAGATTCCGCGCCATTTGCGAGTATTCACTGGGGTATCTCCGAACATATCAAAATGCACCATTGCTGGTTGGTGGTTTCAACCATTTTTCCATAATGTATGGGATAATCCTTCCCATTGACTAATATTCTTCAAGATGGTTAAAACCACCAACCAGATTATTGTTTCAAGGATTTTAGCCAAGCATCATTGATGTTGGGATATTTTGGTAGGACTTGCTACAATGTGGTGCCATGTGGTGCCCAATTGTTGAATTTGTTAGCCCAGGAACTAGTTAAATAAATCTAGCAAAAGTCCTAGTTGTTGCATGTATGTTCACCAACTTAGCTAACTTGGGAGCAGCATTCATGATATCAATATCAATATCAATATATATATATATATCGATTGGTACAGGATGGGGCCCCCAAGATAGCTAAGTTGGTTTATAAGTGATATAACTATAGTTAATGGGGATTATAATGGTTTATATAAACCAACTTATAACTGGGGGGGGCCACCCTGTATGTATCCCCATGATATGCCCCTCATATTCCCATTGCTATCTCCCATCATCAAAAATCCCTGCCGCGTATCTCCATGGTGGACGCGAGGCGGGAAGTCCGCTACTCTCCTGCGGCTCGATGCTGTTAACGATGCTTGGCGATGGTGGGTGAGGCAGGCTGCGCTCCAGCGCTTATACTGTGGATATACCATGACCTCTTATGATTGAAGTGTATTAGCAGATGTTGGCCCATGATAAGCAGCAAGAACACGGATTTACTTTGTTAAAATTCGTTGTAAAACAGGCAGGTTTCGAGGTTTTAAGTATCGCCGACCATTTTCATGCATGTCTTGGGAGGTGTATTTACTTTTTGACGAGACCCGGGGTGCATGTTTAAATATATGTTTGTCCACCAGGTTCCCTGCTAAACTCAGGCAGTCCATCGCGACCAGTCATAGGCTCGTTGTTTCATGGCCAGAGAGTTAATGATAGCACCAACGCTATCATTATCACTATCACTACAACTATCACTATCATCATGATGATCATCAGCATCATCATCAGCACCACCATCATAGTCATCCTTATTTCTGGGCAAATTATAGTAATTCACAAACCTGAAATGTTCGGCCATTTTGCGATGATTCCCCTTAATATTTAACAATGATTCCAGTGAGGGCACAGTGAGGTCGGTATAATTTACCCAGTTATTTGTATTTACCCAGAGCTGGTACTTGTACTTTGGATATACCATGACCACTCATGACCTATTATGATTGAGGTGTATTAGCAGATGTTTGGCCAATTGTGAGCAACAATCATCAGCACCACCATAATAGTCACCACTAACTAATGCCGTTTTGGAGGATATAACCACTAAAAATCAACTCTTAACCACTACTAACCACTAGTAACCACTCTTAACCATATATATACTACGCTCTGGTAAACGTTTACATAACTATGGAAAGATCCACCATTTTCAATGGGTAAATCCACGATTTCTATGGCCATGTTCAATAGCAAACTGTTAGTTTACCAGATGGTAAATGGAAAATAATGGAACTATACCCTCTGGTTATTTAACATAGCTATGGAAGCCATGACCCATTTATTTATAGGTTATGTACCTATTAAAAGTGATTATTTTCCATGGCTATGTTAGTCATAACCAAGCGCCGTGTCGAGGATGTTGGCTATCCCCATGGCTTTCCTCGTCACTGCCCTTGTGAGTGGCTCAAACGAAGTGCCTTGGGCGCACGGTCCCGGTGACCAAAAAATGGGTAGGGGTTCGATGAGAAAAGTAGAAGTAGTTTATGGGAAAATGGTGGTTTTAATGGGAAAATGGTGGTTTTATGGTAATTAATCTGGATTCAACCATCAAATTTTGACAAATTGTGGTTTTAACGGAGTTTCAGCGAGCAACATGTTGTATGTTTGAAAATCAAGGGAACTAATAGATTTAAAGCAACCAAAAAAGAATGAATAACCAAAGTACGATAAAATACGGGAATTGGGTAATTATGCATCAAAGCTTGGGATATAGAAAACCTACCTTTTTTTGCACCTAGATTTGTTTGGTAAACTAAGTCGATCTTTAGGGAATAAGCTTCAACGGGTCGGGTAGTTTAATCCTGCAAAAGTTTTGCCACAGAACAGTATTTAAACATATTTAATCACATTCTTAGATCATATGCACTAACCAGCTGATAATTGCGGGAAGCTGTTTGAAGGTTTGCACCCAAGATTGGCCATGAACAATGTCAGAAAACGACGAAACATTAGGATAAAGAAAATGCTTGCCGTGCGCGGTGAAAATTGAATAATGGGCAGGGGGGTTGCAGGTGTAAACTACTATCGAGGCCATTGTCACTAGTGAATCAGTGCAAAGAAAATCATTTGACAAATTCCCTGCCGCTGTGAACCTTTGGACCTTTGGCAAGCGCTCGTGTTCCTTAAACATGTTGAATTTTCCTTTCGGTGGATCAGCCTTGGTTGATCCATGACTGATTTGTTTAAAAGTAACTTATGGGCAGGCACCAGGCACCATTACATCTAGACTTGGATGCAAGCCTCGTAAACAGATCTTATATCTTTGTATTTTTTGACTTAAACCCCTGCAAGTATCAAGAACATTGATACAATGTACTCTTTATTTTTAAGACTGGTTGGTGGTTTGGAACATGTTTTAATTTTCCATATATTGGGAACAATCATCCCAACTGACTTTCATATTTTTCAGAGGGGTGGGCATACCACCAACCAGTACTCTTTATTTTGAAGACTTTCCCCAATTTTCATGGGCATTTGGAGGGTCCAAGTGAATTTACCCTTTGTTGCTTGAGGTGACGGGAGCAGCGTTCCTGTCCATTTTTCTGATCGCAGGGCTGGGTGCGGATGTGGTACTTGGGCTGCAAGGGGGGTAAAAGGCTAAAGGCAGAACAAAATATTGATTGATGTTCCTTAATTGATGATAATCCTGGATCTAGTGTTGTCATGGATCTATTGTTTTGTTGCCTAAGGCCTAAGTCACATAGCTTAACAACCAGTACTCCGTTGTTTTAACACTTGGAAACCACAAATTTTGGTAGGTTAAATCAGCTATCAGTCCATGTTTTTTGCAGGTCAAAGCCACGTGTTCTTCATGTTAAATTATGTTTTTCCAGGTAAAATTTGCATGTTCCCTTCATGAGAAATAGATAAACTCGATGTTTTTGATGCTGAAATCATCATGTTTTGAGTACCCTTTGTAGTCAACCTAAAATAACGAACTGGAAAATCACCATGCTTAATGGGTACATCAACGAACTTTCTATGGCTAGTTTCCAGTTCGCAAACTGTTCGTCGTTACCAGAGGGTTCCACAGACACAGCCAGGTCCTGGTTTTCATCAACTTCTGGGCGCGTTCCAAAACCTCGACGCCCGAGCCCCCCACGCCTTGCACCTCAACGGCCATCTTGGGCGCGCGAAAGCGACAGCGGGATGCGAACAGCACCTTTGAACGGGCCGCTTGGTGGATTTCTTGATCCGGAGCGCCAATGTGAGGCCCCCAACTGGGGGATCGACCGGTTTCCTGGTACCCCGAAAAATCGCTGGATGGTTTAGAATGGAAAATCCGACCAAAATTGATGATTTGGGGGTATCCCTATTTTAGAACGCCTCCAAATGTGATGTTTGTATATGTTTGTTGGTTTCTAAAGCCAATAACTATATAGTTATAGTTATATTCCCCAAAGAAGCCTGGCACATTTTATGTGGGAAACCCAATGGCCCAATGCCATAAACAATAGTAATTACCGTTGAATTGTATTAACATAATTAATGGATATTAATGGATATTAATGTATTGTTGAATGGACATCATTGGTTATAAAATTATACAATGTTATATATATATATATATTTGTTATCCATTCTCATCAGTATTCCATATATCATGGACCCTGGTGACCCCTGGTGGGGCTTTGGATCGCAATTTGCGAACATGTTGGATGATCCCCACTATCGTTGGACTGGTTTGAAGCAAAGCGGGAAAACCTGGATTTGTCACCCGTTCACTGGCGTTTGGGGTATGGTGGTTTGGAATTGTGATGATATAGTGGTATGTGGCATACAAATGTAAAGAAATAATACTGTAATAACATACATACATATATGTCTACATATGTATGTCTATATATTAAGTTAATATATGTCTATATACATATGTATTTATATATATATCTCTCTCTCTCTGTCTCTATCTCTTTCTCTTTGATGTTTTTTCTTTTTGTGTGTGTATGTAGACGTACATGTAATATATATATATATATTTAAAGAGATACAGTTACAGTGATCCGTTTCAGCAGAACCCATTCCAAAGCACCAACCCAAAGCACCAGATCACCAGTGATTGAATCAGTGGCAAAAAAGTCTACCAGGTGCAGGGTGAACCAGGCAAGCTTTTCTGCTGGCCTATACATTTTTTTACAGCGCTCAAGTGGCTCAACTGGCTCATCCATCCAGCCATGATCAGCATGCCAATTGATGGAAGTCCGCTCCGCCCAGGTGAAATACGTCTATCGCCACGCGGGCTTGGCATGTTTGGGCACCACTCTGACGACTGCTGCGACTTGATGACTTGCGACGGTGGGGCATGTGAGAACCACAATGGGTTTGTGCCATGTGTGCTGTTTTACGGGGATCAAAGCTGTGCTGTATGGTGTAGTTATGCGTAATCAGGTCATGTTGTGTTTGTATGTTGGTTTGGCGGATAGACTCAAATAGGTCACGAACCAGCGTGTCTTAGACCAACTAGTATGGTTCATTCAGACCAGCGGATATGTCCCAATTTTGAGCAAAGGAGATTTCCATAGCGTTCATGGTAAAAAGAAACATGGAAACACGGGTTTTCTTGATGCCCCCGTGGTTGTAAGTTGGTTTGTTTCCCGCATGAAATAGCTTGATACACCCACCAGAAATCCTAGTCAACTTCCTTACAAGCTTAGCTAGCTATGGGGCACAATTTTGCAGCATGTTCGCATATGTTCACCTAGCCATGTCACCCTCAGCCCCATTAGGCCCATGGGCATCGGGGGAGTGGCGAAAAACCGTGGTATCACTCATTTTTTGTCCAATTTGGGATACACCCCAATTTCATTTGCCTATCGATCCTCCAAATAACCCCAAAAAACGAAGATTTTGGGTTAAAACATAGTGTTTCAGGGGACTTGGAGAGTTTGGAGGGTCTAGGTATGATCATGAATGCTTGGCCAGTTCTTGGGATGCACCCCCGAGTACTTACACGCAGATACAGTGAATGCTCAGTGGCTTAAAAACCCATAGCCATGCCCACTTACAGGTGGGTATAGCCCAATTAGGATCACCAGTAATGTACTTCAATGTACTTATCCTACTCTAGATCATTTTGTTCTTCA